ACGTGACGGACCCAGAGGCGTGTGACCGGCGCACGGGGCGCTGCCTGCGCTGTCTCTACAACACAGCAGGACCCCACTGCGCCGAGTGCCAGCCTGGCTACTACGGGGATGCCACGCGGCACAGCTGCAGGCGTGAGTACCCACGGCCATGCCAGACCTGCCTCCGGGGCCCTGGGGACCGTGCATGCCCATGGCTGCCCTTGCTCGTGCACAGCGCTGTGGGGTCCCCGCAGCCCTGCCCTGCTCTGGGCTCTCCTCTGCCCAGCCCCGGCACTGTGGCCCCATCCTTGTCTCCATGCCCAACCTGTCCCCTCCCATCTACAGCCTCACCTCATGCCCATTCCTGTCCCCGTTGCCACCCCATCCCTGCTGCCACCCTGACTCTGCCCCCATCCCATCCTTATCCCATCTCTATCCTGGCACTGGCCTACCTCCACCCCATCCCCATCAGCAGTCCTCATGCTGCTCCCATCCCACTTCCATCTAGTCCCCACCCCATCCCTGCCCAAACTCTGTCTCCATCCTGCCTCCCCCCTCACCCACTGCTATCCCCATCCCATCCCTGCCTGTGTCCCCACACCATCTGCACCCCCATTCCATCTCCACTCCAATCTCATCCCCATCCCATCCCTGTCCTCAGCCTGCCCCCATCCTTGTCCCTATCCGTCCCCACTCAGTGCCCATCTGGTTCCAGGTTGCTCCTGCAACGCGCTGGGCACCGACGCCAGCACCTGCGGACCCCAGCAGTGCCAGTGCGACAGGCGCAGCGGGCAGTGCCACTGCCTGCCCCACGTGGAGGGCCAGAGCTGTGACCGCTGCAGCCCCAACTTTTGGAACCTGGGCAGCGGGCAGGGCTGCCAGCCCTGCGCCTGCCACCCCCAGCACGCCCTGACGCCCGCCTGCAACCAGGTGAGACGCAACGGGGATGGGAGACGGGGGGAGGGTTGGACGGGATGGGGCTGGGGGTGCTGCGGCAGCAGTGCCAGCCTCGGCCACGCTGTGTCTTTCAGTTCACGGGGCAGTGCTCGTGCCGGCCAGGCTTCGGGGGCCGGACTTGTGCCGACTGCCAGGAGCACCACTGGGGCAACCCGCAGCAGCAGTGCCGAGGTGAGAGCCGGTGCTGGCGGGGGGGGGGACAGAGGGCAGACCCCACAGCACCCTGACACCACTCTCCCCGCAGCCTGCGACTGCGATCCCCGCGGTGTTGCCAGCGCCCAGTGCCACCGTAGCAGCGGCCACTGCGACTGCCGGCCCGGCATCTCCGGAGTCCGCTGTGACCAGTGCGCCCGGGGCTTCGCTGGCGCCTTCCCCGCCTGCCAGCCCTGCCACCCATGCTTCGGGGACTGGGACCGGGTGGTGCAGGACCTGGCCGCTCGCACCCGGGAGCTGGCGCAGCGGGTCAGCCTCCTGCAGCACACCGGGGCTGCCGGTGCCTTCGAGAGCACCTTCCGGCAGCTGGAGGAGAGACTGGCCACCGTGCGCAACGTGGTGGCCACCCGCAATGCCACCGCCGCCGCTGCCGCCCACCTGACGCACGCCACGGAGGGGCTGCGGTGAGCACCCAGCGCGGGGCACGGCTCCCGGGGTGGCCTCAGCGGCGGGTTGTCACCCCTTTCCCTTGCAGGCGACAGATCGAGGAGGCGACGGAGAGGCTGACGCAGCTGGAGGGGGAGCTGACGGCCACCCAGGACGCCAACTTCAACGCCAGCCACGTGCTGAGCGCGGTGGACCGGGGTGCCCGCGCCCTCAACCACAGCCTGCAGGACCTGGAGCAGCGGCTCCACACCCTCAAGACCTCCAATTTCCTGGGTGAGCCGCACAGCAGAGCCAGGCCGGGGCGGTGGGGCCATGGCTGCGGGTCTGATGGTGTTCCCGCTGCCCCCCAGGCGCCTACGACAGCATCCGCCAGTCCCACGGGGAGTCGCGGGAGGCTGAGCGCCGGGCGGACGCCTCCACCCGCGCTGTGCCCAGCCCCGTCAGCACTTCAGTGGCCACCCGGCGCCGCACCGAGCAGCTCCTGGCCAGCCGGCGGGACGACTTCAATCGCCAAAACGCAGCCAGCCGGCGGGCGCTGATGGACCTGGTGGCGAGGGCGCGGGCGCTGAGCCTGCACCCCCTCAACGAGAAGGTGGGACGTGGGGAGGGGACCCCGAGGGTTGGTGCCCGGAGCCACCCCGAGCCCGCGCTGCCTTGCAGGTGTGCGGTGTGGCGGGTGACGTGCCCTGTGCCGAGAGCCACTGCGGGGGAGCCGGGTGCCGGGATGAGGATGGGGGACGGCGCTGCGGGGGTCTGAGCTGTGGCGGGGCTGTGTCCACGGCTGACAGCGCGCTGGACCGGGCACGCCATGCCCAGGAGGAGCTGCGGCGAGCCGCCAGCGACGTGGCCCAGCTCTCCCACAAGGTGTGTGGCGCATGGGCACTGGTGGGAGTGGGTGGCATGGCCATGCCCTCAGCCCTCGGGGCTGATGCTGAGGGTCTCTGCTCCTGCTCAGGTGGCTGAGGCCAAGGGGAAGGCGGATGAGGCCCGGCTGCGGGCGCAGGCAGCCCTGGACAAGGCGAACCAGAGCAGGGCCCGCGTGGAGAGCTCCAACAAGGAGCTGCGGGAGCTCATCAGCCAAGTCAAAGCCTTCCTGAGCCGTGAGTGCTGGTGTGCCAGAGGGGCTGGCCGCCTCTGCCCGGCGCTGTGTGGCTCCACACCCGCACCACACCGCGCTGACCCTGCACTGTGCCGCACTGCATGGTCCCCACACTGCATGTGGGCTGTCCTGCTGTCCCACCCCAGCACCCGACGGCCCCTGCCTTGCCCCAACCATCCCATGCCCCCCCCCAAACCGTCCCCTGCCCTGCCCTGCCCCACGCCCCCCTCCCCACGGCTCCCCCCTGTCCTTCACCGCCCCTCGCTCCACTTGTCCCCTCTGCCCCGGGGTGCCAGAGGGGACACACTGACAGCTCCCGCCCGCAGAGGAGGGGGCCGACCCCGAGAGCATCGAGGTGGTAGCCAGCCGGGTGCTGGAGCTGTCGCTCCCCGCTTCGCCGGCCCAAATCCACCACCTGGCTGAGGAGATCAAGGCACGGGTGCGCAGCCTGGCCAGCGTGGACGCCATCCTGGAGCAGACAGCTGGTGATGTGCGCCAGGCTGGGCAGCTGCTGCAGGATGCCCAGCGGGCCAGGTGAGCCTGGGGACGTGGGGACACCCCGCTTTTCAGGGACCCCCATCCCAGGCTGGTGCTGAGGCCGTGCCGCCCTGGCCACAGGTCACGGGCGGAGGGGGTGCGGGGCACAGCCGAGGCGGTGCGGCAGGCGCTGGATGAAGCACGACAAGCCCAGGGCATGGCCGAGCAGGCACTGCGCCGCGCCGCCGGTGACATCCAGCACAGCGAGAGGGCCCTCAGCGGGGTAAGGTCCCTGTCCCCACGACCTCAGCCCTGTGGGGACGGGCGTGTCCCCACTGCGTAGGTGAAGTTGCCCGTGCCCATCCTCCGCGCCACCGGTCCCCAGATGCAGGCGCAGGCGGCGAGCGCGGAGCAGCAGCTGGCAGGTGCCGCGGGGCGGATCGGGCTCCTGGACGGACAGACGGATGCACTGAAGGTGAAGCGCGCCAACAACAGCCTGGCAGCCACCCGTGCCCAGGAGGCGGCTGGTGCCGCGCGGGACCGAGCCGGCGAGGCCAAGCAGGTGGGTGAGCGGGTGATTGGGGTGTGGGAGTGTGTGTGGGGGTCCCACTGATCGTCCCCGCTGCCCAGTAGGTGCTGGAGGGGCTGCTGCAGGACCGGTACCGGACGGCGCAGGAGCTGGTGGAGCACCGGGCGCAGGGCGCACGGCAGGCGGGCAGCCGGGCAGAGCGGCTGCGGGATGAGGCTGCCGGGCTGCTGCGGGACACCCAGGGCAAGCTGCAGCGTCTGCGAGGTGAGTCCGGGGCGGGGGTTTTGGGGGTGGGGGGGTGTGTGTGTGTGGGGGGGGTGGTGGGCTGGGCTGACCCATGCTCCCCCTTTCCCCGCAGCGCTGGAGGAGGCGTACGAGCGGAACGAGCGAGTGCTGGACGCCAAGGCGGCCCAGCTCGGGGGGCTGGAGGCCAGGATGAGGGAGGTGCTGGCCACCATCAACCAGCAGGTCCAGATCTACAACACCTGCCAGTGATCCCCGGGAGGGGCCCGGACCCCTCGCCACCCTCCCCGCCGCCCGGCCTCTGCCTGCCCCCCAACAGCGGGACAGGGTAGGGCACCCCGCTGCGTGAATAAAACTACAGAGCAAGACTGCCTCGCCTCTGCCCCCGTCGCCCACGCGTCCGTCGGGGTGTCCCCACAGCGGCCTCCCCGGGCTGCCAGCCCTTGGGGGGACGGACCGCGGAGCCAAGGGCTGGCCGTGGGGCCAGACACGGGGCGCGACGGGACCCACGCAGCAGGACCGGGCCCCCCCGCACCCACGCAGCAGGCCGCGGCCCGGCCCGTTGCCATGGGAACGCGGCGGCAGCCCCCCCCCCCCCCCCCCCCCCCCGGCCGGGTGGCGCCCTTGGGCACGCAGGCGCCGCGATGACGTCACGGCGCGCGTCGTTGCCATGGCGCCGCCAGAGCGAGGAAAGGGGACGATCGCCCCGCCCCCTGCCGCCATCGGGCTCCGGGGTCACGTGGGCTCTCCCGCCGGCTTCCGGAAGTGCGTCACGGCGTGGGCTAAGGGGGGTGGGGGGGGGCTCGGGCCTGTGTGTCGGGTCGGCCCGCTCGGAACTTCGGCTCCAAACAAAACGGACCGGGAGCGGCGGGCGGGGCCGTGAGTGCGGGACGGGCCGGGACCGGCCGCGCCGGGGCGGCGGCGGGGCCCGCCGGGGCGGGGAGCGGCGGCCGGGGGCGGCGCGGGGTGAGGGCCGGAGCCGCGGCGGCGGGAGGCCGGGATGCGGCCCGGGGGGCTGGGGAGTGAGGCAGTGCGCGTGGGGGGGGGGGGGGGGGTGTCGCGGATGGCGGCGGGGGGGGCACGGCGGGACGGGCCGAGCGCCGCGGCCTCGGGCAGGAGTCGCGGGGGCTGGGCCGCTGCCCGTGACCTGGTGCTCTGCCTGCGTGAGGGCACGGCCTGGGCCTGGGGCGGAGCGCCGTGCGCTGCCTCCTTCCCCCTCTCCAAATGCGTGAGGCCGGGCGGCAGCGCAAGACCTGCCGCCAGCTGCTGTCTGGTCAGAGTCGTCTTCCCCAGAGACTTGTCAGGGCCTGGGGGGAGCTGAGCCTGCCGGGCCCCCCTTGCAGCGCAGCTATAAAGGCTTTGGGGGCACTGTGATTTCCACAGGGGTTGGAAATGTTACATGTGGCGGTGCTGGGCTGGGTCCCTGTGTGGCTCTGTGCTTGTCCTGGCTCAGCCTGTGCGTCAGGCACGCCGAGAAACTGAAGTAAGAGATGAGCTCGAGTCTCGAGATTTCTGATCCCTCAGGGGGGATGAGAAGCAGAAGGTGCCAAAAGTATTTGTGTGCACAAGGAGGAAAGTGTTTCTGTCAGCTGTATTTGGAACAGTCAAGAGTCTGTGGCAGGATGCAGTTGGGGGATAGCTGGGCTTCTTCACAGCTGCCCTAGTAAAGGCCATTGGGTGCTGGGGGGGGGGGGGGTGCAGCAGGCAAGAACCAGGGGACCTCTTCCTGCCAAGCACTAAAGGTGCCCCAAATACAGGGGGCACGTTGTGTTTTGTTGAGCACTTTGTGCTGTCGTTCCCTGAGCGGTTACACTAGCACGGTCTGGCGCTGCTGTGGGAAGGGGCAGCTTTTCTCCCTGGGCCCCCCCACTCCTGTTCCTGAGCTCTCTCTCTTCTCGGGACAGTGAAAGTGTTTGTGCAGCCCCATGGTGAACTGGCTCAGGGACCTGCCCTAGGATATGACAAACTCTGCAGGAAGCAGTTTCGTACTGGCTGGCATCTTGATCCGACAAGTGCTGCAGCTGTGTGGGTGCTTGCACCAATGCAAAAGCTGGGGGAGCAGAGGGCAAGGAAGCACCTCCTCAGCAGTGCGGCCACACTTCCCCAGCTCGGGGAAGGATTGTGTAAGGTTTTGTATGAGCACCCAGCCCACTAGGTGTTTCTCGGAGGTGCACCTGGTGTCTGGATGGGGCAGCCTTTGACCATCTCTCCCCTGCAGCAAATCCCACAGTCCCAGCACCCACGGTGCCAAAACCTCCAGGCCCCTGCACACCCAGGGGCTGAATGTCACACCTGGCTGCATGTTTCCTGATGACAGAGAGGGAGAAAGTCTTGGGGATTAGAATAGGTGAATGGAAATAATCTGTGCTTTGCCTGCACTCCTCCAAAACCCCATGGTGCCTGCAGCAGCCTTGGGTTGCTATCAGTCTGGCACCTGGAATCGGGCAGGGCTCCAGCCCTCCTCTGTTCTTGCCCGCCGTTAGGAATAACTGTCAGCAAAGCACCCGAGGGAGGCGAGCCCTCAGTGAAGCGTGAGAGCAGCAGGCTTTGCCCGAGGGACTGAGAGCAGACATGTGACCCTGGCTCTCCCCCCTCACCGCTTCGTGGGAGGACGGTGATCCTTTCTCAGCCCTTCAGGACCCCTTTTGGAGTTTACTGTCACTCTGCCCTGCAGTTACCCTGTGCCACCCCTTCAGAGGTGCGGGAAGGAGGCAGTGGAGCCTTGCCTGGCCCTGCATGAAGCAGTCGCTGCTTCTTGTCTCCTTCTTGAATTCTCACCCTAGAGGTGAAAGAAATTCAGCAACAAACGCTTTCCCACGTTTGTTGGGCCCAGGTTAGCTTTCTCAGTGCCAGGAAGCATCTGTAGCCAGTGTGTTTCAGTGTTGGTGGGGACTGGAGCTGAACAGCAGCATGCTGCCAGCGTCGGAGGCCCAGCCTTGGGAACCACGGCCACGTTTGCCACCGTGAGGGGCCCTTCCCATTCCCTCTGCAGCCAGAGGCACTGCAGCAATCTGGGGAGACCCAGTGTGTGTGGCAGCTTGGGGGTGTCACTGCTGTCCTCCCACACTCTTTCAAGCTCTCTGGGGCCGATGCCGGGCCCTGCTCAGCATCCCCCATCTCCAGGTCGTTTTGGGACCCTCTGCTGTGGGTGGCGGGAGCTGTCTGTGCCAGGCAGCTAGGCTGGACTCGACGCTTGAGCTTTTCACTTGGCTTTGGCAGCTCTTAGTTACGAGGGTGGGTTGGCCCAAAGAGAAACAGTTTGGGCGCAGTCCTTGTCATGGGACTGGCTTTGCCAGAGCTGAGGGCAGGGCAAGAGCGCTTTGCTCTCTGGAGTCCTTTGCAGTTTGTGGCTACAACTCCATATTTGTGGCTACTTGTTGCCCCGGGCATTTCTAGAACACTCCTCAGTGACGTGGGGCAGGCAGTACAGAGCTGCCAGCATGCTCCCTCTGACCGAGCGCTTCCCTTGGAGGTGCCCCCTGGCCATGCCCGAGTGGAGCTGTGGGGTCTGTGCTCAGTACACAGGTGAGGGTAGGATGGGGTGTTCCTGAGGGCCTGGCTTGCCTTGTGCTGAGGGAGAGGCAGGCTCAGTGGAGCTGGGTTAGGCCAAGATGCTGTCAGACTCAGTGCTGTGCCCTCAGGTGGGAGCAGGGCTGTGGGATGGGGTGTGAATCAGGATACCAGGAGCTGCTGCAGGCTGACAGCACCTGGGGGTGGGCAAGATCCTTGTGGCTGGGCCCACTCCCCTGCAGCAAACCCCTGCAGACTGGTGAGTGCTGCTCAGGTCAGGGAGTGCAGCTGGGACAGCAAGGGAGGAAGCCTTCCCAGCTCTCAGCTTTCACCTCCTCCACCGAGACACTTTGAGTGGGACCATTTTCAACGGGTTGTTCCAGCTGTCCTCTGTCAAAGCCATGAACACCCAAGGATGAAACCAGAGAGCAAAACAGACCAGCCCTTGGGCCAGCAGCTCCCAGTCCCCATAGGGGAGCTGGCTCTGCCTGGGAGGGCATGTCTTCAGGGGCAGGGGTGTGCGCCCTGCCTGCCCTGCCCTCTCCCTGGGGCATGAGGAGCAGAGGTGTCCTGTTTCCATGCCAGGCCCCGCTGACGCTGTCTGTAAAGCGGCAGGGAGATGAATATGCAAGGTGCAGTCTAAGCTCCCAGCTGGTGGGTGGAGAGGGAGGAACTCTCCTCTTGCCAGGGAGCTCCACTCTCATCTGTCACAGGAGACTGTCCCCAGTCTGCTCCTGCTTCTCCCCTTTCTTCCTTCTTAGGGCGTTACTTGCTCCCATTCCGGCCCTCTTACATGGGGCACAGTTTGACTGAAATAGCTGCCACCCTGAGCTGTGGGGCAGGCTGCCCCAGTTGAGCCTGGAGGCTCGATTTTGCAGATCAGGGCCTCCTTGCGTCCTCACCCTCAGCTCTGCCTCTGGGTGTTGTTAGCACCAGCGGCCCTTCTGGGGCAGTGCTGTTGTAGTGGCAACCATGAACATGACAGTTGCTTTCTAGGTTTTTAATGTGTGTTATGTACAGAAGACCCCCAGTTGTATCTTGGGAGCTCTGACAAGCCAGTGCTTTTGGCAGTAAGCATTGTAACAGCTGTGATGAGGTAGGTTTCCTCACTGAGCGCTGCGTGGGGCTTCCCATAAATGCTGCAGTGGAGGTTGTGTGAGGACACTGGCCCTGGGAGGGCCCAGCACTGGGACAGAGAGCAGATCCTAATGCTGTTGGGCCTTCTCCACCTGCTGCCATGCCTGCTGTCTTTTCTCTTTAGGCCACTAGTTCCTTGCCAGAGAGTTTGACCACAGAGAGTCGCCAAGATAGCTGGGCCAGGAAGAAAACGTCGCACCCCTGACCCAGACTCCATTACTGACCCCGGTGGGCCGTTTGTGTCCTCCAAACGGCTGAAAATGTCCAGCAGCACCAATGCCCCTGGCCAGAGGAGAGCGTCTCGGGGCTTGGATGATGCCAGCAACAAGAAGAAGCAGAAGGATCGAGCCAACCAGGAAAGCAAGGAAGGTGAGAGCCCCTTGGCAGCGCTGCAGCGAGCAGGCCAGTGGTTTCTCAGCCCTGCAGGGTGGGAGCCTTGCAGCCATCTGCTGCAGGATAAGCAGATTTAACTAATCGCGTCCTGCGGCTGATGGTAACCCGTGTGATGTGGGATCTTCTTTGGCACAGTGTCCTCCCTGGACCTGTAACCTCCTTCCTTCGGGCACTACTTAGGCCCAGTTATGTGAGGAAGGTCAGGCCTGTGGTCTTGTTAGCTTAAGCCTGGAGTTAGCCTTGGTGGTTGTTTCTAGGCTCCGCTTTTGGCTGAGGTTGAGCTGCCCCAATCTGGAGGGAGTGGGACTGAAGCCTGCAGTTGCCCTTGAAGCTGGAGACAGTGCTGCTTCCCTGTCAGTTTGCTGAGACAGGATGCTGCGAGGCAGTGACCGGGTGCTGATGGTGCCTGCCGAGTGTGGGGCCTGCGGGTGGGGCTGGTGCTTTAGCTTCTGTGTCAGGGCAAGGTGTGGCTCAAGGAAAATGTTGCTGTGGAGTAAATCCCACTGCAGCTTCTGTGTGTCCAATGACAAAAGCAATGCTTCAGGTGCAGGGGGTGCCTGTAGGAAGGATGCAGGCAAGAGTTCCTGCAGCCCTGGAAAATTGCTTGATTTCTGTGCTTGCTCTGTTATGACTGTTATAACCTCAAAATCACAGGTTGTTTTATAGGCCAAGGTAAATGAGCACTTGCTGAGGTCTGTGCTGGAACGGCCGGCTGCAGTCCCTGATGTGAAATCCCACAGTGCAGAGAGCGCAGCGTTACGCCTTCTCACATGGGAGGTGGGCTGTATCTCTGGTAAGGCCTGACCCTCCACACCTTCTGTTGTGGGGGGCTCCTGCCTTCTCAGGGGCTGCAGTGCAGCCGTGCTGCTTCCATCCCCTCTGTGCAAGGGTGGTAAGGGGCTGGAACAAGCTGTAGATCCCCAGGCAGTGCCTCTGCAGCACTTTTCCCATCGTCAGCCCCACCAGCACCTCTGCACCAGTGACTGCAGTGGTCAGCAGAGGTTTCCTACTGGTTTGTAGCTGGTCAAGGGAAGCAGTGACAGACCTCTGAGCACTCCAGGGTGTGGAGACTGCAGCTCCCATTGCCACTGTTTCTCTGCACCAGGACGAGGTGCTGTTGCTTTGAGCCCTTTGCCTGGCAGAGTTCACTGCCCTGTGGGGGTGGAGCAGGCACCGAGACGCCTCTGGCTGTCAGAGGTCATCCTGTGGGGAGGGGGGATTAGATGTCAGGTCCGTTTGGTTCCCCAGCCTGATCTGGAAGGAGGTTTCGGCCGTGGACATTGGCAGCTTGTGCAGGAATGGGAATGTTAAAGTGCAGCTGGGCTGTGTGGTTCTCTAGTTACAGCAGAACTGCTTAGAGCCCAACCAAACATCAGGTTCTCCTTGTCAGATCAAGGCAGGACCCCTCAGTGCAGCTGCAGGCTGAGGGCCTGGTGTGCTGAGCAGGGGCAGACAGCCTGGTTACCACAGGCCCCGCACTGACACATGCCTCAAAGCAGCAGTGGCTGCGCGGTGCAGTAATGTTGTGTTGCTCCCTCAGTGGTGCTGGTTAGAGTGGGATGTGGTGGTGTGGCCCTGGGGGCTGACTTGCTGTGGTGCTGCAGGCAGGGCTCCGGGGAAGGGAGAGATGTGAAGAAGCAGAGGGGGGGAAATGAGCAGCACATGTAGGATGAAAGGCTGGGACAGAGGATCAGGGGAGAAGGAAGTGATGTGTGAGATGTTGGGCGTCAGCGTGCCAGCCCGTGCTCTGAGGGGACAGAATGACAGACCTGCCCGTGCTCTGCTTCTCTGCCCACCAGTGTCTCGCCCTGAGCTCGAGCAGGCTGAGACCGCCCCGGAGAAGGACGTGGAGGAGGGTAAGTCGAGGGGTGCACTGGCTGTCGGTGCATGGCCATGGCGTGCCCTTGCCGAGGGAGCCGGAGCTCTCGCCTCGGCATTGTCCCGTGCTCCGGCGCTGAGCAGAACTAACCCGAGCGCTCCCTCGCCTCAGCGTTGATCTTAACCGGCTGCGGAGAAGGGTGCGCGGGGCCGGGAAGGGCTGTCTGCAAGGAAGAGGCCCGGGGCCCGGGGCAGGCTGCTTCTGACTCGGGTGTCACGCTGCCACCCAGCACAGCCCTGGGATGCCGTGCCCCCGGCATCTGTCCCGCTGGCTGCGGAGCAGGGAGCCGCGCGGGGCTGGGACGAGCCCAAGCCGCGTTGCCCAGCAGGTGCTGGTGGCTGGTTTCTGCTTTGAAACCAGAGTGGGACATCCTCGTGCCACAGAGGGTGGAACAAAGCTGCGTGAAATGAAGGTGATGGAAATCACCTTTTTGCCTTGAAAGCTTCAGGACACCAGAGGGCCAGACCTGGAGCCTGGCAGGCACCTGGTGGAGGTTCTGCCCGCAGCAGTGACGCTGCTGCACCGTTTGCTGCCTGGCTGCAGTGTTCTTGCCTGGCTGGCGGTCCTGCCTGTGTTTCAGCTGTGTTAACAGTGCTCACCTGGCAGGAGTGCAGGGCGTTGGTGATTGCAGCTGAGCTGTTTGGTTTGCATACACGAAGGGGAAGTGGCAATTTCTGATTGTGGTCAGAGTCCACTTGAATCCCCCAGAGTAATTCTGTGGCTTCCTCGTTCCCTGGGAAAGCAACGATTACTTTGTAGTTGGCAGGAGCCACCCAGCCACTGCTGCTGCATGTGATGGGCCGAGAGCAGTGCTGCCTTTCTGATCTCTCTGGTTCCTGCTAGGATTCACCTGCCCTGCCGCAACACGTGTTCTTGTTTGTAGTCTGTCTGATGACAGCAGATTGCGAGCGTTCCCGTTTAATTGGCATGATCTGTGTCCCCTGCGTTGACCTCCTTGAACCGAGCGTGCGTTCAGGCTCGCATTCCCCAGCCAAAGAGTGGGCACTGCAGGCTCATGCCCCAGCAAGTGGGTGATACTTTCTTCCCTCTTCCTAGAGCTGCTGCTGGACTGGAAGCAGAATGCTGATGAGATCATTGTCAAGCTGAACTTGGGCAGTGGAGCTCTGAAGGTGGAGGATGTGGATGCTGCTTTCACGGACACAGACTGTGTGGTCAAACTACCAGGTATAGGGAATGAAGTGGCTGCTGCAGGCATTTCTCCAGCAGGACTTGGCACAGCTCTCGGCTAGATATGGGGCTGATCCGGGCAGGCATAAAACCTTTCCTTCAGAGGCAATGCCCTGCTGTCAGCTGGCACAGGTTCAGCCAGCAGGCAGGGCCAATACGAGAGCAGTGTAAAAGAAGAAGGGTATAGAGCTGGGGAGGACGGGAGCTGGCCTCTGCGCCAAGTGAACAAGTGCCCACTGCTGCGCTGTGCGACTCTGTCCCCTGCTCGCTGGGATGACTGAGTCAGCCCTGGGTATCCCTCGGAAAAGTGACTGTGCCCCTGGGGGCAGGGAGGCCCAGGGCCTCCTTCTGGGAAGGAGGCCAGCCAGATGTACAAAGCAAATCCAGGGAAGCTGGCTGAAGCCCTGAAGGCTCCTGGGGTATGGTGGCAGCCTGCCTGCAGCCTCCTTGGCTCTGGATGAGCGCTCCTTTGATCCTCAGGGCAGGTGAAAGGGGGCTGTGGGTTATGTGACAGCTGCCTGGAGCGCTGTCTGAGGTGTGGTCCCCCTCTGCTTGCAGACGGGCGCCAGTGGAGCTGTCAGTTCTACGAGGAGATTGAGAGTTCCTGCAGCAAGGTCCAGTGCAAGAAGGGCAACTTCCTACAGCTTGTACTTCAGAAGAAGATCCCACTCCATACCTGGTCTTCACTTCTGGTGAGGAGGGGAGAATCTGCCTTTTGAAGGAGCTTATGGAGCCTTGGGGGAGCTGGGGTGAGGGTTTTATTCCCTGCTCTTCAGCAGCCCAGTGAGCAATGTGGGGCACATCCTGCACCCACATGCTCTGTGAGGACATGAGCCAGCTGCCTCTGTCCCAGGGAAGGGGGTGTCATCGTACCCACGTTCCTACCTGCCACATAGCCTTCCAGGTTCTGGAGCAGAGCTCTGGGGCAGTGAGGGGCTGGCAGAGAGCATGAGAGGTGCTGCTACCTGGATACCTTCCCACTGTGCTGCGCTGCTTTTCACAGAAGAGAAGGAAAGATGGATCCAAAGAGCTGGCCAAAGGGGCCACGTGCTGGGAGAACGGGAAGGAGAAGGCTGCTTCTGCAGAGCTGGCCCCTGAAGAGCCGAGGGCTGAAGGCACAGAGCAGCCGAGGTCTCGGCGGGAGCCCTCTAACCCCAAGCGTGCTCCGGGAAGAAGCGAGGCCCTGGGAGGGAAAAGCCCAGCCAGCCCAGGGACACAGAGTGGCCCCAGCGCCAAGCGGGCAGTATACCTCAAAGTGGCTCCCACTGAAGAGGAGCCAAATGCCAGAGTCACTGGGAGCGTGGAGCCCGGCAAAGGGCACAGCGGGAAGGCAGGCAGCCGTCGCAATGGCAGAGCCAGCCAGGTCGATGCGCCCACAGCCCTCACAGACCTCGCACCGCCGCTGGAGAAGGTACGTGAGGACCCAGCTGGAGGGGGCACCCCTGATCCCTCAGCTCCCGTGGAGGGGATGCTGCTTGCGCAGAGGCCCGTCCCTGCCAGTGAGATGGGCTCCAGGGTTCCGTGGGTGCTGCTGAGGGCTGGCATGGGCTTGGCTGTGGTGGAGACCACAGTCGCTGGGCTGTGGTGTTAACGGGGCCGAGCCAAGCGTGGGAAGTGTTGGGGAAGCGGGCGGTGTGGAGCTGTGCCTGCCTGGCTGGCAGGAGTTGCAGCGAGTGGGCCAGGGCAGCTTGAAGTTGGCGGTGTCTGTTTTTCACGGTGTCCTCCTTTCTTGAAAGGCTGTGGTTTTGGCCAAGGAGAGTGTTCCTGTGGAGATGCCACCTCTTGCAGCTACCACAGAGGTGTTCCCACACCGTGTTGCCACTTGTGTGGAGAAGAGGGTCCTGCAGCCAGGCAGCCCTGCTGAGGCCTTGCGGGGCCGGGACTGCACGCCTGTCCTGGGAGAGAGCTCTAAGACTGTCCCAGTGGCCACCCCTCCCCTGGGCAGAGATGGTGAGAAGAGGGACTGGTCCAAGGACGACGTGGCTCTGGAAGCAGCGGCTGACGGTGAGTGGCTGGAGCCTAGGGGTCAAGCTGGTCGAGAAGGTCTGTCTGCTCAGGATGTCTCTCCTGGGTCAGCCTGCAGCGCTGCCTCAGCATGCAGAGTAAGTAATGTCTCTCTCCGTGGCTTTTTTCGCTCAGAGCCAGAGCCTTTTGTGAGCCTGACCTTTGTCAAGAATGACTCATATGAGAAGGGCAATGACCTGGTGGTAGTGCATGTCTACGTGAAGGAGATCCACAAGGAGACGTCCAAGGTGTTGTTCCGGGAACAAGACTTCACGCTGGTGTTCCAGACAAGGTACAGGCATGCCTCGGGACGGTGCCAGGCTGCGGCGGAGCTCCTGGCTGTGGCCGGGCTACTTCTTTGTTAACTTCTCACTCGCTCCCAATTTCTTTGCAGTGACACGAACTTCCTTCGCCTCCATCCTGGTTGTGGGCCCCACACAGTGTTCCGGTGGCAGGTGAAGCTCAGGTATGGCTCCTGTCCTTCTAGCCCGCATCAGGGCAAGGGAGGTGAGAGTTCAGAGCTGGAGCAGGAGCCAGTCTCAGCTGGTGGGTCTGTGCAGAGAATGCTCATTTCTGCACCTGGGTGTCTCCCTTACACCATGCTGCACTAATGCTCCAAGCCTGGGCTGCCTTGGCTCTGTGTGGTGGCTTGCAGGGGAGGAAATCCCAGTGCCTCCTTGCCCGCAGTTCCCCCCCACCAGCCTGTTTTAAAGCTCTTGGGGACAGAGCTAGACCAGCCTGTGTGCACTTAGGGCAGGATGTCCAGCAGGGAGGGGGCATGTGGAGCCAAGCAGGATGGATCTGCCAGGAAAGGGGCCCTCTCTGTGCTTAGCGTGGCCAGGCTCAAGGGTTTCCTCCTTACTTTGCCAGCTCCACCTTAGGATCAGTGCTAGCTGGGTCCCTACTGCCCGGAGGCCATGGTCCTGCCCTGTAGAAGCTTTGGCATGTCTGAGGCTGCCGGGCGGTCTGGGACACCCCTGACTTGCTGCATGTCTTGCAGGAACCTTATTGAGCCGGACCAGTGCACATACAACTTCACAGTGTCTCGCATCGACGTCTGCCTGAAGAAACGGCAGAGCCAGCGCTGGGGGGGGCTGGAGGCTCCGGCCACACGAGGTCTGCACCCTGCCTTCTTGTCTTGCCTGCCTGCTGCACCCCAGTGGGGCATGGGCCCTCCGCACTGCCGGCAGCTGCCGGTTGGTGCTGGATCCTCTGGTGTGGGGTTGTGGGGAAGGAGAGGGGCTGAGCGGGTGCAGGTGGGAGGGGTATGGGGCAGAGCAAGCTAAGTGCTAGGGGAAGGGCACCGCTGCTCCCTGTGCTCATGGGGAAGAGGGGTAGGAGAGAGCCTGTGTGTGAGCACGGACCGAGCAGCTCAGCCCTACCGTGGGCAGCGCACGGTGCTGCTAACCACAGGCCCACCCTTCCCCCTTTTTAAGGTGCAGTGGGTGGTGCAAAGGTTGCCATGCCTACAGGCCCTACCCCTCTGGACAAGAACCCCCCAGGCAGTAACCAACACCCCCTGTCCAGCAAGGAAGAGGCCCGAGCCAGCGACAAAGAGAAGCCACGTGTGGAAGATGGGGGTCTGGATGGTGTGGCAGCCCGTACAGCCCCAGAGCACGTGGCAGTGAAACAAGAGCCGCACATCCCATCGGTGAGTGAGGGCACACCGGATTTGACCTGGGTTAGGGTGAAAGGTCCCACCTGTGGGACCCCACCTCCTCGGTGTCACTCTGGGGACTGTCGAACTGTTCCTGGAGGAGGAGGTGCAACGCTCCTCAGTCATAGATGGCAGGATTAGGGGCAGTGGTTGGCCCATCTATCCCAGTCCTGGTGGGAGATGGTGTGATGGCTCCAGCTCTGTCTGAGGGGTGTCCCGGGCTTTTGGGTTCCCCTGGTTCCCAGAGACACCCCCTGAGCACAGCACCCTCACACCCACCTCTGCTTTGGCAGCCCAAACCAACATGCATGGTGCCACCGATGACACACAGCCCAGTGAGCACCGAGAGTGTGGAGGACGATGAGGATGAGGACGAGAAGAAGAAGGTCTGCTTGCCTGGCTTTACGGGGCTGGTGAACCTGGGCAACACCTGCTTCATGAACAGCGTCATCCAGTCCCTCTCCAACACCCGGGAGCTGCGTGACTATTTCCATGGTGAGCCCACGCTGGGAGCCCAGCAGAGCCCCCCGCTTGGATGGTGCCGCCAGCGGCCACACTCCCTCTCCCACATCTCTTACAGATCGGTCCTTTGAATCAGAAATCAACTACAACAACCCGCTGGGGACAGGGGGACGCCTGGCCATCGGCTTTGCCATGCTGCTGCGAGCGCTGTGGAAGGGCACGCACCATGCCTTCCAGCCCTCTAAACTGAAGGTAGGGCCGCAGGCACCAGCGCTGCGCAGGAGCTGCTGTGGGTCCCTAGCTCTCTGTGGGCGTCTGGCTGCCTTGCTAGTGCCACAGAGACCTGGGGGGATGCGAGTGGGTGCAGCCAGGCTTTGTGTGTGGGGCAGGCAGTGCTGCCGCAGGGTTGCTGGCCAGCCCTGACTACTGTGCTCCCCCCCCAAAGGCAATCGTGGCCAGCAAGGCCAGCCAGTTCACTGGCTATGCCCAGCACGATGCTCAGGAGTTCATGGCCTTCCTGCTTGATGGCCTGCACGAGGACCTCAACCGCATCCAGAACAAGCCCTACACAGAGACTGTTGACTCAGATGGGAGACCAGATGAGGTGATGTCCCTCCCCAAAACCACTGGGAGAGTAACCCCAGCCTGGGTGGTTTAGTGTAGTGCTGAGCCCTTTTTCCCTGCAGGTGGTAGCTGAGGAGGCCTGGCAGCGACACAAGATGAGGAATGACTCTTTCATTGTGGACCTTTTCCAGGGCCAGTACAAATCCAAGCTGGTGTGCCCAGTGTGTTCCAAGGTAGGACGGTCTTGGAGGCTCTGTCCTTGTCCTGGCTGTGCAGCAGCAGACTCCTGACCCTCAGAGAGCACAGTTCACAGGGCAAGGCTGGATCTCAGGTCTGCAGGGGCTGCTGCGCCGCTGATCTCAGCCACAAGCAATTCCTGCAACTGAGTGTGCTCTCCTATCTGCAGGTGTCCATCACCTTTGACCCCTTCCTGTACCTCCCTGTGCCCCTCCCGCAGAAGCAGAAGGTTCTGACTGTCTACTACTTTGCAAAGGAGCCGCACAAGAAACCCATCAAGGTAAAGGACACCATCTACTCTGGAGAAGGAGCCTGAGAGGGCTTATGGAGGTGCCTCAGGCAGCTGGTTGCGTGCCAGCAGGCTGAGCTTTGTGTTAAGTGAGGGCTTGCATGACTCGGTGTGGTGTGACTGTTGTGGCACTTTCTTCTGGTGGCAGTTCCTTGTGAGTATCAGCAAGGAGAACTCCAGTGCCATGGAGGTACTCGACTCGGTGGCTCACAGCGTGCGCGTGAAACCAGAGAACCTGCGCCTGGCAGAGGTGAGCGCTCAAGCTGGGGAGCAACCCATGGGCTGCTCTTGTGGGTAACCCAGCTCCCATAGCTCTGCAGGGAATATGACCACTGACAGTGACTTGCCTACATCCAATGTATCCATGGGACTGATTTTGGCCGTGAGTGGCAGTGTCAGCCCAGGGTGCTGCTGGGCAGATCGCTGCTCAGGAGGTCTGAGCCGCTGCAGTAGGGCAAGGGATGTCCATGCTCCCCTGGCAGGGTGGTGAGCTGAGCAAGGCATCCCTGCGGTGCTGCTGTCCCTGCAGCTCACTGTGGGGCTGAGGTCTGTGGCTTTCTCAGAAGAGGAAGCGCGGGGCAGCCTTCACATGGCGCCGCTCCACTGCTTTCCTGGCAGGTGATCAAGAATCGCTTCCACCGCATGTTCCTGCCGTCCAACTCGCTGGACACTGTCTCCCCTACGGACCTGCTGCTCTGCTTCGAGGTGCTGTCTCCAGAGCTGGCCAAGGAGCGGGTGGTAGAGCTGCAGGTCCAGCAGGTAAGAGGGGATATTGGGACTACTGGGAGGCATACAGGGAGGCTGAGCCTGCGAGTGGGGCTGAGCAGGAGGGAGAGAGCTGCACACCAGGGTGATTAGCTGAAGTAACCATGGATACCCACCGAGGTTGCCTTGTCCTGCCTGGGTGCCCTTCCCTGCCCAATGGGTCCTTTCTCCTGCAGCGTCCGCAGGTGCCCAGCGGCCTTGTCGCCAAGTGTGCAGCCTGCCAGAAGAAGCAGCTGCCGGAGGACGAGAAGCTCAGGCGCTGCACGAGGTGCTATCGAGTCGGTTACTGCAACGTGTGAGTTGGCTTGGTGCCTGGCAGGGGAGGGAGGGTCTCCTGCACTGAAGGGCTGGATGGGAGAGCTCAGCCTACTGGGAGGAGGTGGGATAGGCCTGGCTTTTGGGAGAGAGCCAGTTTGGCTCACAGCGCTCCCTTTGTCCCCAACATATCCCTCTGGCCCTACCGTGCTCCTGCCTGGGGCGGTTGCGGATGCTGGGTTCAGCAGGGGCTGTGTGTTTGTGTTACAGGACGTGTCAGAAAACACACTGGCCAGACCACAAGGCTTTGTGCCGCCCCGAGAACATTGGTTTCCCCTTCCTCATCAGCGTCCCGGAGTCCCGCCTCACCTACGCCCGCCTGGCCCAGCTGCTGGAGGGCTACGCAAGGTGAGGGTCCAGGGTAGGAGGATGCTTCTGCCCCGGAGCTGAGCTCAGCCCTGTGCCTGGCCAGCTCTGACCGCCACCTCTTTGCCCAGGTACTCAGTCAGCGTGTTCCAGCCTCCGTTCCAGCTGGGCCGGATGTCTCCGGAGCAGGGGCTGCAGCCTCTGCTCCCAGACAAGCTGGAGCCTCTGGCCAAGAGCGGCTGTGCAGCAGCCACGTCTGCCCCTGAGCTGGGGGACGGGGACAGGGCTTCCAGCCTCCTGCAAGAGCCCCCACTCTCGCCAGCTGTGCCTGAGCTGCACCCAGAGCTGTCAGACACCAGCACTGTCCGGAGCAAGGTCCTGGCAGCCAGGAGTTCCCTGCTGAGCTTGGATTCAGGCTTCTCTGAGCACATGGAATCGCAGGGCGACAGCTGTTGCGAGAAGGAGCCGTCCTATGAGAGAGCCCTCAAGCCAGAAGGTAAGAGGTGCTGCGGTGCTAGCTGTGTTTGTGCCAGGAGCCCAGGCGGCCCCAAGACAAAACAGGACCAGTTTCCCCTCCTTGGGGTGACCTCCCGCCACATCTGTTCTCCCCTTGTGAGCTTGGTCTGGAGACCCCTGGGGACATAAGGCTCTGGGAGCTGTGTTTTTTGGCAGTGCTGTCCCACCTGAAATGCCTGCCTGCCCACCCACGCTCTGCCTTGCCCTGGCAGGGCCCATGGGGCAGAGCAGAGACCTGATGAGGAAGGAGGCTGGAGTGTTGTATTGTCGTGGGAGAGGTGAGAAGGCAGGGGCTGGCAGAAGCCTCCAAGTCCCGTGGGAGGGCAGAGCCTGGTGCGGGCTGAGCCCCTCCGGGCTGTGAGCGCAGCGTTTCCCTCGCTCTGACTCAGCTGCACGGGAGCAGCCTCTCGCGCTCAGCTGCCTGGCTGTCACGTTTCCAGACACTCGTCTCAGGATGGCAGCAATGTGCAGCGAAGGGGCAAGGCAGGCAGAGGAGCGCAGTTTGCCAGGGGCAGGCGCCTGCTAAAAATAGTCAAGGACACGGGGCACGTGGTTGTGTCCCTGCAAGGCCGTAGCATGTGAGGTGGGGGTGGGGGCACTGCAAATTCTTGGCCCCTATGCAGGGTAGACAGGCAGTGCCACCACAGACCTGTCCCTGCCCGTCCACAGCTGCCATCCCTGGGTACCAACACACTCCAGACTTGCTGAGTGCCCGCGCCACACAGTTCTACATCAACAAGATCGATGCGGCCAACCGAGAGCACAAGCTGGAAGATAAAGGTGAGCCCGGAACCCCGGAAAGCACCACCTTCATCCCTCACAGCCTCTGGCAGGGTGGTGGATCTGCCTGGACAGGGTGCCAGAGGCTGCCTGGCACAAGGTGAACCCAGATGTGTTGGTGGCCCTAGGCTGGACAGTGAAAACTGCATCTGGCACAGGGGAGGGCAGGGCTCTGCTGCACAAAGCTGCTGTTGAGCATGACATTCCTGCTCTCCTTGGCAAATAGACCAATTCCCTTCAGCCTCCTGTATCTACAGAGGGTCTGTGTTCTCTGGGTCACCTCTTGTCTGAATGGGATGCCCACATCCAGTGCTGGTATTGTAGGCGCTGCCGAGAGCAGCTGTGCCAGCCTTGGCCTCTGTTGCCCTGAGGTGGTGAACTTGGCCACGGGGCACTTGTCCCTTCCTGGCAGCACTATGTGATGGCTGTATCGAGCCGGGATGGGCAAGACTGCTCCTAACTCTGGCAAGGTGGCCTGGCCCAGCCTGGTGGGGCAGGTGCGTGAGGTGTGTGCCCCTTCACAGGTGACACCCCCCTGGAGCTGACAGACGACTGCTCCCTCGCCTTGGTGTGGAAGAACAATGAGCGCCTCAAGGAATTTGTGTTGGTGGAGTCTAAGGAGCTGGAGTGCGTGGAGGACCCAGGCTCGGCCAGCGAAGCAGCCCGGGCTGGTCACTTCACCCTGGAGCAGTGCCTCAATCTCTTCACCAAGCCCGAAGTCCTGGCTCCAGAGGAAGCGTGGTGAGGAAGGTGGCAGGGTGGGTTCCAGCCCGTGGGCCCAGGCAGCAGCGGGGGTTTCCCAGGAGCTGCCCTGGCCTGCACACTGTTTCTTCTGGCAGCCAGAAGCATTGGGCTGGCCTTCGCTGTGTGCTGGGGAGGGAGGCCATAAGCCAGCAGGGAGCAATGCCAGTGCTCTGCAGGACTGTGCTGGCCTGCCCCTGGCAGGGGAGACTGAGACTTCCCGCATCCCCTCTGCCAGCCCCACATGTGGGGAACCTTGGGGCTGGGTTGGGCTGCGAGGCCTGAGGATCTCCCCACGTCGGTAACGAGCGCGCTCTTCCCCCCAGGTACTGCCCCAAGTGCAAGCAGCACCGCGAGGCCTCCAAGCAGCTGATGCTGTGGCGGCTGCCCAACGTCCTCATCATCCAGCTCAAGCGCTTCTCCTTCCGTAGCTTTATTTGGAGGGACAAGATCAACGACATGGTGGACTTCCCCGTCCGGTGAGAGCCTTGGGGGTGGGGGGGGACAAAGTGCCTGGGTTGGCACTGCCTGTGCTGCCCTGCAGCCCGGCCTGTCCCTGCCTAACGCTGACTGTCCCCAAATCTCTCCCCAGGAGCCTGGACCTGAGCAAGTTCTGCATCGGCCGGAAGGGCGAGCAGCAGCTGCCCATGTACGACATGTACGCTGTGATCAACCACTACGGCGGCATGATTGGGGGGCACTACACAGCGTACGCCCGCCTGCCCAACGACAAGAACAGCCAGCGCAGTGACGTGGGTGAGGATCTGCCACCCCCTGCTGCCCCCCCCCAGCTCCTGCAGCCGTGGCCTGTCTGCTTGCTTAACCCTTCTCTCTTCTCAGGCTGGCGGCTCTTCGACGACAGCACAGTCACCACCGTGGACGAGAGCCAGGTGGTAACCAGATACGCCTACGTCCTCTTCTATCGCCGGAGGAACTCTCCTGTGGAGAGACCCCTGCCAGGGCACCCCCCAGACCACCGAGCCGAGCGCACCCCTTCTGCCGAAGCTGCTGCCAGCCAGGTGAGAGCTCGCGTCCCTTTTGGCGCTGTTGGAGCCACAGAGCCTTGAAACATGCCCAGGTGCCCACGCGCAGGGCCCAGCCCATCCCTGCCAGCACCCACGGCGCCTGGCACGGCTGCCGTGCGGTTTCTGCCCCTCTCCATCACTGAAGAGCTTGTGCCAGCCGGGCGTTAGGTTCTGTCTTGCCCTATTCTTGCTGTGAGCTTGGGATTGTCCCTGCCCTGAGGGACCAGAGCTGAGCTGGTTCTTGTCATCAGAGCGGGAATGCTCGTGGGAGGGCACTGGAGGAAGCAGGGGAGGGCCCAGCCTCGCCCTGGGGTCTGCACGAGGGGAAAACTGAGCGGTGCAGCAGGAGCTGGCTGTGCCAGGGAGCAGCGAGAACCTGCCCTCCACAGCCGCTCTCGAGGCAGGGTGGGGGATGCTTTCTGCTGGGGCCCAGCTCGGGGCCAAGCTAGGTGCAAAAAAGGCAAATGCCAGCACTGAGCCAGAGGCCTGGCAGCCTCCGCAGGGTGCTGAAGAGAAATCTGCCAGAGCGAGCTCCGCTGCTGGGCTGCCCGGGAGGGAGGGGTGGGCCGGCTGGCGGGGTGCTTTCGGCATGCACTGGCAGGGAGCGGTCGGGCTGATCTTTGTGTGAACGTCAGACACGAAGGCCCAGGCTGGGGCGCAACGCAGCGCCCACCTGGCCAACTCCCTCTGCATCGTGCTCAGCACCCCCTGTGGCCCCACGGGGTCTGAGGACGATGCTCAGCTCGATCTCCGGCACGGCTGTGCACATGGGGCCCTTCTGGCTCGGTCTCCCGGCCCATCTGGCTGGCGCAGCCCTCAGCCCCGTGCTGGTTAGGCATCCCAGCTCTGCTCTCTTGGCTTGGGGACAGGAGCTGCCTGTCTCTGCGGCTACGGGGTGTCCGGCATGTTGGTGTCCAGTTGTGCCTGGGCTGTTCCTGTCCTTGGGGGGGGCTGTACGTGTCCTGGAGCAGCTCCGTGCGCTGGGGGTGGCCTGGGCAACAGGAACCTGCGCTGCTGCTCCTCCCGTGCCGGCGGTGGGAGCCTTCAGGGGCCCGGGCGGCACTGAGGCTCACCAACCCCGCAGCGCCGGGGTTCAGCGCGTCCCCTCGCGGCGCCGGGGCTCAGCGGGCCCCTGGCAGCACCAGATCCCCCGCAGCGATGGGGCACATTGGATCCCGCTGGAGCTCAGTGGGTCCCTGAAAGCCTTGGACCCCCCGCATCCTCCCGGGCACTGGGTGCCCGCCAGAGACCTGCGCCCTGATTGGCTGCTCTGCATGATCACCGGCACAGCGATTGGCTGCCTGCAGATAATCCTCCTGGAATCTGGGCTACGATTCGCTGTCGAAGCATCCCCACCCACCGAAGCCGGCCTGTGACTGGCTGTGCTGTGATCCTGCGCCTCCTGCTCCTGCTGCCCCAGCTGGCTCTGGATTGGCTGTCATCTGAAAGATCCTGTTGAGATCACAGAACCTGGTCTGTGATTGGCTGCTGCCTGCACCCTCGCCACCTGGACCCACCAATGCCAACGCCTTGGCTCCACCGGGATCCGGCTGCCCGCTCCTCCGCTCCCCTCGGCCCCACGAAGACCCTGCCTGGCCGCTGCCCACGGTCCCTCCGCAGAGCTGCCCGCCGGAGCCCGGCTGCACCCCCACCCCCTGGAGACCCCGAAGAGCCGCGGGGGCGGGCGCGACCGCGACGGTGCTGCATGGGGAGGCGGGCTGGCTGGGCACGGGGCTGGGCTTGCAGGCAGCCGCTTGCCCCGGGGGATGGCGAGGGGTGTTGCCCGTTGTGTTCTCCAAGTGCTGACGCAGGTTTCCACATCGCAGGCTTCTCTGATCTGGCAGGAACTGGAGGCTGAAGAACAAGAACTGCAGCTCGAGGCGCCCCAAAGGCCTGCAAGAAACTCCTGGAGGCCCCGTGGCCAGAAGCGGAGTCCGGGCATCACTCAACACCCCGACGAAGGCTGTGTCAGATACTTTGTCCTGGCCACCACGGCCGCAATTGTGGCTCTCTTCCTGAACGTCTTCTACCCGCTCATTTACCAGACCCGCTGGAGATAGGCACGGGAGCGCGGCCAGCTGTGGGAGCGGGGCTGCTGGGGCACGGGCCGTCCGAGGACGCTACGCAAGGAAGATGTTGGGCGGCAGGACAGAAACCACTGGGAAGGACTGGCCGAGGGAAGTGTGAGGCTGTCGGCTCCTGCTTGTCTGCTCTGGTGTCTCCCGTGCCAGCTGGCAGGGCTGGGTGGCCAGCCCACTGCCTTGCCAAGGCGCAGCCCAGAACAGGGAGTCCCTCTGCCCTCCCTCACCCTTCCTGCCCGCTGGGAGTGGGGCAGACCTCATGGCTACCTGCTGCTCCAGAAGGGACAATGACGCTGCAACACGGCCGGGGCCTGGGAGCTCCCCAACCCCAGGACCATCAACCACCTCTGGCTCCTGAGAAAGAAGAGGAAATGTGCCGAGAGGCTGCAGTGAGGGCAGGATGCCCTGACATGTGTCCTGATCTGGCCACCTCTCGCAACTGTGCTGCTGTGGGAGCCTTTTGCTCCCCGGGGCTGGTGTGACCTGTGGCTCCTGGGCCAGCCCAGTCCCTCCTCCCAGCCTCCCGCTGAGACTCCTGGTGCCAGCTGCCCGTGCACCAGTTGTACCTTAGCCCAACAGGCTTGTCTCCGAGGGTTTGTGTGCTTCCTGGCTCAGCCCCACCGCAGCTCCTCTCCCCCAGGCAGCTGCTGGGGACCCTGGCAATCAGGGTTGGGGTGCTTGTGGTGAGCACCCCCTCTATGGGCTGCTGGCTCCCACCATCCCCCAGCGCTGTGGGGGCATGTGGGGCTGTCCCCCACTCAGCCCCAGCTGGCTGCCTCTGGGGGGGCCGGATCTGTGCCAGGGGAGCACAGTGCAGCACCTCGGTGTGGGGTCGGGGAGCGCAGGTAGGGCCTCGGTGTGTTAATAAATCCAGGTTTTCCAAAGCGATGCAGCATCCCTGTCCTGTGTGATGGGACACCACACCGGGGCAGGGACTCTGTGCTGGAGCCGGTGACCTGCCTGTGCCTGAGGCGACTCTTGGGCTCAGCCAGCGTGGGGACCGTGCCCTGGGCTCCGCTGGGTGCCTGGCACACCCTGTGCAGCAGCAGGCTCAGGGGAGAGCTCAGCCTGCTGGTGCTGGGCTCTCGCAGGACCTGGGGCCGGCAGCTCAGGGTGGGCCCGTGGGGCTGGAGAACAGGCCGGAGCTCCAGCGGTGTCTGACATTGAGACGTGTTGCCCTTGGCTGAGCGTGGCTCAGGCTGCTCTGGTGTGTTTGGGTGTGAGAGGTGACTTCAGAGCCGTGTGACTTCCTTTTCCGTCTCTGCTGCTGTCCTGCCAGCAGTGCCCTTGGCTGGCTCAGGAAGGATGCTTGGCAGGGAAGGGGCTTGAGCCAGACAGTGGGGAGCCCAGAGCACCCCCCCCACACACCCCCTCCCAGCTTTGGTCCCGCACCCCTCTCGCACATACGCTGCTGTGTCCTCCCTGCCAAGTGGGTCCCAGCCGGGGACCCCAGTGGGGCTGTGCCGTGGTCATGAGGTACCTGTCCTGGAACAGTCGCCTCATTGTCTGCAGCCCTGGGACTCGGCGACTTCCCCCGCTCACCCACGGCGCTGGCCTCGTGGGGCTGAGTCAGTGCCGGGCGCCGGTGGGGTGACCTCTGCTCCGGCTGGCACTGCCGCCCCAGGGTTGGGGCTTACGAGCCGCTGCCTGTACCTGCCTGCCCGCCCTCCCCGCAGGTGGGTGGCCGGCAGCGAGGCCCGGGCTAGGCGCTCTCGGCTCTGGAAATCCCCTCTGGTCCTGCGCTGTTCCTCAGACCCCGGCAGGCGCTGGCAGCCTGCCCCGGCGCTCGCCGCTGCTTCCCCGGGCTGGCTGGGCGCCCGGGCTGGGGCGCGGGGCTCTGCTCAGACCGGCCCTGGCTGCAGCGGCCCCCGGGGGCACAAGTGCCGGGCTGGGGAGAGGCGGCAGCGCCAGGGCCAGGCTGAGCATGCTGCAGCCTGGCTCCCCTCTGCTGGGGGCTGCTGCGGGGGGGGGGGGGGGGGGGGGGCCTCGTCATGCTGCCTTCCCCCTGCCCTGCTGCCGGGGGCTGGCACTGGCTCCTGCTCTCCAGGCTGTGGGGTCCATACACTGAGGGGCTGTGCCCCCCCTGGAGGCCCTCTGCCCCGCCGCCCCCCCAGGGAGGGAGGAGAGGGGAGGGCAGGGCCCTGATCTCCCTCTCATGCCTGCCTTCTGCTTGCAGGGTCTGCCCCCGGTGCCGTTCGGATCCGGCCTGGCCCCCGAAGGAGCCCCGGCGCTGGCCGCGGAAGGCCTCCCCGAGCGCTACGCCAGCCCCACCGAGCGCCCGGCCCCTTCCTACAGCAGCATGGAAGAAGTCGACTAGGGTGTTGCGGGGTGCCTGCCCGGGGGGGTGCGGGCCGGGCCAGGCGCCGGGGGGGTGGGGGCATGGGAGGGGGGGTGGGGGTTTGTCCTGCACTCATTAAACTCGCTGAACTCCCCTTGCCTCTGCTGCTTGCTGTCCCCTGAGACCCTCTGGTGCCTGGGGAGCCTGCCTCAGGGTACTGTGTACCCCAGCGCAGTGCTGGGGGCCCCAGCACCCTGCTACCCTGGCTGCTCTCATGCCTCTGCTGCGGGCAGAACCTCCACCAGGTGCCTGCCAGGCTCCAGGTCTGGCCCTCTGGTGTCCTGAAGCTTTCAAGGCAAAAAGGTGATTTCCATCACCTTCATTTCACACAGCTTTGTTCCACCCTCTGTGGCACGAGGATGTCCCACTCTGGTTTCAAAGCAGAAACCAGCCACCAGCACCTGCTGGGCAACGCGGCTTGGGCTCGTCCCAGCCCCGCGCGGCTCCCTGCTCCGCAGCCAGCGGGACAGATGCCGGGGGCACGGCATCCCAGGGCTGTGCTGGGTGGCAGCGTGACACCCGAGTCAGAAGCAGCCTGCCCCGGGCCTCTTCCTTGCAGACAGCCCTTCCCGGCCCCGCGCACCCTTCTCCGCAGCCGGTTAAGATCAACGCTGAGGCGAGGGAGCGCTCGGGTTAGTTCTGCTCAGCGCCGGAGCACGGGACAATGCCGAGGCGAGAGCTCCGGCTCCCTCGGCAAGGGCACGCCATGGCCATGCACCGACAGCCAGTGCACCCCTCGACTTACCCTCCTCCACGTCCTTCTCCGGGGCGGTCTCAGCCTGCTCGAGCTCAGGGCGAGACACTGGTGGGCAGAGAAGCAGAGCACGGGCAGGTCTGTCATTCTGTCCCCTCAGAGCACGGGCTGGCACGCTGACGCCCAACATCTCACACATCACTTCCTTCTCCCCTGATCCTCTGTCCCAGCTTTTCACCCTGCACCCAGCGCACCCTACAGCTCCCTGTCCCCTGCTGTCCCCTGGCACTCGGTGCGCCCTGCAGCTCGCTGTCGCCTGCCTGCAGGGTGTCCCCTGGTGTCCCTCATTGCTGTTTCTCAGCCCACCCCGCTGCCCGGTGCGCCCTACAGCAATGGGGGGACACCCAGCGTCCCCCAATGCGCCTCGGTGCCTGTCAGGTCTCCACAGGCTCCGCTTCTGCCTGCGCACTGTTGCCCAGTGTCTGCCGGCGCAGCCCTGACACCACGATGCCCGGTGCCCCCCCAGCACGCACCATCGTCCGGTGTCCCCCCCCCGGTGCCGGTGCTCCAGGACCGCGAGTCCCGGTGCCGGCTGGCGCGGCAGGACCGCAAGCCCCGGTGCTCTAGTGCCCGGTGCCCTGCGGTATGCACCATCCCCCGGTGCCGGCGCTCCAGGACCGCGAGTCCCGGTGCCGGTTGGCCCGTCAGGACCGCCAGCCCCGGTGCGCCCCGTCCCCGCGCTGTGTCTCATCGCCTCGTCGCCCTAGCGCCCGGGATCCCCAGGTAACGTCCCCGGGTACGCCCCGCCGCCCCCGCCTTCGCCCCGGTTGCCGGTGCCGGTGCGGCGGGACTGCAAGTCCCGTCAAGCCGCGGGCGGGCGGCGCGGCCAATGGGGCTCGGGGGGCGGCGCGGCCGGTCGCTGCCTCCGCCGCCGCCCGGTGCCGCGGCGCAGAGAGCCCCGGAGCGGCCGCGCGGCGCCGGCCCCGCAGCCCGGCTCTGAGCCGCCCGCCCGGCCCGGCCCGCCCCGCCGCGCCCCGCCGCCCTCAATGAGGTTCTTCCGACTCACCTTCAAGTGCTTCGTGGATTGCTTCTGAGCCCCCACCCCGCGCCCCCCCCCGCCCCCCTTCCCACGGCCACGGAGCCGCCCCCGACCCGCCCCCGCTCCCCGGCCCCCCGCGACATGCCCCCCGTCCCCGCCGATACGGCCGCCCCGCAGCCGCCCGCCGCCCCGCGACGCGACAGCGCCAACGCCGCCAACGCCGCCGCCGCCGCTGCCCCCGCGGGCTCCGGTAAGCGGGGAGCGCTGGGGAGGGATGAGGTCGGCGACGGGGAGGGCGGGGAGGGACGCGCGCACACACGCACACGGGACACGGGCACCCACGGCCACGCGCGACCGCGGCGCGCCCCCTCCCGCCGCCGCGGGGTGAGTCACCGCTCTGCATTGTGACGTCACGCGCCAGCCTGACATCTGACGTCACGCCCCCACGCGCGGAGAGGGGCGCGCGGGGGGGGCGCTCCCCCCCCCCCCCTTTTCTCACCCCCACGGGCGCGCGTGACAGTAGCGTGGGCCCCCCCCACACACACACACACACCTTCCGTCTTGTCAGAGGGCCGCGGGGAGGCGGAGGGCGCGGAGCCCCCCGCGGCAGGCGAGGAGCGGGCGGTGACGGCACCGCTGGTGGGACCCCCCGGCCCCCCGAAAGCGGCCGCCCCCGAGCGGGAGACGTGGACCCGGCAGATGGATTTCATCATGTCCTGCGTGGGTTTCGCCGTGGGGCTGGGCAACGTCTGGCGCTTCCCCTACCTGTGCTACAAGAACGGCGGAGGTGAGCCCTCTGCTTGCCCCGCGGCGTGGGGGGGGCACCCCACGGCACGTGGGAGCACCCCGCTTTCCACCCCGTAGTGTGTGTGTGTGTGTGTGTGTGTGTGTGTGTGTAGGGGTGTCAGCCCACCGTGCACCTCCCCGAGGCACGGGGCTGTCCGCGGGGGCTCACGGGCCACCCCACAGGTGTCCGACGTCACCCACCAGGGTGGGGGTCCGTGGGGAACCCCCCACCACCTGCCTGCCCTGACCTACATCGGCAGCGAGACGAGGGGAGGGCGCGGAGGCGCCTTTGCCATTCGCTGCGCCCGGGCGGGCGGTGCGGGAAGGGAAGGGGGGGCCCGGGGGGGCCCGGGGGGAGCGGCGGCAGCTGAGCCGGTCCCGTTCCCCCACCCCCCCGTCCCCAGGCGTCTTCCTCATCCCCTACCTGCTCATCGTCTTCGTGGGCGGCATCCCCGTCTTCTTCCTGGAGGTGGCCCTGGGGCAGTTCATGAAGCAGGGGGGCATCGCCGCCTGGAACATTGCCCCCCTCTTCAAGGGTAACGCCGAACCCTTCTCGTGGCCTCCTGCACCCTGCCCGTGGCCCCTGGCACCCTGCACCCTGCCCGGGCCCCCCCCCCCCCCCCCCCCCCCCCCCGGCGCCCTGCCTGGGGCACCGGCTGCCTGCAGCCTGTCAGGGCTGGCGGCACCCTGCCCACGCCCTGCCTGCTCCCGTGCACCTTGCCCACGACCCACCGCTACCCTGCACCCCGGCCAAAGGTGGCAGCTGCCTGCACTCGTGCCCCGGGGCACCCTGCACCACCCTGCCCGGTCCCCGGGCTGCCGGATCCCCCCCTCAGCGATGTCCCATCAGCTTCTCCGGTGCTGCCGGCTGTCCCCACCCCGTCCCCGCCAGTTCCCCTTGTCCCATCCCCGCCAGCTCCCCGCTGTCCCGCCTGGGGCAGCCAGCTCCCCCCCTGTCCCACCTGGCCCGCTGCATCCCCGCCAGCACCCCATGTCCGGCCCCCCTCCCCGCCAGCACCCCCCATCCCACCCCAAGCTGCCAGATCCCCCACCCCTCCGGGCTGCCGGGTTCCCGTGGGTGCCCGTGGCCTCTGATCTCCCCGTGCCGCAGGTCTGGGCCTGGCCTCCATGGTGATCGTCTTCTTCTGCAACTCCTACTACATCATGATCCTGGTGTGGGGGCTTTTCTACCTGGTGCACTCGCTGACGGACACCCTGCCCTGGGCCACCTGCGGCCACGCCTGGAACACCGAGCAGTGCGCCGAGCTCTTCCACCTCGAGCTCTGCCGCAACGGCAGCGCCAACGCCAGCGCCGGCACGGGGCCCTTCAACCTCAGCTGCGCCGACTTAGCCAGCAAGCGCTCGCCCGTCATCGAGTTTTGGGAGTGAGTGCGGGGACCAGGGTGCGGGGTCTTGCCTGGGGCGGGGGGCGGGTCATGCCGGTGCTCAGCACAGCTCCGCTTTGCAGGAACAAGGTGCTGCGGCTCTCGGGGGATCTCAGCGAGCCGGGGGAGATGAACTGGCAGATGATCCTCTGCTTGGTCACCACTTGGGTCGTCGTCTACTTCTGCATCTGGAAGGGTGTCAAGTCAACCGGGAAGGTGACGCTGGCGGGGTGGGGGATGCGTCAGGGCCACCAGCACGCAGGGATGGGACTGCGGCATGTGGCACTGCCAACTCCTGCCCTCCTGTGCTGCAGCCCACAGGGGGTGCAGGACCCCCTGTCCCACATCTCACTGGGAGGTGCCACCAGCCTCTGGGGACATCCCCGAGCCCTGGTCCCGCTGGGACACCGGTGGCACATGACAGAGAGCCCCAGCCCGAGGTGTGTCACCAGCACCCACCCACTCCTCTGCAGATTGTCTACTTCACGGCACTCTTCCCCTACGTGGTCCTCATCCTGCTGCTGGTCCATGGGGTGACGCTGCCCGGGGCGCTGGGTGGCATCGTCTATTACCTGAAACCCGACTGGTCCAAGCTGGCTGAGGCGCAGGTGAGAGGGCAGGAGGGGGGGCAGGGTTCTGGGCACCCCCCCCCGACACCCTGCCCACCCTCTGACACCCTCCCTCACGCTCCAGGTCTGGATCGACGCCGGCACCCAGATCTTCTTCTCCTACGCCATCGGGCTGGGTGCCCTGACCGCGCTGGGCAGCTACAACCGCTTCCACAACAACTGCTACAGGTAGGGCTGGGGGGCGTCCCCTCGGCGCGTCCCCCGGCGTCCCCCCTGGCACCCCCCTGACCCGCTCTGCCCGCAGGGATGCCTACATCCTTGCCGTGATCAACAGCTCCACCAGCTTCTTCGCTGGCTTCGTAGTCTTCTCCGTGCTGGGCTTCATGGCCTCCGAGCAAGGCGTGGACATCTCCAAGGTGGCCGAGTCCGGTGAGTGCTGGGTGGTGGGTGCCCACTAGTACCGTATCCCCTGTGCGTGTCGTCCCCCCCCCCCCCCCAGGTGTGGCACCACTGACCCTGCTCTCCCACAGGCCCTGGGCTGGCTTTCATCGCCTACCCCAAAGCCGTGACGCTGATGCCCTTGTCCCCGCTCTGGGCCACGCTCTTCTTCTTCATGCTCCTTGTGCTGGGGCTGGACAGCCAGGTACGGCAGCGGGCAGGGGGACAGGGACGGGGAGGGGAAGGGGTGGCCCGTCCCCGCTGAGCCCCGCTCTTCTGCCTCAGTTTGTTGGCGTGGAGGGTTTCATCACGGGCATCCTGGACCTGTTCCCTCAGCCGGGGGCTGGCTCGCTGCGCCGCGAGCTCACCGCTGCGCTCTGCTGCATCGTCTGCTGCCTCATCGACCTCTCCATGGTCACGCAGGTGGGGGGGACGCGGCAGGGACACCGGCCGGCCGGCTCCACGCCGGGCACCCGGGACGTCACCTCCCCCCGGGGACCCCAGCGTGGGGTGGGAGCTCCCTGGGGCCGCTACGCCCACAGCAGCGTGGGGGGGGGTGTCCCCGTGGCGCGGGGGGGTGCTGTGGGAGCACACAGGTGGCACGCGGGGTGTCCGCGCTGGGTGGGATGCCGGTGCTGTGCCCACACTGGTGTGGAGGCGCCCGTGCCGGCCACGGGGCAGCCCCGGTGATGTGCGGCGCCGTCCCGGCAGGGCGGCATGTACGTGTTCCAGCTCTTTGACAACTACTCGGCCAGCGGGATCACGCTGCTGTGGCAGGCTTTCTGGGAGTGCGTGGTCATTGCCTGGGTCTACGGTGAGGCCGGGGTGGGGGGGTGGGACACGGGGAGGGACACAAGGGGACGTGGGGGCCCCCGCGGGGCCCAGCTCACGCCCTCCTTCCCCGCAGGCGCCGATCGCTTCATGGACGACGTGGCCCGCATGATCGGCTACCGGCCCCTGCCCTTCATGAAGTGGTGCTGGGCCGTGGTGACGCCGCTGGTCTGCGTGGTGAGCGGGGGACACGCGTGGTTTTTTCTGCGGGTGCCCCCGGCCCCGTGCCGCGGGCTCCCCCAGGCGGCCGCTTGGGGCACGGCAGCCGCGGGGCGACACGCGTGGCGGGGCCACGGGCACGGCGGGGGCGCGGGGTGACACGCGTGGGGGGGTCAGAGGCCGCCAGCCACCTGCCCCACGGGACCTCACCCCCCGCTCTCTCTCCACCCAGGGCATCTTCGTGTTCCACGTGGTGAACTACAAGCCACTGACCTACAACAAGACGTACGTGTACCCGTGGTGGGGGGACGCCATTGGCTGGGTCCTGGCACTCTCCTCCATGCTCTGCATCCCCTGCACCGTCCTCTACAAGCTCCTGCGCTGCAAAGGCTCCCTGCGCGAGGTGAGGGCAGCGCAGCGGGGGCCCCCCTGCCTCTGCCCCCCAGCCCACCTCGGCCACCCTTCTCCCTGTCCCCCCGTCAGTCTCATCCCCAGCCAAATCCTGTTCTTGTCCCCATCACTGTCTCATCCCCAGCCAAATCCCGTTCTCGTCCCCATCGCCGTCTCATCCCCAGCCAAATCCCACCCCTGTCCCCATCTCTCTTTCACTCCCAACCTCACCTGGATCCCATCCTTGCTCACACCACCGTCTCAGTCCCATCCTCATACTAATCCTGACCCTGTCTCCATCCCTATCGCTCTCGCAGCCAAATCCTGTCCCTGTTCCCATCACTGTCTCAATCCATCCCCATCTCATCACTGTCTCCATGCAATTCCTGTCCCTCTCTTGACTCTCAATCCCATTTCAGTCCCCTCCCCATTTTAATCTCACCCCCGTCCCTATCCAAGTCCCAACCCTGTCCCCATTGCTGTCTCACTCCCAACCTCACCCAAATCCCATCCTTGCTGATGTCACTGTCTCAATCCAGTCACCGTCTCAGCCCCATCCCTGTCCTCATGCTCTCCCTCTCTCAATCCCATTTCAATCCCTTCCCCGTCCCAGTCTCGCCTCCATCCCCACCCAAATCCCACCGCTGTCCCCGCCTCAGTCCCATGCCCGCGCACCGGGGGCGGGGATGACACGCACCATGCTGGGCCCACGCAGTCCCCAGCGCTGTTGTCCCCGGACGCTGACACGGTGTCCCCACAGCGCTGGCAGCTCCTGACCACTCCAATCTGGGGCCACCATCACCTGGAGTACCTGACGCCCGAGGCAGAAGCCAAGCTGCTGGCCCCGGAGCCCCCCAAGGAGAAGGCGACGCTCTTCGAGACTGTGATCTGAGCGTGGGGAGGGTCGCGCTGCTCCCGCCCGCCATAGCAATAATGCCAGCACCGCCTCCCACCCACGCTGCCCCGTGCCCCCCGCGCCGCCCCGGCCCGCCGGCCTCGCCACAGGGGGGGTGCACTACAGGGAGGTGGGGGGTTGCTGGGGGGGCCGTGGGGCCGGGGCGGCTGCAGGGAGCGGGAGGGGTCCCCGGCGCGGGGGAGCGTGGCAGCCCGGGGGGGCAGGGGGGGAGGCTGCGGGCCGGGGGAATGAGCGGGACAGCCCCTCCCCGGCCCCTGCCCGCGGCCCCTGCAGCCCCCCCTGCTCACTAACCGCTTCCTGTAGCGTTTGTCTGGTGTAACCCCGACCGCCCCGACATCTGGCAATAAACTGGGAGACCCTGGCATCCCCGGCACCGCAGGCAGGGGAAGGGGGGCAGTGGCATGGGCAGCTGGGGGGATGAGATGTGGGGTGGCACCTGTCTGTGGGGGACAGGGCTCAGGGATGCGGGGACACCTGGATTCCTCTCTTGGGGTGATTTGGCAGGGACAGGCTGCCAGAGCAGGGGGGGGGTCTCCATCCTCCTCCGCCACAGGATGTGGTTGCCCACAGGCCCTACCAAACCCTGGTTGCTTGCAGGACTGGGACACCCCCACGCAGCCAGGGCTGGCCCCACTTCCCAGATCTGCACTGGCCCCAAGGGACACATTTCAGCCCAGAGGCTTTGGGGGTCCTGGCTGTCCTCAGCCCAAAGTGAGGGCTGCAGGGGTTGGGTCAGGATCCAGCCATACCCTTGCTGGGAGCTGCTTGTGTCAACTTTGGGGCTCTCTGCTCCCCGCCCTGTGCCACAGGGACAGCCCTGGGCTGGGGAGCGCTGTGGGGACGAGGAGATGAGGCAGCCCCAAGGCCTGGGCACATAGCCAGGAGAAGCCAGAGGCTTGGCCTGCTCCAGACCCCTCAAGCTGCCTGAGCCCATTTCCCATGGGGTGACATCCAGGGGGATGCCCTGTGTCCCACACCAGCAGCTCCCTGGGGTGGCCAGCTCCAGTCCCTGCCATGAGGACCCTCATGGTGCCTTGAGGTGGTTTCCCACCATCCCTGTGCCCGGGCTGGGCGTCAGCATCCCGCCGCGCCCAGGGCTGGCACTTGTCATACCCCAGCAGCGCCGTGGCCATTCCGGGTGGTCTGTGGCCATTCTGCCCGTGGAGGGACATGGGAGGACAAGTGCCACCACTTGCCCCGGCCATCCTCGGGGAGCAGTGCCATGCTGGGGGGGCTGTGTCCTGCGCCTGGGGTCACCGGAGTGCTGGAGGGGCTTGCCTCGGGGCACTGGCTCACCCCAGCACCATACCCTCTCACCCCGCCGGGGCGAGCCCGTAGTTCCTGCCCCACCGGCAACACACGCCGTAATTAGCACGGGCAGGGCGGAAGCATCAATGATAATTGGCGGTGACTCGTTAGCGCTGGAGTGCCCGTGTGCCCGGGGCGCGGCAGGACTTTCCGGCAGGGCTGGTCTGCGGGCCCGGCTGGCATCCCGGTACACCGGCTGCCGTGCGGGGCCTGGCCAGCTCCCCACTGCCGGAGCGGGGCCGGGGCTGGGCGCGGGGGCGAGCACCGTCATCACCTTCGCTTCGTGTCGGAGCACGCCCCGGCCCCCCCACCCCCTTGTAAAAGGCACAGCCGCGGTCTGGCGCCGGGGTGCTGCCGGCACAGACGGTGAGAGCTCAGGGACCAGTTGGGCAAAGGAGAGGTAGAGGGCAGGGGATAAAAGGGGGTGCCAGGAGGATCTCTTGCCTGGCCAGGCTTTCCCCGCGGGTTTCCTGTAGCACCCACGCGAGGGGACTTGACGAGCGTTGTGCCCTCGCAGGGGTGGGTGCCCGCAGCGCCATGAACCGGATCACAGTGTACGAACGTGCCAACTTTGAGGGGCTGAGCCGGGAGTTCACCTGCGACGTGCCCGACCTGCACGAGCTGGATTTTGGGGACTGCATCGCCTCCCTGAAGGTGGTGGGGCAACCCTGGATCGCCTACACGGACCCCAAGTACGAGGGGCAGCCGCATGCCTTTGAGGAGGGCGAGTACCCCTCAGTGGGGCGGCCCAACAGCTTCTCGGCGCTGCGTCTCGTGCACCATGACCTGGGGGACCCCCAGATCACCCTCTACGAGCGCCCTAACTTCCAAGGCGCCTGCAAGGTGGTGACAGAGGAGACCAACTTGGCGTACGGGTACTTCAACGACCGGGTGGCCTCCCACGTGGTGCAGCGAGGTGTTTGGCTGCTCTACCAGCACCCCGACCGGGGCGGTTGGCACTGCCTGGCGTGGCCCGGGGAGCGTCTCGCCGACTACAAACCCGAGCTGAACTTCCACGCTCGGTTGTCCCACCTGCGCCCACTGCGGCCCGGGCAGCCCCTGGTCTCGGCGCGTCTCCTCTGGGAGCAGAAGCGGGTGGAGGCGGAGCGGGAGGTGCTGGTGGATGAGATCGAGGGGGTGAATGAAACAGAGTCAGAGCAGGCACTGGCAGCCAGCAGCAGCCGAGAGTACGGCACCACGCTCTGGCAGAGCTTCCACTTCAGCAACGCCACCAGCCTCAAAGCCGGGCTCTCCTTCACACTGACCGTGGAAGCCTCCAACGTCTTCACGGTGCAGAAAGGACGCAGTGAATCCAGCACTCGCCGGGAACGTGTGGAGGTGCAGCTGCCGGTGAAGATCCCCCCACGCACGGCACTCAGCATCCAGGTCTTGCGGAAGGAGGTGACGCTCTCCGTCCCGGTCCTGCTCACCATCACTCAGAACGAAGCCGTCCGTACAGAGATGGGCGAGTACCGCAGCGTCTCGGGTACCAACATCAGCGCCCGCTATAGCTTGAAGCCTCTGCCGGCTGCAGGCAGGGAGCAGGCAGCCACTGCGGGGACTGAGCCGGTGCCCAGCACTGGGAAAGAGCTGGAGCTGTAGCTCTGTCCCAGTACCAGGCACCAGCTCGGTTCCCTTAGTGGTGTGGGACCCCCTGACCCTGGAGGAGCCAGGACCAGACTTGCCCAGCCACGTTGGGTGGCTCTGGCTGGCAGGACATGATTGTGCCTCCTCCCGCTGGGTGTTGCCAATAAACCCCCTTCCCCAAGCCCTCGGGTGTGCTGCTGCTGGGGCCGGGGTGGGAGTGGGCTGGGGGAGCTGGGGAGACACAGAGCTGGGGGGGGGAACACCAGGCTGGGGGAGCTGGGGGACACTGGGGCAAGCTGGGTGAGCTGGTGACACCAGGGTGGGAGAGCCAGAACACAATGTGGGGAGTGGGGGAGGCACTGGGCTGGAAAGGACATCAGGCTGGGAGAGTTGGGGGGGCACTGGGAAAAGCTGGGTGAGCTGGGGGCACCAGGCTGGGAGAGCCAGAACACAAGGTGGGGGTCGGGGGAGGCACTGGGCTGGGGGGGTTGGGGAACGCTGGGCAGAGGGATATACTGGGCTGGGGCAGCTGGGGGGACATGGTGGGTAGGGAAGCGGGGGGACACCGGGCTGGGGACTGGGGGGACAGCGGGGACACCGGTCGGGGGGGAGCCGGGGGGGGAGGACAGCGGGCCGGCCTGTCCCCCCGCACACACCGGGGGGGGTGTGTGTGTCCCCATCGGCCCGACACAGGGGGGCGGGTGGCGCGGCTGCGGGAGCCGGCAGGGTGGAGAGTGCCCGTGCAGCCCGCTACGGCAGCCGGGCGCGGACAAAGGGCCGTGGGGCGGTGGGCGACCGGTGGGGCGTGGGGTGGCACAGACCCCACCTCCCCGCCACGCCCCCCCACGTGCCTCCCGCGGCCTTCGGTCCCTTTAAATGATGCAACCGGCCGCCGGCTTGGCCCCGCCCCCTACTCGCCTATTCGCGGAGCCGACGTCGGGCTCCCCCCATCCCATTGGCCGAGGCGGGCCTCCCTCGCTGCCGATTGGCTCGGCCTGCGCCGGCGACACGCCCTTCCCGCTTCGATTGGCTTGGGCGTGGCCCCGCCCCTCCCCGGGCGTGCGGTGGCGGCAGCAGCATGGCGGCGGAGGCGGTGGCGATGGCGGCGGAGGAGGCGGAGGAGGCCCTGGAGCTTTTCACCGGCATCGGTCTCAGCGAGGCCAAGGCGCGCGAGACGCTGCGCAACGGGGCGCTCAGCGCGCTGCTCCGCCGCGCCGTGCTTCAGGTGCGCCCGGCGCCGGCCCCCACCCCGCTCCCGGGTCCCCGGTGTGGCGGAGACCCCGCCCCCTCGTCCCCGGTGCGGCGGAGACACCGCCCCCTCCCCGGGACACCCCCCCCCCCCTCGGGACACCCCCCCCTTCGATCCCGCCTCCTCTGAGCGGCCCTTCGGCACTCCCACCCCTGCTCCGCCCCGGTGCCGCCGGTTCGCCGGGGCTCAGCCCCGGGCCGGTCCTGACGGTTCCCCCGGGGGCGGGGGGGCGGCAGGCTCGGAGCGCGCTGGGCCCGACCCTGGACAAAGCCACCGGGACGCTGCTGTACAACGCGGCCGCCCGCCTCAAGGACCCGAAGCACCTCGGCTTCCTCGTCGGCTACATCGCCCGCAGGGAGATCTGCACCGACCTGCAGCTCAACGGTACCGTGCGGCCCCGGGACCCCCGACCCCGGTACCGAGGGGCCCTGCTCCTCACCCCCCACTCTGTCCCCAGCTGCCTTGGAGTACGTGAGGAGCCACCCCCTGGAGCCCCTGGACGTGGCGGACTTTGAGTGGGCCTGCGGCGTGGGGGTGCGTGTCACCCCCGAGCAGATCGAGGAGGCGGTGAGTGAGGGGGGGGAGGACACACACACGGGACAGGACGGGCTGACAGCCCCACGCGTCATGCTCCCCCGTTCACCCCCGTGTCCCTGTCCTCCTCCCCAGGTGGAGGCGGTGATCGGCCAGCACCGAGCCGAGCTGCTGGCGGAGCGCTACCGCTTCAACATGGGGCTGCTGATGGGTGAGTGTGAGCTGCCCGGGTGTGGGGGGGGGACATCCTGCCCTGGGGCAAGGGGCTGATTCCAGCTTGCTGGGGGTCCTGCATCCATCTGAAGCCCCCACCCAGGGCTGGGCCGTGCCCCTCACCCACAGGATGCCCTGTCCGCAGGGGAGGCACGGAGCCGGCTGCGGTGGGCGGATGGGAAGACGGTCAAAAACGAGGTGGACCTGCAGGTGGGTGCGAGGGCTCCGGGTTGGGCGCTGCTTGGGGCGGTGTCCCCTGTCACGGCCGTGCCCTGTGCTGTCCCAGGAGGGCCCGGGGCTGGGGACAGCCTGCCCTGGGTAGGTGCAGGTGGGGGGTGAGGAGTGACAGCTGGACAGGGACACTGTCCGGCCTTGGGACACCGGGAGCCTTTTCTACTCCTGTCTGTGTCTCTCTTGTCCAGGTTTTGCATTTGCTGGGGCCAAAGACAGAAGCTGACCTGGAAAAGAAACCAAAGGTGAGGAGGAGAGGGAGGCTGGCAGCTGAGATGGTGTTTCCCTGCTGAGTGTCCAGGCTGGATCCCAAATTGCTGCTCTGGGATCCAGCTGCCATCACGGACACGGGGCTGAGGGAGCGCTGGGGGCAGCGGTCTGGGCCAGGAGGGGAAGGCCCGTGCTGGGGCTGGGCACTCAGGGTGCTGTGCTGGTCCCTGCAGGCTGCAAAGGCCCGGCCAGCCCCAGCAGAGAAGCAGAAGGCTGCTGTGGTGGAGAACGGTAAGAGACTGTCCTGCTGCGGGCAGCGTCCCCAGCCCTTTGGTTCCTCTCTGGGATCTGGCTCCGAGCTGGGCCCCGGGAGCTGCGGGCAGGGCCCTGCTCAGCCCTGTCTCTCCTTGCAGGCGAGGTGGGCACGGAGACACGGTCGCTGCTGGAGCAGCTGCGGGGAGAAGCCCTCAAATTCCACAAGCCGGGTGAGTGTGAAGAGCCACTGCCATCTGCAGGGCCGCTCCACCGGCTCTGTGCCCAGCCCCGGCTCCCTGTGCTGCAGGGGACCGGCCCAGCTCTGTGCCCTTCCCCACCGGCTGCTGGGCTTGGCTCGGTTTGGGCAGTGCCACAGCCCTCAGCACCCTCTGCCCGCAGGAGAGAACTACAAGGCGGAGGGCTACGTGGTGACTCCCAACACCATGGCTCTGCTGAAGCATCACCTGACAGTCACGGGTGGGCAGGTGAGGCCACGTCCCCCCAGCCCAGTGGTTCTCTGCAAGGGTGGTACTGCTGTGCTGGGCGGCAGCCAGGCAGGTGGGGTGCCTGGGGGAGACACACAGCTCACCGGGGGCAGAAGCAGCACCCATGCAACATGGGGGGCTCTGTGGGATCATCAGGGGCTCACGTCAGTGCCCCTGCTGTCAGGGAGTGTGCGAGCCTCCTGCCAAAGGACAGAGGTGTCTCCTTTCCCCCCTGCAGGTGCGGACACGGTTTCCTCCTGAGCCCAACGGGATCCTGCACATCGGCCATGCCAAGGCCATCAACTTCAACTTTGGCTACGCCAAGGTGGGAAGCACCAAGCCTGCTGGCAGACCCCCCGGCCCCTCACTCCTCCTGCTGCTTGGCCGCTGGCCTTGCCCTGCGGTCCCTCAGGGAGCGGCTGCTCACTGTCCCCCCACCCCCAGGCCAACGGTGGCTTGTGCTTCCTGCGCTATGATGACACAAACCCCGAGAAAGAGGAGGAGAAGTACTTCACGGCCATCCGGGAGATGGTGGAGTGGCTGGGTACGGCTCAGGCTGGGGAGGGCAGGATCAGGCCGGCTGCTGCTGGGGACACCCCTGCATGCAGGTCCTGCTGCCGGGTGCTGGGGGTGCCTCCAACCTGCTTTGTTTCCCCTGTCCCCACAGGCTACCAGCCCTATGCAGTGACCCACGCATCAGATTACTTTGACCAGCTCTATACCTGGGCCCTGGAGCTCATCCGCAGGTGAGCGTGCTGGGGTGGTACGGATGTGCGAGGGCAGCGTGGTTGTCCCATGCCAGGGCTCCTGGGGAGCCCCGGGAGTGGGTCACTCATGTCTGGTGACAGTGCTTTCCCCCCGTAGGGGCCAGGCATATGTCTGCCATCAGAAGGTTGAGGAGATCAAGGGCCACAACCCACCTCCCTCACCGTGGCGGGACCGGCCCGTGGAGGAGTCACTCCTGCTCTTTGAGGTACCCCTGGCTGGGGTCAGGCGCTGCATGCCCCGGGGGTCCAGGTCTGTGGCTCCGCCGACAGCTTCCCCCTGCTCCACAGGACATGCGAAAGGGCAAGTTCGGGGAGGGGGAGGCCACACTGCGGATGAAACTGGTGATGGAGGATGGGAAGATGGACCCCGTCGCCTACCGTGTCAAGTTCACTCCTCACCACCGTACCGGCGACAAGTGGTAGGGAGGGCCTGTGGCACCCTGGCACGCGTGGCGGGGGTGGGCTGGCGTTTCCTGGCAGTGGGGAGGTGTCAGGCAGGGAGCTCTGCCCCAGGGCTGACTGCGTCTGCCTTGTAGGTGCATCTACCCCACGTATGACTACACACACTGCCTCTGCGACTCCATCGAGCACATCACGCACTCCCTCTGCACCAAGGAGTTCCAGGCCAGGTGAGCGCCGTGCACGGCACGGCCCAGGGCTGAGCCAGACATGGCAGGGCAGTTCTGGGGAGGGGGGGGGGAGCAGCTGACTGTGTCCTGGCAGCTGCCAAAGTGCTGGGGGACAGCGTGTCCATGGGGCTGTGGGTGGGCATGAAGCTGAGCCGGGCTGTGCCTTGCAGGCGCTCCTCCTACTTCTGGCTCTGCAATGCCCTGGATGTCTACTGCCCTGTGCAGTGGGAGTACGGGCGCCTGAACCTGCTCTACACTGTCGTCTCCAAGAGGAAGATCATCCGGCTGGTGGAGACGGGTGCCGTGAGGTAGGAGCGGGGCCAGCAGCCAAGGGTGGGTCTTTCCCAGGGCACGCCTGGCTGTCTCACCCGTGTTTTTTCAGGGACTGGGATGACCCGCGGCTCTTCACGCTGACGGCCCTGCGCCGGCGAGGCTTTCCACCTGAGGCCATCAACAACTTCTGTTCCCAGGTAGGTGTTGAGGACAGGACAGGGATGGGATGGGTGGATGCATCCCCTGACCAGTGTGGTGACAGCAGGCTGTCCCACAGGTCGGTGTGACTGTGGCCCAGGCGACAATGGAACCTCATCTTCTGGAGGCATGTGCGCGGGAGGTGCTGAATGAGCAAGCCCCCCGTGCCATGGCTGTCCTGGAGCCCCTCAAGGTCACCATCACCAACTTCCCTGCCCCAAAGGTGAGACTGCTGCAGGCTGGGGTGGGAGTGGGGTTCCCCAAGGTCAGCATTCACCCCCTCCTTTTACCCAGGCACTTGAGGTCCTTGTGCCCAACTTTCCAGCCGATGAGAGCCGGGGTTTTCACAAAGTGCCCTTCCAGCCTACTGTCTACATCGAGGAGACAGATTTCAGAGAGGTGAGCCAGGCCCACTGGGTCATACTGCCCTTGCTCCCGAGAGCTGTGGCTCTGGCAGCACTGGGAGCGGCGCTGGTGCTGCATGGGGCACAGTCAGGTGTCAGGCACCCAACCGTGACTCCCAAACATGCCAGCATCTCTGATGGGCAGCAGGGAAATGTCGGCTGCCCTTAGTCTGGCCGGAATGTATCCAACCAACGGTGCCCATAGCTGACCTGCATGCTGGGGCATGTCCTGCAGCGTTCAAACAGCCCTGGGCACGCCAATCCCTGGGACAGCAGGAGTGGGTGGGGGGCATGCAGCTGTGGGGACAGGGATGTGCTGGGGAGGGGGAACTTCTGCTTGTGCTGGGACCCCCAGCCATGAACAATCTTGCAGGAGGTGGACAAGAGTTACAAGCGCCTGGCCCCTGGGCAGCCGGTGGGGCTGCGCCATGCTGGCTACGTCATCGCCGTCCAGAACGTCATCAAGGTGGGTGGCTCTGGGCAGTGGTGACGTGAGGTTGGGCAGTGAGGTGTCAGGACATGGCCATGCCCCACCGGGGAAGGGCAGTGGTGGTCACAGCGTGGGTGCAGGCTGCCTGTGTGGCAGCTCCCTGACAGCCCTGTTGCCTTGAGCAGCGGGGAGCGGGGTTGCCCTGAGCTGGGGCAGACTGGTGCTTCGGCCTTAGGGCTGCCCTGCGGGATGGGACTGTTCCCTGACTGCTTGTTTTGCCTCCTCTTGCCCAGGACGCCAGCGGACGCGTGATCGAGCTGGAGGTGACCTGCACCAAGTCAGAAGTGGCGGAGAAGCCCAAAGCCTTCATCCACTGGGTCTCGGAGCCACTGGTGTGCGAAGTGCGGCTCTATGAGCGGCTGTGAGTACCCAGCTAGTCCCAGAGGCGCGGGTGCAAGCTCAGCGGTGCTGGGGCGGCAGCAGGGCTGTGCACCAGCAAGCTCTGCCAGGGTCTGCCTGGCTCCCTGGTGGGAAAGATGCTGCCTTCCTGCAAGCTGCTTGCCGCATAGTTGCCATAGGGCACCACGTCCCCTTGCCTGGTGGCTTTAGGATGAGACTCTGTCTCTTGGCAGGTTTTTGCACAAAAACCCCGAGGACCCGTCAGAGGTGCCTGGTGGCTTTCTGAGCGACCTCAATCCTGTGAGTAGTGGCAGGAGCTGGAGTCACGGGCCTGGGGGGAGCTGAGGACCTCCTGCACCCACACCCAAGGCACTTCCACGTGAGCCCTACTCCTCCCTGGGCAGGGCCCTGCCGTGTCCCTGGAGGGAGCGGGGCTGGGGAGGGGGCAGAGGGGCCGGAGGTGCTGAGCTGCCTCCCCCTGCCAGGACTCCCTGCGCGTGATCCGCAACGCCCTGGTCGACAGCTCGGTCCTTTCGGCCCGGCCCTTTGACAAGTTCCAGTTTGAGCGGCTGGGCTATTTCTCCGTGGATCCTGACAGTGAGGAGGGGAAGGTGAGCCCTGGGGAGGTGGCCGTGGGGCTCCCCCCTGCCCACCGCGGGGCTCTGAGCTGACCCTCTGCCTCTCCCCAGATGGTGTTCAACCGGACAGTGACGCTGAAGGAGGACCCCGGCAAGGCCTGAGGGACCCACCGCTGCTGCCCTGCCATAGGGCTGCTTCCCTGGGGGGTCCCTGCGCGCCCCCAGCGCCACCATGCCTTGGCGCAGCCCCCCAGGGCGCCCCACAGCATCGCCTCAATAAACGGAGCATCCCAGCCCTGTCCCCGCACTGTCACTGCCTCCTGTCCCCCATTTTGCCTTGGGGTGCTGGGGGGGGGGTGGTGGTGTCTCCCCTGTTCCCTGGGGGGTTCAGGGGCTGCTCCTGCCCCACAGGCGGGGCTGGTGCCCCCGTGGGACCTGCAGCTCCCTCCACCCGCGACCGTGAGGCTGGGCTGGAGGGAGGGTCCTCAGGGTCTGCCCAGGCAGGGTGCGGGCAGGCGGGAGAGTGTGCACGCTGTGTACAAACACCGCCCGAGCGCCGTCCCCCCTTAAGGTGGTCTCGAGTGGGGTGGCCCCCGCCCGGTCTCGGGCTGGGGCGGTCTGGGCGGTGTCCCCGCGGGACCGGCGTAACCCCCATGCCCCGAGCTGGGGGAGCGGGGCCCCGGCCCTGCCGTGATGGGAGTGGGGAGGCTCTGCCCAGTCCCACGGGCCACCTTAAGCGGCAGCGGGGGCGCGGAGGCCGCGCCGAGCACATGGGCACGTTAAAGCAGCCCCGGCTCGGCCCGACGATGCGGGGACCCTTCGCCCCGCGGTCCCGCGCGGGGGCAGGGCGCAGTCCCCGCCGGTACCGGTCGCGGAGGTCCCAGCGCTCTCCCCGGGGAACCCCTGCATTGGAGTGTCGCCCACCCGTGGGACGGCGCGGGGCCTTACCCCGACTGCTGCGTGGGGGGGTGTGTGTGTGTGGGGAGGGTGGGGGGGGTCGCGGCCAGGCCAACCCCGCTTGGCGCGGAGCAGCGGCGCGGCTTCGTGGGACCCTTCAGCCGGCGGCGCCCCACGGCCACGCGTGTCGGTGGCGTCCCGAGTCCCACAGCCGCGACGGGGGCTGTCCCTACCCCAGTCGCGGCCACTGGCCCCCATCCCCGCCCCGTGTCCCGGGCCCGCGCGCGCTTCCCCGCGTAGGGCGCCCCCCCGCGGCCGCCCCTCTTCCCCGCCGGGGTGCGTCCCCTTTAAGGGGCGGGGCGAGGCCGGCCGCCGCGCTCTCGCGGGACTTGAGGGCCGTCCTCTCGCGAGGCCTGGGCCGCGCGCTGATTGGCTGCGGGGGGTTGAATGTAAGATGGCGCCCAGGGAGCTGTGAGGGGAAAAGACTCGGGGCCGAGGCGGCGGCGGCGCGAGGCGACGGCGGCAGCAGGGCCGGGGTGAGGCGGGGCCGGGCCGGGGTGAGGCGGCGCGCAGCGAGGCCGCCGGGCCGGGGCTGGGGATGGAGGGGGGGTGGGGGGTGCGCGGCGGCGGGGCCGGGCGGGGCCTTCCGTCGGGCGCGGGGGGGGGAGGCGGCGGCGGTTCCGGGGGCGGTGCGCGGGCCCGGCGGGGAGGGGGGAGGGGAGGAGGCGGCGGCCCCGCCTGCCGGGTGCGCGCACACCCCAACACCCCCCCATACTCCCCCCCCACCCCCCACCCCCGTGCATCTCCCCCCGCCTGCGGGGACGCGCACCGCACCCTCCCCGTCCACCGGGCGCGTCCCCGCCCGCCCCCCCCCCCCCCCGCACCGGGCGGGGCGGACCCTTCCCCGGAAGGCGCAGGCTCGGCGCGGCCCTCGGCGGCCGCCGTCCCCGGCGAAGCCCCCAACATGGCTTCTGCGGCGGCGGGGGGGGGGGGGGGTGGGGGGGCGCGGCGTCTCCTCCGGGCCCGGCCGCCCCGCCGGGGAACAAAGGCCGGCGGCGGGGAGCGGGCCGGGCGGCGCTGGGCTCCCCGCGGGCGGGGGCCGGCCGGGCCGCAGGACGAAGCCCCCGCGGGATCCGCGTCCCCCGCTCGAGCAGGGGAGAGGCCGAGCCGCGGCCGATGATCTCAGGGGCTAAATATGGAGCTTCGCCTCGTCTGGGCCGGGTGGCAGGGCGGTGTGTGTCGTTCCCGTTTATCCTGGGCCTCGGCCGGGAGCACCTGTGGGGGCACACACACACACACACACCTCTGGATAAGGTCACTGCTGCTGCCTTGTTCTAAGTTCTGTCTTCCAGTAACTCCGGTGTCACCGGCTGCGCTGAGCTGTCACCGCACGGCGCCAGTGCTCTGTGCCCTGTAACAGTTGTGCTTGCACGCCTGTTCCTAGTGACACTGATCAGGCCGAGGGACACAATGGTTAGGAATTGGGCATCTCACAATTCTTCTGTAGGAGCTGCTAACTGTGTAGATGATCATACCTTTCTTTCCTGATTTTTTTTTTTTTTCTTAATGGAATACATATTAAAAATAAAATGGCTTTAATAAAGAAAGAGGAACTGGGGATGGAAAGGGCTTCTTTGTTCTGTCTTCTCCAGAACGTTACAAGTCTAAGAGCTCAGGACAAGAGCAGCAGAAATACATGCAACATGGTGACTGGTGAGTCCAGATTGTCCACATGCTGCAAGTTGTGTGTGTGTTTTCAGTAACCTCAGTCTAAGTTTTTTGAACTAACCGTATGTGCTCATGATCTTCAAAGAGTTTCTTGAACTTATTTCCTGGAAAAAATGCGGTTATGCTGAATGGGGAGGAATTACCTCCCTTTATCAGAGAAAGGTTATCGCTTGGATGCTTTTTTAAAACTTTGAAATGTGGTATTAAAAACATGCTTGCTGAGATCTTGTGAAGGTGGGTGTTTGGTGTTTCTAGTGTGTGTCTATGGGATACACAGATGTGTAAATTAGTATTTTTTAATAACTAGCAGTAAAACTGGCAACTGCAGCAGCAAGCTGTGTATGTTGTCCTAGAGAAGGATGTTGAATGCATACTTGAGCCTTAAAGAGGTTTTCTCTCAAATGCACGTGGGTTTAGTTTTAATAAATAAAATCTCTGGGAGTACAGAGATACTTTCCTGAGTATTTATCTAGACCCTGTACCTCTGCTGCCGCTAGGGTTTTGTGAAGTACAGTTTTGTGTGGTTCAGTGCTTTTAGGTAAATAACCCGAAGCAGCCTTCAAACTGACAGGAGCAACTCTGGGAGAAACAGTCCAGTCTGCACTGTTACCTGCCGTGTCTTTAGCTCCTTTCCCATTGCCAGAGCTGGAGAACTGTAGAGAAAACCAAAGGAAGATTCTGCTGCTGTTCTGGAGCAGGAGCAAACACCACAAGGCACAGCGGTGTCTGATCCGTTCTTGGGCTTTGAGGGCTGCAGTGACTCAGATGAGCCTTTCAGTGTTTCAAGTGTTAGTGGCTCTCAGTGTACTAACTTCAGCCAGATGCAGAGGAAGGTTTTTCCATGCTAAAAGAGAGGAAAAGCGAGATTTTTTTTTTTTTTTTTTCTGGCAGCTTGTGATAGTGGAAGATTTGCTGGCAGGGGAAGACTGGCCTACTAGGCTCTTGATTTTGGTGCTAAAAAGAACTAATTAAGATGGGGCAGCTGAGCAGGGTCAATGATTTGTGTCTAATAAATTAATTCTGTGTTTGTTCTGCTTCTTGGTAGATGGAAGAGGTACATGATGATTTGGTGGTGGACCTCATCTTGATCTTTGGGCCTGCTGCTTATGTGTCTGGGTTTCTGGTGGCTTCTGGCCTCTGCTACACAGAGGCATGATGTACCTGTGATCAGCCTTTTGACAGAAGGGTTGGAGATCCAAAAGTAAATGTGAGGGCTAACAGTTAGCTGCTATGGAAAACGGTGGCCCTGCTGACCTCCCCACTCACTCCCTTGACAAGATTAACAGAAGGTCAGTAGCTATTCTCTGAATAGTTACAACACAGTAAGTGCCAATGCAGGAGCAAGGAAGAAGGCTGGAACTTTGCTGAGAGGTGAGCCCATCCTATTCAGCAGCAGCTAGCTGTCAAAGAGCATGTAATCTCAAAGAGCCCCTGTAGCATTCTTGTCTGGGTTCCCAGCGTGGCATCCTTGAGGCTTATTCCTCAGAAGGATCATCCCTCTGAAAGCAGTGTCTGCTGGTGCACCTCGGAGTGGACATGCAAAATGATTATGCTTTTCTGAAAGCCTCACTGTAGTATTGAAGTCAAATATTTGCAAGTTCCGAGTAGAAAATTGGGACAAGTTAATTGCTCAAAATCTGCTTTCTAGCTTTGGGGTAACAGAGCATCTTACAATTAGTTGCAAGATATGTTTGAGTGTGCCTGGTGTAGGTCCTGTCTTAGTCACTGAGGATACATTGACAAGATTGTTCTCTGTTGGCTTCACCCTGGACATACAGTCACCTGGGAAAGGGTTAATGTGTCCTGTGGAGGTGTAGAGTACTCTTGGGTGGCTCCTGGAGGAAGCCTCACTCTGCAACTAAGTGAATAGTCTTACTGGGCAACTAAGTGAATAGTCTTAATGGCTTTATCATGTGGAGCTGGCTTGAAAACTTGTCAGGTGAGAATCTCTGAAAGGCAGGAGAATTATTCTTCTGGCCTGCTGTGGGGTCTGCAGGAGCTTCTATATGCTGATTTTTATAGAGCTGTTGGATTTACTAATTGAACACTGTTAGCTGGTGATGCTAACATTGATGCATGTTTTAAGAATATTATCTGTAGTAATCTTATACAGCATCAGCTGTTGCTTAATAAGTCCAGAAACTATAGATACAGTGCAGGTTGCCTCATGTGTGTTCCTCTTACCTTTGATATTCATTCTTGCTCCTGTGAGCCTCGTCCAGTGCACTAGCCATGAACCTCCTCCGTGTAAACAAAAACTTCTGTGTGTTCAGACTGCTGTCACGTAACAGTAGAGTGGTTAGAATTTGCTCTAGCTCCCCTGGATTTCAGTGGGAATTTGAGCTGGGTTTGTGGAATACGCTTGGGTGCCACTGAGAGCGTACAACTAACTCCCATTTTCACACAGGCTCTTGCAGCCTTATGTTCAACCACATACTTCTGTTTTCGTTCTACTTTGTTAAATCATGGTAAAATTATATAAAAGATTCTGCTTTTGTACCTATTTTCTTTAGAACTACAGTCATAATGTACATATAGTGAATGTTTGTCCCTTTTTCTTCTTTTTCGCAGCTTGATCTAGTAGTACTGAATCACCTCTTCTAGTCCTAATCTTGTGTTGTTTTGCATCTTTTCACAGCCATCACAGTATCTGGTAGTGTTATAGCTCAAATCTATTTATTCTTTATCAAGACTAATTAGTGCCTTAGAAACAGCCAGTATACTCACTGCAGAAACAATTTGTGGGTTTAAACAAGATAAGTCAGTAAGAGAAGAATGCTGTCAGAGTATACCCTAGAGCTTTCTAATGTTCTCGGGGGAATCACCTTTTTTTTTTTTTTTTTTTTTTTTTTTTTTTGTTGTTTTTTTTTTTTTCTTTGCTCTCACTTCTTCCCTGATCATCTATTTTTTTTTTTCCTGTCTCTCTCTTGTCTTAATACATAGCATGTTTGATGTTAACCTCTTCTGTATTAAAAGGATTACAAGAACTGATCCTGCTATTGCCTTTGTCGTTTCCAGAGCTCTGCTTCTCCATGTGGAATCTCCTGATTCCAGCATTCTCCTTTTGCTTGCTATGTTCAAATCAATAAGGCTGTCCTAGTCCTAATAGCAATGGGCTGAATGCTGCATCTGTTGCTCTTCTGTTGTGCTTCCCATTAGCTGCCTAGAATAGAACTGCATGGCCTGAGAGAACATACTGCTTGGTTCTCCCACCTCTGTGGCTGCAAAGCAGGGCCACAAATTGATTTCTGAGCTTCTCTCACTAATATTGCATGCTGCAAATGAATGAAATGTATGAGTTGATTTTGTCTGTTATTGGATTCACCTGGTCTGGGTGAAGTACAAGGCTAGAAGATATTACATGGCAGTGAGCTCTTTGAATAGTGCCACAGTTACACCTGATTATCATTCAGACTTTCTTGAGCTGCTAAGGGTTAATCTGAGAAATGTGTAGTAGTGCAAGATGCCTCATAAAGCTAAAGCATCTGTCTCGGGCATCTGGTCTTGAATGTTTGCTAGTTTTCATATGGTACTCGGTATGAGAAATTAGTTACCGGAGTTAGGAATATTCTTGCATCAAAGGAGTGCTGTAGTTAAGACTTTTACTTTCCCTTTCCTTAAGGAACCCTAAGGACCTTGCAATATGAATAATTCTCTGGAGAACACCATTTCCTTTGAAGAATACATCCGTGTGAAGGCGCGAACGATCCCCCAGCACAGGATGAAGGAGTTTCTGGACTCCCTTGCTTCCAAGGGGCCGGAAGCTCTGCAGGAGTTTCAGCAGACGGCCACCACCACAATGGTGTATCAACAGGGTGGCAACTGCATTTACACAGACAGCACAGAGGTGGCTGGGTCTTTGCTTGAACTTGCTTGTCCTGTGACAACCAGTGTCCAGCAGCAAACTCAGCCAGAGCAGCAGATACAGGTTCAGCAACCCCAGCAAGTCCAGGTAAGCGTATTAAATCATCTCTAAATGTATGTATGACTTGCTAACCTATGGAGTAGTGTTCAGAGCCAGCTACTGTCTAACCTGAAACCACAGGCAAGCACTTAAGAAGTAGGGCCAATTAACTTTATGTAGAACAGCACTATTTCCCTTTCATTTAAGGAATTTGGTAGTAAATTTCTCTCTTGACTGTACCTCCATTGAGCCCCGCTGTAGGAGGGCTAGCATACATAGTAATGTGGTGGTGTAACCTCTTGGAGAAATGGTTGACAGTTCTGGCATGTACACAACTCCCCAGAGCCTTGCACTCTGTGTGAAGCCGCTATAAATACCACCCCCCCTCTGCTGGTCTTACTTTATCTGGTTGTTCAGGGTGGTCATGGGATCTAACTCACTTTCAGGTTCTTTTAAATGAAGTCAGTACTCTTTAAATGATTTTGCTTGGACACTGTAAAAGTTGTAGCTCTTGAACTGTTTTTTAAGTGAGGGGGAAATGCAGGGGAGTCAACTTACGATATGAACCAGGGGAAGATACCTTTCAGGAAAGGAACTCTAAAAGATGCTTATGTGTCAAGGTAGATTATTCCTTTTCACAGTGGAAGGAGTCTTCTCTTTTTTTTGTTGTGTTTTTTTTTTTTTTTAATAGGTATTACAGTAATTTTTATGAAGTATTAAGCAAGCAAATCCAGCACCAGAGGATAAAAAGACCAGACAACATGTAACTTAGGATAACTTCTTTGGTTCTCAAACACGTTTTGTAATTTGAAGAGTTTACAGGTGGCAGGGCATTTACTAAGGTTTTCTTACGATATATCCAAAAAGCTGAACTCTGTCTACAGCTGTAGTCCTGTTACACTTTAGATACAAATCTTTCTGCCTTCTGTAGCATGAATGTAAAGCTGTGAGCTCTCTTCTTTTGCAACAAATGAGGGTATGGAGACACAAATGACTGGAGATAAGGCAGTGTGAACTTGGTGCAGTGCAGTAGACTCGTGCTGACAGCTCACTTGCATGCTTTTATCCTACAGGAAAGACAAACTTAGCTCTTTCACTGGGTAACTAGTTTCCAATTACGCTCTCTATTGAGTAAATAAATGCTTAACTGGGACTTCTGTAACCTGTTGCCCTACAGTAACTTGTGTTGCAAGGCTTTTGAAGAATAAAGCCTCTAGTCTCACAGACATGGCTTTCATCTCTGCGTGAGTCTATTAAAACTGATCAAGGCTGCTTTTGGTTCTGCCAGCTAGCATGCATTTCAGGAGAAATTTCATTTTTAGTAGAACAACTAGGAGGGTTGATTTTTTTTTTTTTTTTTTTTTTTTTTTTTTTTTTTTTTTTTGGGTGCCTTAGCCTTGAAGATGTGGAAGGCCCCCAGACCAATTGTAAAAGTCAGGAGGAATCTTTTTTTTTTTTTTTTTTCCCTCTTTCTTCCCTCCTACTGCCTCCTTTCAGAACTATTCAAAGTTCAGGGTTGACCCTTGCAAATCTTCTAGTGACAGAGATAGGGAGGGAGGTCATATATCATATGTTCCAGAGAAAAAATAATCTCCTGACCTTCTTGAAAATAACCATAGAGTTGCTGCCAGAGACCTGTTCCTGTTTTTTAAACTGAATGGCCTGCACCCTGAATTTGAAAAGTATCTGATGAAAGTCAGGATTTTGGCAAGTTTTCTAAAGAATATTGTCTACTCTCTCACCCTTGTTTTACGTGTGACTCGACTTTAAAATATCTGCTTTCACATCTGTCAGTACCGATCATAATTAGCATTTGTGTTGCCTACCCTGCCACTCACTTTAGGATGTTACAAACCCCCAGAACACTTCAGGTGGCACACCTGGTACTAAATAGGGCTGCAGCTTTTGTACATCAGCAGTGCAGCTGGATTCATGTGTATTTGAGCAGCTATTTTAGATTTATCTTGAAGTTTTTTTCCAAGGATGGTGTGGAGAGGAATGTCTTTACCCCTTTGCAAGAGTGTTTTTCTGTCTTTCAAGATTTCTTATTGAGATGTGATTTTATATTAAAGCAATGAATTAGTGTTTGCCTATCTCAAGACTGTCACTGTGGCAGCAGTAGCAGAGCACGGTGTCTGAACAAAGCTGGATTTTGTTGTGGCTCTGGGGGTGACAGTGTTCCACTAGAGCAGTGCACCTGATCCAGCTGGTTCACTTTGCTAAAATACTACTTGTGTTGTATTACGAGAAATTTTGGTCATCTGCTGAAGCCTCTTAGCTTTTGATCAAATTTATGTCATCCCGGTACTTGACTTGATAATCTGTTTAGTTCTGGCTAATCCAATTGCAAATCAGTGGAAGACTATGCTTATGTCTGGCAGTGTGACAGTGGTGCTGAAGGTGACTAATAATATGACCAGTCAGATGACTTCACGGTTGCAAGTGCTGATGACAACCTTATGATCATAAAGATAGACAGTGCTCAGGTTTCATCCTGGATTTTACTTGCTGTGAATAACCAAAGGCAGTGTGTGACTGCTTGCTGCTTTTATTTATCCTGGCAAAATAAATTTCCTGTTTGAAGAAGTTGCCACCTTAGGGTTTTCTTGCCTAAAAGGTTCAACAAACTGTTGCCAAATGTTTATTTTAAAGGCTGAATGGATGCAACTCTTGGGTTATATACTAGTCAGTGCTACAGTACAAGTGACTTGGAGCTCCTTCCATGCTTAGTGCCGCAGCGGTGCCATTAGAGATCTTATGAAAGAGTTTAGTGTGACCAGTTGTCATACCCTGCCCTGCATCAGGGAGTGGCTGGAAGGGCTGCATTTGTTCCAGTCAAGTAAGAGCTGTATCAGCTCTGCCTTTGGTGAGATTGTTGCTTGTTGGTCTTGTGCATCAAGGCCATCAAGTTGATGATGCCAGTGAGAAGAGGTGTTACCACTGACTTGCTTACTTGAATTTGGTATTTTTGCAGAGGTCAGTAAACCTCTCGTGCCTCTTCCACAAGAAAATCTGACTGAAAGAATATCAGAGGACAGAAAGTATCTTTGCTTAAGATACATACAGTGCATATGGGGAAGATCCTCAGTTTACGCTTTTTGTTAGTCTGATGGCTAGGTGGCAAGAGCTTCTTGGACAGCGTTTGAGGAGAGGATGTTACAGGTGGGCAGGATCACAGAACCATATAGGGAATCGTTAAATGCCTGTGTAGAATGTCTTTCAGCTAAGGCTTGTGCCTTTCTAATTGCTTAGGTCCTTATGCGTTTACTGTTCATCTTTTTCAGTCTTTCCTGAGTCTGTTCTGTGACTTCAGACCATTATAGGAAGCTGGGCATTACTAATAATATAAGGCAGGGAAAGGTGCCCTTAAGTAGCTCAGAAGAAGACCTTATCTCTGGCTCTACACAGAATGCATCTTTCCTTTGCTTCTGATAGATGCAGCTTCCCCCTGCCCCTGTATTGGTTCTGAAGTTTAGCCTGGAGGTAGGGCTTCTATTCTCTTACCTTTGAAAAGCATTCCAATAAGATGCTGGTGTAGCAGCTGGTATTAAATAGCACTTGCTAGAGCTGAGTGTGTCAATTCAGAGAATGGTTACAGTCAAGAGTGGTGTTTTCAAGGTAGCACCTTCTCGCATATGGAAGTAAATCCCTCTGAGAGGTAATCTGGTTTGTTTTCCCTGGTTCACCTATTTTAAGTGTCTTAGGTCTAAATCCTGCCCCAGTGTACAGCTTGACAACATAATATTGCTATTGTAACTGTTCAAACACACGCAAGGCCTAATTTGACCCATGGAATTCTCTCTGATGTTGATGAATGAGCAGAGGAAAAACCTGGAGTGGGAATCTGTCTGGCAGTTGTTCTGAAAAGCTGACTTGTTACCCTCCCAGTAGATGTTGTTTACTTAGATAGCAAAGGACTTCCTGTAAAGTAGTTGAATAACAAGTTCCAATGTTTCCTGCTACTTAAGCGATCAGTCTTTTCACCTACGCTGTACTTCAGATCGGTTTTGTACTTACATGCATACCTTCTGGTGTAACGTTAGAAGGAACTCTAGTACAGTGTTAGTTTTTAATGCTGATGTCACTAACTTAGGCCTGTTGTTGAGGGAAGTGTATTTTAAGCCTTCTTTCCTTAAATTGGGTTAAAAACCAGAGATTGTTGTTCTTGTGCTCTCACTTTTTGTCCAGGTGTTTGACTTCTGTCAACTTGCACAGGTGTGGAAGTTTGAGGTGCACCTACATTACTTTTTGGGGAAGGATTTGGAGCATACTTCCTGCAGCAAGTTTGCCGCCTGCTCCCACTTACCTCTTGTAGGTTTGGAGCCTGTAATTTGGGGTTCCCTTCAGGTGAAACTAAGCTGCAAGATGCAGTCCTGTTGTGTCTGGGTGTTTGTCTAGCATGGCTAGTGGGCAGGACTAGATGTTGGCCTTCATTTTTGCTCTGAAGATCTGCACTTGATGTGTCCTGCTACTTGCTAGTGTGAATGTAGCTTCAGAAACCAAGATGTGTTTGTGGAAAGTGGCATTTAAGAGCCTGTCAGGTGCTCTGGGGCAAGCTAGATATCAGAAAATCCATGCAGGCAAGAGGTTGGTATGTGTGCTCATTTGGCATTAGGTTTTAGCAATTATTAGGTAATCCAGTCAGTCTGCAGATGAGATTTTCTTTGCTTGAGAATTCTATCAACTTAATTGTTTCAAAACTGCAGTTCTGCAGTCTGATTCCTTGTTGGGCAGAGAATCCACACAGGGCAGACATGTTATGAATCCTACTTGAAAGTTTGTTGGAGTTAGTCTATCAACCATGAGGAAAAAAAACCTTTGGAAAGCAGGCTTCAGCTGTTCTCATGTTTGCTGAGTTACTAATTTTCTCTTTGCATGTGCTCAGTTCTAGACAGAATATGTTTTTGAGCTTAATGTGACAGAAGATTTCCTTTAAGGGAATCTTAAGAATTTAGTTCTGCCCTCCTGTTATGATGCAGGGCTGACTTCTAATGGTTTTGAGTCGCTAGTCAGCTAGTACTTGGTACAACTTCTACTTATTTTATGGTAAAAAAATGTGTGGTGGTAGCTTACTGGGATGTGATTCTTCTCATGCTGTTAGATCCAAGCTTCTGTCAGTAAGCAGTTTTTCAGTACTGGTAACTTGACATGTTCCTCTCTTGCACCAGTATAACCCAGGATTTCCCAGCATAACATGTTCTAGCTTTGATCCTAGGCATAAAGTAGATTTAAAGTCCTCCCTGTTGGTGTTGGCCTGTAAATTTAAAGCATTCCTGTTTGTACAGAGTCTTTAAAAAAGTAGGCTGCTGCTGATGTTTAATGTAATTCTTTGTCCTTTTTTTCTCCGATAGCAAGTTAGACAATGAGGTCAACATAAGAAGCTCTAGTCTCAGAGCTGGGTTAAAGTCTGTATATCTGAAATGAATGCTTGTAGCACTCCTGGGTACAACCTACTTGAAAATAGGGAAGGATCTACTGCAAAATACGGTTGTTAAAAATGAATGTGTAATTCACAAGGGATGCCTAATGCACGGTAGGTAGAGCTCCAATATCCTTTTAAATAGGAGCAGTCTGTAGTCAGAAGCATGATGTCTGCAGTTTGCAGCATGGAGAACTTCCATTGATTCTGGAGTCTGATTTCTTCATCTTTGGGTGTTAGCAATAACACTATGTGAACTCCAAAGCAGGAGTAAGACATCCTAGTTGTAGGGATTAGGATTTAGTCCTGGGGGAGTATCATAGGGCCTCAGGTCATGATTGCTCATCTGCTGAAAAGTAATGGAAGTTGCCTGTGACTTTTAGAGTAGGCTGAGGCTCTAAAATGGTTAATGGTTCAAAGCTGTGCCAGGGGAGGTTTAGTCTGGGCATTAGGAACCATTTATTTACCGAGAGGGTAGTCAAACACTGGAACAGGCTTCCTAGAGAGGTGGTTGATGCCCCAAGCCGGTCAGTGTTTAAGTGGCATTTGGACAATGCCCTTAATAACATGCTTTAGCATGTGGTCAGCCCTGAAGTGGTTAGGCAGTTGAACTAGATGATCATTGTAGGTCCCTTCCAACTGAAATAGTCTAGCCTATAAAAGCAGAAGGAAGAAAATGCTGTCTTGTCAGGTCTGTTCTGAGACCATGCCTCTTTTGCAGATAGTGCCTCTTGCTTAAACCTATTCCATTACCTTTCTGATTGCACTTATGTGGTAAAATTGTTTCAGCACAGGAGTGAACTTTCAATTCTTACTGATAGCAAAAAAAAAAAAAAAGTCTGCTTTGTATAAGCTGCAGCAGTACCAGAAACAGTAATGTAAAGTTTTGCATGGAAAGAAGATGGGGATACTTAAAGGTATTCTCGGTGAACCTCTGCAGATTCTGAAAATACACTGCAGAAGTACAGGATAGATGACACGTTTACTTCTTTCTGTGATGTGATTTTGGATCCTACCAGATAAAGCAAGTGTTTCTTGTGTGAAACTGAAAATATATCAGTGCAGTAATGCATTTTACTTTGTCCAGTCTTGGGCCTTTGCCTTGCAGCTAATCTTTTGAACAAGGACTTAATTTAATACTAAGAATTATGTTAGTGATTTTTTAAAGTCAGATATTTTGAAGAATACTTGCCTTAGAGGTGTAATTGAAACTGGCTGTCTTGAACTGAACTCTTAATGGGGAGTTGTGCTTGGGCCTGTTTGACCATGGCAGTACTCATGCTGTAGGGCAGTATGATAAAAGTATCAAATAGAACTGAAGAAGCATCCCATAGGTGACTTCATCTTTTTCAATTAACTGCCTGATCAAATCACTCATTGATGCAGCTTTTTTAAACTGTCATGCTGACACAAGGTCATATGTTTCTTGTTACCTTGCAGGAAATTATTCTAGAAAGTCTACATTGTCTGGATTACAATATACTACATACAGCTCCCAGCAGGAACCTGTAAAATTCCATATTTTTCCTGGAAATAGAATTAGTTCTTAACAGGGGGTGACTTGTAAAACTGATCTGCAAGCAGTATATCTTGCTACCCCACTTTTTTCTTTAGCAACTCTTAATTGGCTGCAAATGAATCCTTAATGTTGTTTAAGACTTCTTAGAGGTGATGTTGGGAAGTGAGATTTCATGATTCTGCGCAATGCAGACCTGCATGGTAGCTCTTTTTGGTATTGTCAGGCTGGCTGGTGTGGTGTCTCTGTGCAAATATTATGTTAGCTTGACTGACTCTAGGAAGTGAGGTAGAAAAGGGAGCGAGAACACGAGTAGGAAGACATAGTTTTGCAACTAAATAAATCTCTGTTGGCTTCAGACTTCATAGGGCTCTCATAGGTGCTACTAATAAAGCTCTACATCTCTCATGTGGATTTGAAAGGAGAGGTTGAGTAATTAATTCCCTCCCTTAAGATATAGCGTTAAGGAAGTCTAGTGAAGCAGATAAACACGGGAACCAGGGATATGGCTTCTAGGGCAAGGCAAATGCAACAAAGTGGCTGTGTAAATGTGGGGGACTAAGTGGTGAGGTGTCCAGACCTCACTTGGTGTCCTGAGAGTGAAGATACCAGCTGGGCTGGGTTCAAGGCCTGGAATGTGAAGTTGAGACCTGAACTTTGTATTGGGAGCTACCTCTGGCTCCAAGACTGCTGCAAGGTAGTGTGACAGACCTTGGACAGATGAGCGTTGATGTGAGAGGGTGTGATTTTTTTTTTTTTTTTTTTTTTAATATATATATATATATATATATATATATATATATATATATTTTCCCTAAAATAAAAGGAGCTGTGTTTGGTTCCAAGTCTTAAAATATTTTGTCCATGTTATTCAGCATTTTTTAAGTGCATGAGCTAGAAAATACAACTGAGTAATTTGGACAATAAATAGAATTAAATGGAATAAGTAAATAATGAAAAAATAATTGGCTTTAATTATCACTGCCAAAAAAATACTTCTGAAGTTTGAAAAACAAATGCTGCAGTGTTGCCCTTTAGCACATGACAAAGATTCACATTGAACTTACAACTTTCTGTGATGACACCCACATGTGCAGTGTTACTGTTAGCCATTGATTTCAAAATAATATTTCTGTACCTTATGTGAAAAGAGCCAAGTGGTGGTTTCAACTTACCCATATTTCTTACTGCCCGTCACTGATGAGTGATCCTGTGGCCATTTGGGGGATTGGGGTTGAAAGCAATAAAACAATCTTTAGAGCATAGTAAGAATGAGGTAAGCTCCTGCATTTTGTAGCAAGATAAACTTAATATCAAAATTGTAATGTATGTGACCTTAAAGTCTTGCTATTGCAAGGCTTTTGCTGAAATAACATTTTAGCAATGCAAATAGCTCTGAAGACTCTTGGCTTCCAAGGATGCAATCTGTTGGCTTGAGCGCACAGAGCTTTGAGGATGGAGATGCAGCTCACGCACTGTTCTGTCTGTGCTGAGGAGTGTGATCATGTGCAATGCTGAGCAAACATCGTCTACCGTATCACGGTTATCAACCAGGTGCTTCTAGAGTAACTTGGTTTCATTTTCCTGAGATCTTTACTAGTGGATTAATATATAGGATCATAAAACTGAGCATAAAAGATGTGGAGCGTAGACCTCCAGTGCTGCACCATCTCTGTTGGTGGCCCCCATGTTGATCACTGACTCTTGCTAATTTCTAACTGCTGAATTGGTGTTGTTGCAGGTTCAGGTCCAGGTCCAGCAGTCACCGCAGCAGGTCTCCGCCCAGCAGCTCTCTCCACAGCTCACTGTCCATCAGGCTTCGGAGCAACCGATACAGGTCCAAGTGCAGATCCAAGGCCAGGCGCAGCAGCAAGCATCCCAGACAATACAGAGTCAATGTCTTCAGAGCCCCAGCCCATCTCAGCTGCAGGCAGCTCAAATCCAAGTGCAGCATGTGCAGACTGCCCAGCAGATCCAGGCTGCGGAGATACAGGAGGAACACATACAACACCAGCAGATCCAGGCCCAGCTTGTGGCAGGACAGGCCATTACTGGTGGCCAGCAGATACAGATCCAAACAGTTGGGGCACTGTCACCTCCACCTTCTCAACAAGGCTCTCCACGAGAGGGAGAGCGGCGGATCAGCACTGCTAGTGTCCTTCAGCCAGTGAAGAAACGTAAAGTGGATATGCCTATTACTGTATCATATGCTATTTCAGGGCAGCCAGTTGCCACAGTGCTGGCCATTCCTCAGGGCCAGCAGCAAAGTTACGTCTCTTTAAGGCCAGACTTGTTAACAGTGGACAGTGCTCACCTGTACAGTGCCACTGGGACCATTACTAGCCCCACTGGAGAGACTTGGACCATCCCTGTTTACTCTGCTCAACCACGCGGTGACCTTCAGCAGCAAAACATAACCCACATCGCCATCCCTCAGGAGGCCTACAATGCCGTCCACGTCAGTGGCTCGCCAACGACACTGGCTACCGTGAAGCTGGAAGACGACAAGGATAAGATGGTGGGAAGTACTTCAGTAGTGAAGAACTCTCACGAGGAAGTGGTGCAGACTCTTGCTAATTCGCTCTTTCCGGCGCAGTTTATGAATGGCAACATCCACATTCCAGTGGCAGTGCAGGCTGTGGCAGGGACATACCAGAACACAGCACAGACAGTGCACATATGGGACCCGCAGCAGCAACAGCAGCAGCCCACACCCCAAGAGCAGGGGCAGCAGCAGCAGCAACTACAGGTCACTTGCTCAGTAAGTTAAAACTGCTTCTTGGTCTCAGTCTGAGAGTAACACCTTGCGAATGTTGTGGAGAGGGAGGATGTCAGCAGGCAGCTGGTATCGAGGAAGCAGAGATGGGTCTGTCGCAGGAGCCTGGGTGTGACGTGTAGGGCATTTGACTCCCGATAGGTGCAGGACTGCAAGTGTTAATGTTGGTACATAATAGGATTCAAGACTTCCCAAAAGAAAATACAGTCTTGATCTTTGTAGTGTAAATTAATAGATACATACTCATTGCTAGCTTCTTCATAGCAGGGTCTGCAGTCTTCTCCTGAGGTGTTTTAGGGGTTGTAGTGGACAGACAGGGGTGGCTGTAGCAAAATAAGGTGTGCAAATACACTAGTCGCCTAGTGTTATGACCCGAACTGGGAGCCCAAGGAGACGTAAAGGTTCTGTGATCCCCTTGGGTTAAATTAAGGTGAAACAACACCAAACAACCCGTTAAGATGTTTTACTTGTGGTAGAAAAAACTTACACTTGGAAAGGTATATTAAGCAATGAGTTTTCTTATTAATAATTCTATAAGAAAGAGACAAAAGGAAGGGAAAGGAGGAGAGTCTGGTCAGCACCCCTTGTTCCAGCATTGTCTCAGATCTGGAAATCTTGGGTGGTGGGTGCACACACAGCAAAGTTTTCTGTTTAAGTTCATCTTAACAGCTGATTAACATACTAGACAGAGAGGCAGGTATTCTGGGAACTCATTTCCATCAGAGAGGAGGTGGTCTGTTTCCCTCCTACCACCTTCTTCCTCAGTTTTTTAATTCTTGGGTAATTGTCCAGCCTTTAGCTTATCAGTCTTTTTTTTTGAGGCTTATATAAGGAATTTAGCACTACATAAGTAAGGAAGTGGAGCCTGTGCTTCCTTTGATACCCCTTCCCTGGGCAGCATTCCTTAGAGTAATCGCAAAGGCCACAACTTGTACTTGAGGCTTTCTGTGTTGAGGAATGTTTGAGGCATTGATTCTTTCAGTTCCTGACACCTAGTTATCAGTTACCTTGTGCTATGCAGCAGGTGGGGTTCACAGCAGATCCAGTGCTTGTGTTAAGTGTCAAAATCTGACTAGTTGTTAGCAAACTTTATGGATCAGGTATACCTATCTGTAACACCATGATCTGCTTCTGGTAAATGCCAGGTGTGCGAGAGCATGGTAATGAGCAGTGGCAAGTAAGCATCTCTTCATAGTGCTTGGAAAACATGGCAGCCCAGGTGTGGGTTTTTGTTTTTTGTTTTTTTTTTTTTTTTTTTTTTAAGGCTTTGTTGCTAACTTTAAACCATAGATTATTTTGAATTGGCTTTTAAAACTTGAATAACTAGGGCTATTAATGGCTACTTTTATATGTGCAAATGGATGTAATTTATCTTTTATTACCAGAAAGTGAAAAGTGATTGATCTGTCAGAGCCTGTTTTTGCTGAATGGAATGAGGGCAAAAATATCCAAGTCTGCTAGCATAAATGTTGTTATAAATTCTTTCCAGTTTATAAATAACACTGTTGGCTCTACAAATATATACCCTCTACTTCATCAGTAAGCTCTGAGACAAGGAGGATTACTTTCTGTAGTCATGTCTGATTGTTTCAGAATTGATTGTGGACTATAACCCACCATGGTGTTCAGTGAAAAGGGGTCCCTACATCACTAGGCAGCTCCCAGGTGCTGGATGCCCTCTTTTATAAAGCTGTACTTTAAGCTACAGCTTATGAGTTTTGTAATGCATGGGGTTTTGTTTGGTTGGGAATTTTTTTGTTTTGTCATATTCAAAGAGCATTTTGTAGCTCATCTTTTCCCTGTATTGGTACTTCAGAGATTACTTTGTTGCTTTCAGCTGCTCCAACAAATTAAGCTGATAGAGCTTTCTGCTAAACAGGATTTTTAGACTTATTCTAGGGTCTTTAAAGAGCATGAGCCACATTCTTGGGATCCTTTCTGAGGTATTAGCTCCATAATTTCTCTAAGGGTTACTTGTAAAGCTTCTGCTAACACCATGTATTCCTGTGCTCAGTGGTCTGCAATTCTTGGGTATCAGACAGTTATCTGATCCCAATTCTCTGGAGTACTGGGTGTTGCATAAGCCCCTAAATACAGAGACGAGTCCAGGGGGGATGCATTCTTCCTCTAAGAGGGCAATAAAGCTACTATAGGTGAGCATCAAACTTTTGGGTGTTGTCCCTCTCACAACTGTGAGGCTGAGAAGGAATTTACCTGCTTGCCCCACACTGTCCTCTGGCATTGTGCTGCTGTGGGATACAGGCAAATTGCAGCTGTTTTGCTGTGTTTGTGAAAAATGTAAGTCAGTTAAGAAGCAACTGGCAGTTCATCAAACTAACTCTAACCTGTGTGTGTGCCTTCACACTGGACAATGAGTCTGCGAGGTCAGGACAGAAAATTGCCCCTTAGGTTGGACTGATGGAGGTGGTTGCATCTGGAAAGATTTCTGCTCTCTGGAGAGTAATGGGGCAGTGCTCTGGAGGAGAGCAGAGGATCAATCCTAGCTTTTACAAAGACAAGGTGTCAGTTCACCCTTGGACTCCTGTCCTTTTTAAGGCAGAGGCTTGCTTGACAACTTAAACTTTGTTGCCATCTGAGTTGATAAAAGCTGGGTCCTTTCAGTCATAGCCTCCCTCTGCAGCTGTGGTAGATGCTGCTGGTGATGGTAGGGGCTGGTAAGCAAAGAGCTATTAAAAAGCTGAGGCATTAAAAAAAAAAAAAAACAAAAAAAAAAAAACAAAAAACCAAAAACCAACCACAAGCAGTCAGAAAGCTCCAGTCTGAGGCTCTTTCAGGCTTTGCCTCTTCAGCTGTTTTTTTTTGTTACACTAAGTAAGGTACAAATATTACTAAAGTCCCTATGCCATTTTCATTGTGGTCTGTAGTATGGTCAGAGTAACTTTAACTGATGATTGACACCTGGCAGTATCGAAGGAAAAGTTACTTCATTATAACAGCCTTGATTTTTGGGGCAGCTCTTAAGAAGGAGAAAGCAAAACTCTCATGATGTAAGAATTCCTATGTCTGTAATATTCAGGGTACCAGTGAGAATTTGATGAAGGACTGTAAAGCTTCAAGTTAATCTCCTTAATTGAGGTAGCCAGGAGACTTTCTGTGGCATGGGATTGACAATCTGTAGTGAAGAATGCAGAGTGAGTGCAGTTGGAGGGCTTGCTGCTCTTTCTGGGTAGGTGCCATCAGTTGCCTGTAAAATAAGTTTCAGTTTGAGGTAGCAGTTCTTGGTGACTTAAGGTCCAGGTGCAAAGTAAACTTCAGGGGGTCTGGAGACCTTGTAGGTCTATAGTAGGTCATACAGTAGCTCTTCACAGAATAGTACCTAGTCCTCATTAGCAGTATTTTGTAGTCTGAGAGCACTGCATTGCAAACCAAATTAATGTTTTGATGCTGATCTGTTATTGCTTTATACCTCATACAAATTAATCTTATCAGTTGTTGGTAATAAGAAGAGAGCGTATCTATTCTGTTTGCCTGTTAGGTACTGAGTAATGACAAGAGCCTGCCCTCGATAGGCAAGGGTGGGAAGGGACATTAGCAGTCTACAGAACGTGATTCTACCCAGAACCTTGCTCAGGGCAGTTTAGGTTTGGAGCAGCAGTGGTTAGTAAAGCTGGTGGCACCTTGCTGTTCTTCCCTGCCAGGGGTGGTGATCTCTCTAGCTGTTGTGTCTGTGAGGGGCCTTGGGCTGTTCTTGTTGCTTGTTGTGGTGAGAAGATGGACTGTAGTGGTGGTTCAGAATGACAAGTTAGCTGAAGCCAAGAAAAATTCATTGGAGCAAACTGGGCTTTAGAACTGGTAGTGATCTGTTTCAGTGTTTGAGGGGAGACTGTTGTTGAGAGGACTTTAGTCCTATGAAGATCCTTGCCTTTGAATGTACCGGCTAGCTGCTTAATGATATTGCAGCAAGAATGGCTCATGGCTGTTAGGTCTCCTATGATGTTCTGCAGGACTTCTGAATGCATTGAACTGCAAGTTGTGTGAATTTGCTAAAGAGGTTACAGATATGCCCATTCAAACTAAAAGTGTTCTTGGAGAGACGAATACTCTTGCAAGCAGCTATTAGTTTAGACAGCAAAAGTTGTGTTCCTTGTATTAATTTCTTGTTAGACTGTTGCAAACGACTGATATCCTGCAGCTAGAGGTGGTGGGGCATTACTTGTGGGTGTTTTGTTTTTTTTTTTGTTGAGCTTTTGCATATCAAAGTGTATATATAAACTGAAATGTTTTCATAGGCTCAAACTGTTCAGGTTGCTGAAGTTGAACCACAGCCACAGCCACAGACTTCACCTGAACTTCTACTTCCAAACTCTCTGAAGCCAGAAGAAGGACTTGAAGTGTGGAAAAGCTGGGCACAGACCAAGAATGCAGAGCTGGAAAAAGAAGCCCAAAATAGGCTAGCACCTATTGGAAGTATGTGTCATGACAACATGGCCTTTCATTCCTTTCAAGTAGAGCTAGGAATGACTAAAACGTTAGCTGTTTACCACTCTGGAAAACACCTTTCTTTAATTAGTGATTGGTTTTAAATTTAAACTTTGGTTTACTCTGCAGTACCAATAACTGCACATTCCCACTCTCCCTATGGCTCTAAGCTGAGCAAACTGGAGCACCTAGGCTGGTAGCAGTAGAAGAGGGCACTGTGTGGCTGTAGTGCACACGCGAACAAAATGTGAATGCCAGCGAAGCTGTCATGGAGTTGCTGTTTCCCTGTTGCTGCAGGGCAGCATTTCATTGTGGACATGGTAGAAGAAGGCAATAGTCATGCAGTTGGCAGGGCAGAGAGTCTTCCTGTCGGATTCTTGCCCATTTATCTTTTAGTAGATCTGACAGCCTAAGATCTTGATTTATTTCAGCTTGCTTTATTATACTGGGAGAACGAGTTAGTATTGGGCATGCCAGATAGAATGGCAAAGCTGGAGATGTGGGAAATCATTCCTGAAAGATTGGGAAATCCTACAGCTTTATGACTTAAATAAGATGGCTTTGTTTTGTTTTTCCAGGGCGTCAGCTGCTGAGGTTCCAGGAAGATCTCATATCTTCAGCTGTGGCTGAGCTGAATTATGGTCTATGCTTAATGACACGAGAAGCTCGAAATGGTGATGGTGAACCTTATGATCCAGATGTGCTCTACTATATTTTCCTGTGTATTCAGAAGGTAGGGGGAGGACAGCTGTGTGTGTAGCAGAGCCATGCATGTTGTCAGCATGTATAGGGCTGATTCTCTGTGATAGAAATGGAGACTGTAGCTTCTATTAATCTTCCCAACAACTTCGTAGGAAAAAAAATCTCTTTGCTTTAATTATAAAAAAAAGAATCAGATTAAATGTAATTAGTGCACAGCAATGCTTTCACCTACTAAGTTAAGTTTGTGAAGAACTGTTAATAAATGAGTTCAGTATCATGATGAGAATAATAAAATCTTTTGTGTTTTTGGTGGGGGGAGGAGAGCTGGGTAACGTTTGAGGAAGTTGTCAGTGTCAAAACTTGATCTAGTTGAAGATTTAACAGGCAAGAACTTAACTTTTTGTGGTGTAATATTACTGATAGCTGGTAATATTGGTGTGCTTTCTGGAAGAGCTGCAGGAACAGAGCTAAACTCTGATAGAATTGAGCATCTCTCTCCCTAACCTTAAAAAGTAGTGTCCAAAGGACAGTCATGTGAAATAACTTGCAGTGAACACACCTGAAATAAAAGGTAAAATCCCAACCAGCTTTAATTTCTAAGATGGTTTTTCCGTTCTGTTTTAGCATTCCCATGATAGTAACTGAGATTACCTACCCTATACTGGCCTTAGAAGAGTGAGGACCCTTGCACCAAGTAGAATGTATTAGTTCTCAGTGCTATGCTGTAAAATGCTTGACTGACCAGGTACATGGGCTCTTAGGATAAGGTCTGGTCTGAGGAATATACTCACTACCACTGTACTGGACTGTATTGTGAATCTCTTACAGTATCTCTTTGAAAATGGCCGAGTAGATGACATCTTCTCAGATCTGTACTATATTCGGTTCACTGAATGGCTGCACGAAGTTCTCAAGGACGTACAGCCACGCATTTCCCCTCTTGGTAAGAACTTTTAAGAACTTTAAACATTACAAACTCCAGAAAGTTTTAAACTGAAATAAAGCACGTGTGGTCTGAATAGAAGCCCCTTCAAAGTATTTAACGTCCCTAGGACAGTTCATACTGGTCACAGAGAAAAGTGTTGCTTCTGCAGTGAATGCCAGGGTTACTGCGCACATCAGTCTCTAGCCCTGACAGTCGTTGAGGGTTATTTGTCTATGACTTGTCACCCCTCAAAAGGCAGATTGTTGGGACTTTGTAGTGTCATGAGATTGGTTTACTTGGAAGCCAGCTGATCCTTGATCTGAAGTTGAATCAAGCTTCCTCATCGGAAGTACTAATACATCTTGCCTCTAATATGTATTGTTACTTTGGGACATAGTACAAAACTGTCATGTTGCCATGTAGCCAGATGGATACAGTCTGCAAGACCAACTGAGTGTCAAAATAAAAAAACAATGCGTGATTAGAAACTCAAATGCTGCAGTCAATTGCAGCTCATCAACACTGTGTTCAGAAGATGGTGGCAACAGGGGTGGAGGGATCAGTTCCAGAAGGGACAGATTTTGACAAAGTTGCATATGAGAACTAGATTAAGAATTGCATTTTCAGAGCACAGAAACCTGGTTTCTCATTACTTCATTCCCTTTGATCTGATTAGACGTCAGTGAAGAAGTTATTGCTTGTGTTCAGAAAAGTAGCTGATGTTACAGGCTAGATGGCTAAGTAGCACTGGGAGTTTTGGAATCCTTTGTCTTCACTCTGGCTGTTTGATCTGTGCTTTGTCATTCCACAAGCCCTTGAGTTCATACTGCTGTCTGTTTTTCTGTTTATCTGTGTATTTGGAGTATAGTATTTCTCTTCTACACAAAGGAAAAAAATTTGAGAATCAAAGGATTACTCGTGTCCAAATACATCACTTGGCACTGTGCGCTGACTAGGACTGCACACAGGGCCAAGAACTGATTTGTTACACTGGCCTGCCTGCTCTCACATATTATTGGATTAGGAGCATCTGCATTGGAGTAGAGCCATTAATTAAAAGCTGTTTAAGTGCATATTTATTTCTCTCTGGGCTGGGATGTATAGGCATATTGCAGAAATGTACTCTCTGCAGCTAGAGGTTGATGTATGTATGCAAGCGTTTCCTAACTGTACCTGCTATTTAAAAAGTTATTTGCACAGTAGTGAATCTTGACGTCGATGAGGATCTGCTCCTCCTCCTTCCCTTAAGATTTAGATGTTCTCCTATACTTACAGACTATAAAATGCTGCCTGTGTTCCTGCTGTGACTGTCTCCTGGCGTGATGCTGACTACTTCTGATTATTGCAGGTTATGTCCTATCCAGTCATGTAACAGAAGAGATGCTGTGGGAGTGTAAGCAGCTAGGAGCTCACTCCCCTTCCACCTTGCTCACTACACTGATGTTTTTTAATACAAAGTAAGTACTTGGGTCGTTGGGAATCCTGGGGAATAAAAGAACTTCAAACACCTTGAGAGGGTTGGTAGGAAACTGCTGCACTGATTAGGGCAAAATCATGAATTTCAAATGGTTGCACACAGAGCCCTTTTGCAGCCCCATCAGGCAAAGAAGATGAAGTACAACAAGGAAATGAGCTAGCAAAGGGGAAACTGAACTTGGTGACTGTTGTGGGCTTTGCTGGTGAACCAGTCTTTAACTTAATGTTGGTTTGAGCTTCAGCTGGCTCATGATGAGTGAAGAGAATTACCTCACTGTTGTGACTTATCACTTACTTGCCTCTGAATGTCCTGTGTTCTCTTCTTGCTGCTCAGATACTTCCTGTTGAAAACAGTAGACCAGCACATGAAGCTGGCCTTCTCCAAGGTGTTGAGGCAGACCAAGAAGAACCCTTCTAATCCCAAGGATAAAAGCACGAGTATTCGCTATCTGAAGCCTCTTGGCATACATCAGACAGGACAGAAAGGTAGTTTTCTTTGGGAATATTTACTTACTGGGCTTGAAGGAAGTGGATGAACCTGGAGATGTGTCCAGGTAGGGCCACGAGAACCCAAGGCTATGCCCATTACCTTCAGCCTAGCAGCATGAGTTTTCCGGGCAGTCTGTCTGAGAGTGCTTAGTACCTTCTAATAATAAGCCTGGGGACATACCTGAGGTGCATAGGGCTCACCAAGAGCTAAGGATAACTTTTCTTGTTACTTCTGTTTTTTACGGACAAAGGGACTGTTGGGTGTAAGTGCTTATGAATAGAGCGATAAACTTCTTTGGGAGGGCTTCTCTTATCTTGACTCATGTGAACCCATGTAGAATCCATATGTAAGTACAATCTGTCTTCTTAAAAGCGCGGACCCAGGATTTAGCTGAGGCATTGCAGTCTCAGTGGTGAGATTTCTCTCATTTTGGGCACAGGTGGAGGAGAAATGGGAAAAAGAATATGGATGGGATGTGTTGTTCAGTGGCCTTGGGATAAAGCAAGCTCTCTATAAAGTGCTTTGAGCATTTATAACCAGGTGCCTCTGCCCTGGAACAGCCATATGTCTCTTGCCAGCTCTTGCACGGTGACAAGGTGCTTCAGAGTGCTGAGGCTGTATGGCACTGCTCGGTTTGCTGTACTTACACAGAGTGTCTGACAGACTTCTGGGGGGCTGGTTTGTAGTTACAGATGACATGTATGCAGAGCAGACTGAGAATCCAGAGAACCCCCTGAGGTGTCCGATAAAGCTGTATGACTTCTACCTCTTCAAATGGTGAGAGCTCTTCTTCGTGTGTATGGTTGCTTGTCTTCTGTGACTGTTAAGATGCATCTTGTAGCTGGCCTAGTTTTCAGGGCTGTGTTTTAGTGCTGGCACAGTTTCTATATTTGCATAAATTTACTTAAATGGGAAGGGGCGTTGATGTGAGAGGGTGGGATTTACTCTGATGGCACATAAGTTGAATTTCTGTGGTATTTAAAGAGACAAATCCTGATTTGTGAACTGGCTGCCCTTAATCTCATACTCACTCCAGAGGTTTGCTGTGTTGGCGTGAGCATGCTGTTCTGCCAGTGACTTATAAGCAAGTCATCTGGAAGCATCCGCTACTTAAGTTGAGATTAGGGTCCTATTCAAAACTGCTTCTGAACAAAAATTATGACTTGCTATGGAGATTGGAGGGAGCCTCAAAGGACTTGCCTCCAAATTATGATGGTTCTGACAATTAATGTAAAACTTCTGCACAGATGGGTCTGCAGCTAGTCTGGGTGTGCAAAAACCCCATCCTTGCTTCACTCTGAAAGACCTCTAAAGCCATGTGTGTATTATACTTACCAGTATGGAATAAAAATCACTTTCTTGTAGTCGTCACCATGGCTTTTTAACTTTGGCGTGGCCAAAAAACTTTGGGACCACCGTTGCCCCTAGATGTAACTCCATACTACCTTCATGTCTCATCAGCCTGATGTTCACTGCCAGGAATTATGAACCCTGGGGTGAGGACAGTGGTGATCTCTCCCACCCAGGACATCCTGTTAGTCTGGTTATTTCTGATCTTCCTCATGCAGCCCCCAGAGTGTGAAAGGCCGGAATGACACGTTTTACTTGACACCGGAGCCAGTGGTGGCCCCCAACAGCCCTATCTGGTATTCCATCCAGCCGATCAGCAGAGAGCAGATGGAGCAGATGCTCACCCGGATCCTGGTGATACGAGAGATTCAGGAAGCTCTTGCCGTGGCTAATGCCAGCACCATGCACTAAGGCATCCTTCTTGGCTCAGAAGGGGTGGGGCGGGGTGATGGGGGAGGGACAAGCAAAGATAAATTGTACAGACTTTTACACTAAAGGAGATGCCTAAGTTTTTGGTTTTTTATTGGTGTAGTTATGAAGCCCTTTTAGGCTTCTTCTCTTTAAAAGAATCTAAAGGAAAACCTACCCATTGTGTATCCTACCCAACATACCAAACTGTTGGAAGCATTGGAGGCTGCATATTCCCTGCGAGCTGGGAGCTGTGGAAAGCTGCTGGTTGACTCTGGGTTTTTTTATGATGTAGAAAACATGAACTACAGGATTGGCCTGGATGGCTGGGGCCTCCGTCTCCTTGGAGCACGTGCAGCCTAGAGGGCGCAGAATGATGGATGGACCTGCTCAGCCAGTGGAGGAGAGGCAGGCATCTTTTCTTGTGCTTGGACATTAATTTGCTGTTATCTTGGAAGGAAGAGGAGAGAGTGAACTGCAATTGTGATTTATACAAAAAAAAAAAAAAAAAAAACACAAAAACAAAAAACAAACCAACGATTTCTATTCAGACCTTTAAGTGACATTTTTAGATGTTAAAAGTACAAACTTTACCACACTCTTCTTTTTTTGGCCTAACATTGAGGCCTTAAACCTTGAGGCTCCTGTGCCTGTTGGAATTCTTGTAACATACACTTGTGTATCATATAAAGATACCACCCTGTTTCTCTTATGTATTCTTACTCTAGTTGTTTATTAAGAATGACAAGCACGTCTTTTCAACATGCCATTGAACAATGTGTCTTTATTTGGGGAAGAGTGAGCTGTGAGGGTGGGGGGGGTCATTATACAAAGATCAGTATGCAAACTGGTTGTTTTCATCCCTGTTTGTGCTTTCCAGCTTGACTCCGCTGGACTTCTTTCACTCCTACAAATTAGGAAGGTAGAAGGGGATTAACTTCTGTTGAAGGACCTGAATGTCTGCTTGCTGATGGAAGCTCAGTGTCAGGCTAGGAACATGGGATCTGTGAGACCAGATCAGACTGCCCTCATGTTCTGTGGCCAGCCTGTGAGGCTTCTCCCGCAGGGCAAATCCCCCTCTCTCCACCTTTACAAACGCATCACACCAACGGCATGATGGAGGGGTGTTGGAGGGAAAAGGCCTTCCAGGAGCAGCACATGGCTAACTCCTGCCATTTAACAGCCTTTTCACAGTTTTTAACACTGCTGTGTAGCTTCTGGCATCGTTCATAAACCCCAGCCCTGTAGCCTTGCCTTGCTGCATCTTAAATGGTTGCTGTATTTTATATCATTAACAAATAGTCTGCTCTTTTGAAGCCAGCGGGTAGCCAACTGTGCTTGAAATGGGAGTTCACTCTAGCCAGGCTTGTTGTTTGTGCCACCAGCTTCTTGGATGCAGAGAGATGGCTCTGCTTCTTGAACTTGTCTTCCCTGCTTTCTCCATCTCATGTCCCTTTCCTGTTCCAAAATATATAGATATATATTTAAATATATATTGCAGTAAAAGAACTTAAACTTGTGTACAGGCAAGCAATTTTTCTGAAGCTTCTGTTGACCAGCACCTGTCTGTATTGAGAAGGAAGGTTTGCCCTCTCTGTCGGTTGTGTACAGTGTAAATGATGAGAGCAGCCATAATGTTCTCTGTCTTTGTGCTCTTGAGCAGTGTTGAGGTGCGCGGGCTTAGAGAGAGACTTCGAGCCGCTGATGCTTCATATTGATGTTGGTGTTCTTGAGGAAGCAGATGTGCTTGAGTTGGTTGTGAGTAGGCGTGGTTTGTTCCCTGTATAGGACTCTGTGCTCGAATAAGTTCAGGGAGGTGAAATAGCAACACACTGTTGTTTACCAATACCCATACTCTGAAGTAGACTCTTAGCTCGGTGTTTGCCCTTGGAGTTATGCCAGGGAAAAATAGCCTGGAGTTGGTGCCAAGATCTAAGTGGGTGAGTTGGGAAGATGGAACCCAGGTGGTGTGTAGTGCTGGCAACCCACACCCTCGGCTCCGTTCAGCCACTGGGAGCCAGTGGTTGCCCCTGGTAGGGTGGCTGTTGGGATCGCTAGTATTGCTTCCGCTCTCAGAAGCCTTTAATCCCTTCATCATATCTTAGCAACTGGAATGTTCACCTCTGGCCCTAAATTAAATATTTAAGGACATGGTTAGGGGCAAGCTCCCACTGTTTCAAGAAGCTAGGTGTACTTGTTGCTCAGGATGCCCAACAGGCGTGCACAGAATGGATTTCCCATTCTGCTGGGCAGTTTGTCTTGTCTTCTGAACACACTTGCAAAGATGTGAGAGAAACTGCAGATGCCTGTGCTGGAGTCCCAGTGTGTGCTCTGCAGGAGCACATGGGAAGCCAGCTCCAGCGTGCCCGTGCCTCCGTGTGCACCTGCTGCTTTGTCTGTCACCATTGGAAATGCGGTGGGTGTTCAAGTCACCTGTCAGATACACAGTGTGCAAGTTGTTTCATTGGGTGACTTTGGGAGTCACTGCTTACTCTAAAAATTGCCAGAAGCTGGAATAACTTGGCAGAATATTAGGGCAGTTCCAGGTGAACAGATACTTCATCTGAGCTTTCTGGGGAAACAGAATTCCATGTTACCTTGAAATTCTAGATTGTGTGCTTTCTTTAATACCCTTAACTGGAGGATGACCTAAAATCTTTGTAGGGGAAGAGTTCTCCTTGATCTTGGAGTATACCGCTTAAGAGCAGGGCAACTTGGCACATGGTGAGCTCTGGAGATCTCCTTATGATTGGCTTTGTCCTGACAGACTGAAGAGTTTCCATCATTTTTCTCATTGTTTGAACGTACGTAGAGGGATTTGCTGATGCAGAAGTGGACTGCTGTACTGCTCTGTACTGTCTCATCAGAATATCCACCGTGTTAACTTCATTCCCTATTTTTAGAGACAATCGATATACTGTGACTTAAGGATTATTTTCCTGGACCTGGCTTCTAGTCTGGCTCTCTGGAGCTAGTTTAAAAAGGTACAGTATTTCTTGAATATAAATACTATGTTCTTTGATAGTGAAGAACATGATCTGCTCCCTTTTAGGGGCTCATAGGAAGACGTGCACAGAGTAGCACAGAAGAGTGCTGTGGCTTAGGGTTGCTATCCAAGTTCTGGGAAATGTTCCCAGTCAAACATGTAAAATAGCTTTTTAACACTTTCCTATAACCAGCTTGACTGCTGCTTAAAGGGCATTCCCCCTCGGCTCCGAGAGTGCCAAACTGCTAGCTCTTGTATGCGTGTATATATTAAATGAGAACTTTCAATGCCCTACGCCTTGTATGAGACAGGCTGAAAATGCATCGATCTCTCAATAAATAAAGCTAAGAAGTCAAGCTGGAGACCCTGCGCTGTTGGTTTCGAACTGTGCCCATCTTGTCTCTGTGCTATGAAAGGAACCATAGAAAGCAGAGCGTGACTGACTATTGTAAAGCACCTCACATTCTGACATGACTCATATATTGTCCTATCTCTTGACACTAATAGCATTGCTTTCCTAAGGAAACTTGTAGCCTCTTACATACTTGTCATGGCACCATTAGTTTTTCATTTACTTTCAAGAGTTCAAGCATTTCCTCTAAGTGGTAATGGCTGAAGCAGTGGAGAGCAGACTCGAGAGTGGTTCCTCACTCCTGTCTAGAGTGGTGAATAAAGGGAGCGCTCTAAATAACTTCACAGGGCTCTCATCTGTTTGGATGCTTCAGCCCTCAAGATCTCCTGGATTTTTTGACAGGAGACAAGGTCTGAAGTAGTTCCTGAACCGTTCTGCCTTGGGCCAATGAAAAAAGACTTAATCTGATCCCAAATACGAAACCTCTTCTGCACTGTTGCTCCTAGGGCAGAAATTAAGGCAGTCTTGTTCTCAGCTGCACAAGGGCTACTGTCTACCTTGGTATACCTAGAATGGATTAGGCCGTCTTCAAGCCTCCTATGCTGTGATAAACACAGATCCAGAAGAGGCAGGAAAGAGCCCTCCGAGCATATGTGGGGTGGAGGACTTGCTGATACTGTAGTTGCTCATCCTCTAGCTGGTCTGAGTGCTGCTAGACATGGACTCAGCACAGTCCAACCAAACTGCATTCTCATCCAAGTTTAATAGTGACTTCCTTGCAATTCATGTTTGGACTCTTGAATCACTGTCCAAGTGGGATATAAACTGTCTTCCACCCTATATGGGGCTTTTCTCCCCATCTTCTTGCTGGAGCTGCTCCTCTCAAAAACTACAGGGAATGTACCTTATCCTGATGTTTCAGCCTGTTGTTTCACTGGTGCCAATGCATAGGAAAGAGCCCTTCTCAGCTCAAGCATCTTCCTACCTTAAGGAGCATCTCAAATCTTCCAGAAATCTCACTGACATGCTGCCCCAAAAATCTCTGAAGCGATTGCTGTGTCCCCTACTTGTCAGTTCCCTTTGTTGCGTGGCTGAAGCTCGGCGCTCAGCACTGCAGTCACTTTCCCTGTATAACTTTGTGCATGGCAGACACGTTTGCCTGCTTCTTCGTTCTCATTTGAGCTCATCAAAATGGGGAGGCAGATTGAACCCACTTATAGCAGCAATAAACCACGTCTGGAACTTGAGAGGGAACTGCAGGAGATTATGAGGTGGCGGGGGATGTCTCAGAAAGGCAGGGTCCTGTTGCAGCCCAGAGCCTCGCTTGATAATGAGTGTGCAGCCTATATGCAAAACATGTCTTGTCTGTCCCTCCCGTGTTGACCCTGGTCTAAACAGCACATGTGATTGGCATCCTGCAAAGTGACCTTCAGAACTCTCCAGTAGCTTTGCCCCGTGAGTAACTCACACTACAAATCATTTTAAAGAGATGCACTCAACTATTTTTTTAATTTAATTTTACTCTTATATTCTCTGCTCTTTGTAATCTGCTTGGAAATAAAATGTTTTTCCCTGCAGCTTTTGTTGTAGTCTGTTTGAGAACCATTAAACTTTGTCTGGTGTTTCTATTGGAACAGAAGCCAACTTGCCTGTTTACTGCTGTGCCCGTGCTCTAGCATACCAGCCGAGATCGGTGTGTGCCTCCCAGATAGGCTTAGCAAACCTTTGTTAGTGCTGCCCTTATTTAAAATAAAGGGTAGAGAGACCTGTTAAACTGATCTTGGTCTGGCATGATGCCTCCTGCTCTGCTGATCCTGTGACAGGTAATGCTGACTAGAGAGTGTGTGTCCTTGGCAGGTGGTGTTTTCCTTTGGAAAGGCTGCATTTCTGAACTCAGCCTCTGGGATGAGTATCTCGGGGCCTTGACTGGTTACTGCTTTTGGTGGTGTGAGCATAGACACATTATTTACTGCAAAGGACGGTGCTTTTCTTACAGCTCTGTAGCCTGAGCAAACTGCAAACAATGGGGAAATCAACTCTTAGCTGAGAATCAACCCAGGAATTATGTAAAGAAGTAAAACCAGGGTGAAATGCAATTTTCTGTAGCAGACTGTCAGGGAACAAGAATTGAAACCCTGTGAAGTTCAGAGCGTAGCATAACGACAGGCACCATTAACACGTGGCTGTAGGAAGGTGGCGTTGGTGTTGCCATTTGCAGTAGTAGTAACCGGATCACTGCCAAGCTCTTGGCTTAAAGTTTTAAGTGGCATTGTGGATCCTTGTCGCTGACTTGTAACTATGCAAGGGCTGTCTCGTCTTAGTTACCTGAGGGCCCCTGGAAGCCACACCATACCCTTCCTCACAGCAAAGGGAACATCCCTGCCCTGAGGGACGCGCCTTCCTTTCCTGCTAGAAACAAAACCACAGTCTGGTAGGAAATAACTGTAACTTTCAGAAGCTGCAGCCTCTATTCTGTGCATATTACTGCTCTTGAGATCAAATAAGCCACCGCACAGTCCTGCTTCTGTCCAGAGTATGGTTTACTTGCTTGGTTTTTTTCCCCCACCCTGTGTAAAGGCCAACATTAGCATATACTAAAGCTTAGCTTAACTAGTCTCTCTAAACGCTGTGTTGTCTTTTGCAGAACCTTACTCAGACTAAAACACGTTCATCCAAACTACAGGAGTGATCCTGACTGATGAACCTCACAGCGTACAGTGGCCATTTGCTTCCAAGTATTTTGGAGACCCGAACAGATGTCTCTGTTCATGTTTCCAGTGTCCTATAGCTGAGTAACACACTTTCTCAAAGCTACTTGCTGATCTTTGGACAAGGATTTAATCTATTGCAGTAAGATAGTTGAAGGTACGGGAGCACTGTTCTTTAGTTCCCTGAACTTGCATTAAATACTGTGTTGCCTTGGAGAGCCTGTCATGCAAGAGCAGGGTGAGAAGGGCTCTGGTCATGTAATTTCCCTGGTTTTGAGGCCAGATCCGGTACGTCATGACAAGCAAACCAACCATCAGAGGACGTTGTCCTGTAGCCTGCCTTACAGGGACGTTTCCTGGTGCCCAGATGGATCTGCAGGGTGATCTACAGATCATCTCACCCTGGAAAAAGCTGATCGCCGGTTCCCACAGCTCCTCTAAGGCAGATCAGAGTGTGTGCCTGTTCCCCTCCTGCAGGCACATACCTCCCTGCCCTTCCCCAAAATCCTCCCTCCAGCCGCAGCGCGGGCAGGGGGGTGCCCCACCGAGCCCCCGCTGTGCGCAGCCGCCCTCCTCGCAGCACTGCTGGCCCCGGGAAGGGGGGCTGCTGCTGGGCTGGGGTCGCCTCAGGCCCAGCCCCGCGGGGCTGCTGCCTCGCTGCAACAGCCCCTCTCGCCTCTGCCCGTCATTCCCCGCCCGGTGCTGGACTGTTGCCTCCTGCCCCTTGGCTTACGTCCTTCTCGCAGATCTTTTCCGTCTCGCAGAGTTGCTTTGGATTCTGCCGGTGTGTTCCAGCTCTGCGGCCGCCGCAGATCCAAGAAGCACGTTCTCGCCTTTCTATGGAAGCTGTTGGGAGGATCTAGTCCTCCCAATGATTCCCAACGCGCTGGGCCCCGCAGGCAGCGTCTTTCTGTGCAGGTTGTCCATGGCCAGTCTTTTTTAGGTTGTTTTCCAAGCACGTCACACCATACGGGTCGTGCTTGTGTAGGCAAAACCAGGGAGCATCACGGAGGACGGCATCGGGCCGTTCCGGGAGCTCAGCTCTCTCCGTATCGCTTCCTGCCTACGCATTGAGCTAGCTGCTTGGCTTCAACAACAACAACAACAACAAAAAAGGCCGGTTGTAGCTCGTGATGCCGGCACCGACCTCACGTCACCGGCTCGGCCGGTGTCGGGCCCGGTGTCGCGCTGGGCCGCGGGCTGAAGCCACCGACAGCGGCTGCCGGCCCTGGGCCCGCCGAGCCCGGCCCCTGTGTGTCCGCAGCCCCGAGTCCCGCCCGGGGCGGCCCCGCCCCCGTCTCCTCGGGACAACCGCCAGCGGGGACACCGGCGGCGCGCGGTGCCCTCCCGGGCGGGAGAGGGCGAAACCGGCGGCCGCTCTGGGCCGCGCTCTCGCTGGTATGGGGGGGTGGTGGTGGGGGGGGTGGGCCTGCGTGAACCCTCGCGGCTGCCGTCGGGGCGCGCGTGCGCTCGGGGGCGCGCGGGGCGGCGGGCACGCGGCGGCGGCAGGCCGGCACCATGGCGGACTACCTCATCAGCGGCGGCACCGGCTACGTGCCCGACGACGGGCTGACGGCGCAGCAGCTTTTCAGCTGCGGTGATGGGCTCACCTACAAGTGAGTGGCGGCACCGGCACCGGCACCGGGCCCGGGCCGGTGCTGTCGGTGACTCGTCTCCCCTCGTTCCCTCCTCTCCCAGCGACTTCCTCATCCTCCCGGGGTACATCGACTTCACGGCGGACCAGGTGGTGAGTGGCCGGGGCGGGGGGCTGGGGCGCGGGGGGGGGGGACAGGGACCGGCGCTGGCGCCGCCGCCGCTCAACCCCCCCTCCCTCCCTCCCGCCCCGCCGCTCCCCGCCAGGACCTGACCTCGGCGCTGACCAAGAGGATCACCCTAAAAACCCCGCTGGTCTCCTCCCCCATGGACACGGTCACCGAGGCCGGCATGGCCATCGCCATGGCGGTGAGTGCGGCCCGGCGGGGCGGGCACGGCCTGCCGCCGCCCCGGGAGGCGGGGGGGGGGGGTGGGGGGGTGCCCTCCGCCGGTACCGGGATGGCGGGGGTGGAAATGCCGTGCGCCGCACAGGCCTGCCTGCTCCGGGGTCACCTCAGTTCTCCAAAAACACCCCCCACCTCAGCGACCCCCCTCCTGGTGAAGAACCGGGTGGTTTTTGCAGCCGTTTCCAGCCGCTTTTGTGTTCCCCAGCTCACCGGGGGGATTGGGTTCATCCACCACAACTGCACCCCGGAGTTCCAGGCCAACGAAGTGCGGAAGGTGAAGGTGAGTGGCTGGAGCCGCCAGCCGCGCTCGCCCGGCGCTTCGCGGGCGGTGGGTTTGGCCCTGCTGAGGGAGCTGTGAGAGGAGACAGCGGAATTGGGCCGGATCTCGGTGTTTTGGGGCGGTAGCGCTGCCGCGCTTGCCTGCGCAAACCTCCTGCGTGTTAGGCACCATCCCCGAGCTGTGCGGATGTGAGAACTACGGGGCTTCCCGCTGTGGGAGCATTCCCCATGATTTCGGGAAGGAGGTTAGCCTGGGCACTCGGGAATATAACGCTACTTGGGGGAGCCTTAGTGCTGGCTTGAGAGTCACCCCGTCAGTGAGCCTGCAGCCAGGGTGGGTGATTGCAGATCTCTCTGAGCAGCCGCAGTAACCACCAGACACATGTCTGGCATCTGCTCGGTCTGGTGGTGCCGCCCAGCCTGGCTGCTGAATCTGCTTCTTTCCAGAAATACGAGCAAGGATTCATCACAGATCCCGTGGTGCTGAGCCCCAACGACCGAGTGCGAGATGTGTTCGAAGCAAAAGCTCGTCATGGATTCTGTGGGATTCCCATCACGGACAATGGGAAGATGGGGGGCAAGCTGGTTGGGATCATCTCGTCTCGAGATATTGATTTCCTGAAAGAGTCGGAGCATGACTTGCCTCTTGGCGAGGTAAGAAGGGCTGGTGAGCAGCTGATGGATGCGAGCGTTGTGTTAGGAAGTGACGTGGCTTGTGCTAAGGAGAAGGGCAAGTGCGTGGCTGAGGACGCTGCGCCAGTGGGAGGGAGCAGCTCCACGTCACCTCTGCGGGTCCATCTTTCCAGGGGAGAACGTCTCGTTCATTTACTCTCCCTCTGTGACTCCTGCAGTGCAGATAGGGGAGAGCGGCCGTGCACTTAGCCTTGGCGTGACTCCTCCGGTGGGGTTATCTTTCAGTGTGTGGAAGCCATCCTCTCCACAGCTGGTGTTCTCCCGTGATTCAGTAGTTAATTCCTGGTGCTGCTGGCTGCTGCTGTGGTCCCACGCAGCGTGCTGGCGCCGGCCAGGGCTGTAGCACCTGCGCTGAGCCCAGCAAGCCCTCCCAAGTGCTGATCTTCCTTTTCTGGACCACCTTGCCCTGTGGGTCTCATCGAGGCTATTTGCTCTTTAAAATAACCCCTTGAACTCGGAGACTGGCAGTTTAGCCTTTATCATGCTACACTGTCAAGCTCTCCTGGTACAGGAGAACGTTCTCTGCGATGCCGATGTTGATTCCTGTTAGTTCTGGCATTCCTGTTACACGAGCTGTGTAACCGTAGATCTGCGGCGCTGTCAGGTTACACCACTGGTGCCTCTCAGCCAGGCTCTGCTCTTGACTCACAACTATTTTTAGCTATTGCTGACCAAACCTGGTATCACATGCTCATCCCTGTTTGGTTTGAAATCGCCTATAAATACCTGTAACAAGAATTTTAAACCAGGAGTAGGTTATAAAAGTGCACAGGGCCCTTTGAAGCAATGCTGGCCCATTCAGAGGAGCCAGATAAGAATCTCCTCTCATCCTTTACGTGCATCATTCAGTGCTGCGAAGTTGGAAGCTTGCTGCTGTTAGCGTTCAGTGCTTGCCTCTGTCACCAGGCAAGGCTAGGGAAGTGAATGGTTTCCCAGATCTCTCCTCACTCGCCACCCAGCAGTCCTCTTGCTGGGCCATTCCGTCTAGCTCAGGAAGCTCGTGGATCCCACAGGCTTCGGGAGTATGTTGGGATATGTCTGTGATTCCTCAGGCTTTTCCTGACCTGGGTTCTGTCACAGAATTTTGAGTGGATGTGGGTGCGGTGAACCCCTCCCAGTACTTAAAGGGGGCTACAGGAAAGGTGGAAAGGGACTCTTTATCAGGGAGCATGGGGATAGGACGAGGGGTAAGGGTTTTAAACTGAAAGATTAGATTGATTTATATTAGATATAAGGAAGAAATTCTTCCCTTTGAGGGCAGTGAGACACTGGCACAGGGTGCCCAGAGGAGCTGTGGCTGCCCCCCCCGGCAGGGTTCACGGCCAGGTTGGACGGGGCTGGGAGCAACCTGGGCTGGGGGAAGCTGTCCCTGCCTGCGGCAGGGGGGTGGAACTAGGTGATCTCTAAGGTCCTTCCTAACCCAAACCATTCTATAGTTCTGTGATTCTCTTTTCTGATGCAAAATGTCTGTTCTTATGGTATAAGTAACTCAAATGTTGCCTCTTTTCCTTGTTGTGTGCTACTAATTACCTTCCTTGAGGGTTAGAGTGTTCCCTTTTTGCTTTGCCTGGCTTTCTCGAGTAACCTTTCACGAGAACATCCCACATGAACTTTGTGATCGCAGAATGCTGCAGGTGGGAAGGGACCTCCAGGTCCCTTGTCAAACCTTCTGCTTGAGGCACGTCCAGCTGGAGCAGGTTGTGTGATGCTGTGGTAGAGAGATTTCACTGCCTCTCTGGGCTGCTCTTCCAGTGTTTGACCACTGTTGTGGCAAAAGGGTTTGTTTTTTTGTTTTTTTTTTTGCAAACCACGTCAGATGTTCCCATGTTTCAGTTCATGTCTGTTGCCCCTTGCCTTTCTGCTGTGTTTTGGCGCTTGTTTGTAAAGAGTGAGCGTGGGTGGGCATGTTTGGATTGAAGCAACTCCTTTGCCCTGTTGACCTTGCCAGCAGCAGCGGTGTGTTATTCTGAGCAGAGCCCTTCCAGAGCCTGTGTGCTGGGGATTGCTGCTTGAAAATGAGCTTGTGGGTAGCGTTTCTGCCAGAGCAGCGTGGGACTCGAGCTATCTCCAGCCCTTATTTCCCTGTGCTGTATTAAAAGGGAAGGCTGTTTGGGTGACATCCCAAACAAGGGTCATCTGAGAGTTATCCCTTGCTTCTGGGCACTCTCCCTCGGTTTGCTGAGGCCTTCTGCCATCTTCTGTTTTCACTGCACTGATGGGCTTAGGGGCTGGTGGCTGCTGCTTGCATGGGGGCAGCGCATTGGAGGCTGTTCCTGTGTGTTTCTGGAGGTGTGTTGCTGTGCTGTGGGCTCCTTTGTCTGAAGAGCACTCCCACATGGCTGCTGCAGAGCATTTCACGTGGGCAGAGGGGTTTAGTATTTTCAGAGCAGCGCGAAGGCGTTCTTGTGACTTCTTATCTTCTCCCTCCCACTAGATTATGACAAAGCGGGAGGATCTTGTTGTAGCCCCGGCTGGCGTAATGTTGAAAGAAGCGAATGAAATTCTGCAAAGGAGTAAAAAAGGTACCTGTGAACGTCTGTGACGTGAGGGAGAGCCATGGAAGTGCTGGGCTGGGAGCAGTAGTGGGTGAATGTGGGCATGCATCCGTGTGTGGGAGGAACAGGGGAGGGCTGTGTTCCAGCACGAGGAGAGGACAGCGAGAAGAGAGTGCCCACAGCTCTCTGCCAGGGTACAGAGTTCACATGCGTTCATCTCAAATCTGTTGGAAGTTGAGGGATTCTTGGCAGGCCAGGAACTGAAGAGTGCCTGGATGTCCAGCCACACGTCTTCAGTTTTCTATCCCGGCCTTCACGTTTTGGCAGTCAGTTCAGCTCTGTTAGGGTTTGGTAGTTTGGCTTTTAACACAGTGTCATGGGTCTAATTATTAAAAAAGATGCACTTCTTGTGTGGTCGGTGTGAAAATACCGAGTCTTTCTCCAGTCTTGCAAACTCCTTGCTGTTTCCCAAGCCAGGGCTGTTGGCATCTGTGGCCGTTTCCACCTTGTACCAGTTGCTGCCTGCCTGGTGCTCCCGGTCTGCCGCACCGCCCTGGGCTAATGTCTGTCTCCTGCAGAAATCTGCAGTGATGTTCTTTCTGTTTGTTTCAAGGCAAGCTGCCAATTGTTAATGAAGATGATGAGCTGGTCGCTATAATTGCCCGCACTGATCTTAAGAAGAACCGGGACTACCCTCTGGCTTCTAAGGATTCCAAGAAGCAGCTGCTCTGTGGTGCCGCTATTGGGACCCACGAAGATGACAAATACCGGCTGGACCTCCTGGTGCAGGCTGGCGTGGATGTGGTTGTGCTGGTGAGCCACCCACAGGCATCACGTTGGCTTGGGGAGGTTGGGTGGGCTGGGGATCTGGTCTGAATGAATCTCTCTGTCAGTGGGGCAGCAGCGTGGCACTCACTGTCTTTGTTACAGGCCCTTTTGTGTTAGAATATGGCAGTTTGTTGACCTCTCGGTCTCATTCAGGTCTGAGCCCACAAACGAGGGATTCCTCTCGCCTGGGAACTTAGTTGACCTTGAGAGAGTATGTAGGGAGCATTGAAGCCCTGCAAGGCTAAGAAGAGAAACACTGTCGGTTAATACAGAATCTTATACAAATGCTTCTTGCAGCCTGCTGCCATTGTCTCTGATGTCCCTAACTAGTTTTGAATATTTGGCTTCTTTCAGTTTCCCTTCAGCTCTTTGGTGTTTGTTACTGTGTTATTTTCTTAACCTCCTGAGGTTCAGGAGTGGTCAGCCCAGAGCTGCTCTGCTAGTCTCCCCGTCTGGCCTGTAAGCTTTCGGGCACAGCCGTCACTGCCTGTATTTGCACATGGTTTTCTCATCGATTGTTAGCTTGCGAGTCCACCGTGCTCCAAGGGCATGGCTGAGCAGCGTTGCAGCTGGAAATGTTTAACAGACGCTGCGAGTTGGCCGGGTCACGGAGACTGGCAGGGCCTGAGCGCTCGGTGGTCGACAGCTGGTATGTCAGCTGCTCTGCTGTGCAGCAGGGTGAGATGCATCCCCCCGCCAGCCCTGCTGGGTTTCACGAGGAACGTTCACCGTTTCACCTGTAGTTTGAGAGAGGGCTGACAGCGTCCTGGTGGTAGAGCCAGATGGTTCTTACCCACAGCCAGATGTGCTGCTTGTTGCCTACTGTAGAAGCCACAGGATGCAAACACAAAGGATATTTACAATAACTGAAGTCTTTATGATAAACTGCCTTGCACAGGAAAGGTACGTTACTGTCTTGGCAGCACCTTCTCTGGTTCTGTGCTCAATTTGGGGAGTCATTTTAGCCACTTAGCCAGCTTAGCAGAGACCCCGGTAAGCAGAGTGAGGATCTGAGGCTCTTCTGGAGATGTGTTTGTAATCTTTTACAGAAATTCTGGTTGAAATTGATTTTCTTTTTGTTGCAGGATTCCTCTCAGGGGAACTCCATCTTCCAGATCAATATGATAAAATATATTAAGGAGAAATATCCCAACCTACAAGTTATTGGAGGAAATGGTAGGCATCTGTTGAAGACTCTTCTTGTCTTTAAATTATGTTTGTTTCTTAGGCATAGAGGGAGCTCCAGGGATGTGAATGAAACGCTCATCTTGGTAAATGTCCATGAACTTAAAATGGTTTCCTCTGGCTTATGGAACAGAGCAAGACCACTCTGCAGACACAGGGCAGTATCCTGCTGCTGCCACAGCTGCGAATATTTTGAAACCTTTATTCTGCAGCACAGTGCGCTGCAGTGCTCTGTAGCCTGTCACACATTAGCTTCTTTTACACAGCAGTTTAAAATTTTGGATAATAATGAATGTTGCTTAATGTGGAAATCTAATGGAAATTTTCCCTGCCTCTTGGCAGCAGAGCTCAGCAGTTCATGTCTTTACCTGGCTGGTGTTTTACTGGTGCTGCTGTTAACGTGTGCTCTGCCCTCCCTGTCTGGTGTGGCCCAGGGAGCGCTTGGCACCATGTGGTGACCTCTGCTACCTCAGCCTTTGGGTGTAAGTGTGTTGCAGAGTAGCCTAAGGGGCCTAAAGTCATCTCACCTGCTGGGGACAGAAGCTCACTGCTGCTTTTGCAGATAGGCCTGGTAGCAGCGGACAGCCAGGCCCGGCTCTGACCCAGGCTGGTGCTGTGGGTAGGGGATGTTTGCAGCCACGGGGGAAGCACCAGAGCAGAGCGGTGTCGCGCGCAAATCTGCTTGTCTCTCTTCAAACCAGTTTCTGCTCCCCACAGTTGTGACTGCTGCTCAGGCCAAGAACCTCATTGACGCAGGGGTCGATGCCCTGAGAGTCGGGATGGGCAGTGGCTCCATCTGCATCACACAGGAAGGTGAGAGAGATCAGCCATCTCCTAAATAGGCTGAAAACATCTGTTTAATAGAGATTCCCTGCTGAAAAGCAGCACAGCCCAGATGGACTTATGTTGTAAGGGCAGTGCCCAACAGCAAGCTGTCTTTCACCCCCTTCGTCCAGGATGTTCTTGTCACCTGGGTCAAACCTTTGGGGTGGCAGCAGCAGCAAAGGCATTTCCCAGTACTGACCGGAACTGAGTAGAGCAGCTGTGGCACACGTGGCTTTGCCCGAGAGGAGCCACTGGCTCGGTGTGGGATGGGGCTGGCAGGCAGCTCAGCAGGGAGAGGGGCTTACTGGATCCCCAGTGCTGAGGGGTGAAGTGCACCGGGCTGTCTGTGCTCCCCTTCCCTCTGGCAGCAGTGTGCGTGGTGCTTGAGTATTGGTCTGCTGGGCTCGATGCCTTTCTGCAATTTCCAGGCCAAAATGGGATTTCTGGCCATTGTCTCTGCAGTTAGTGAGAGCTTGTGTGGGGCAGAGACTGTGTCACCCTTAGCTAAAACGCAGAGAGGGGCGTCCCCGAGGCCTTGAGGACAAGCTTAGTGCCTCGTGTTTTGAACCTGGCGGGTGAGGTGCAGAGAGGTGATGTGAGGCTCCGCAGCCCACGAACACAGCCCCTCTCTGCTTTGCTCCTTGGTCCTCGCCACAGGAGGCAGCAAGAGGGCGGCTGATGGCTGAAGGCGCTGCATTAGCTCTGCCGATTCCAGCGTGGAGCCTTCAAGCAGCCCGGGACCTCGGCTGCTCTGCCGGCCGTGGGCGCGTTTCCCAGTCAGGGCAGTCTGTCTCGGGTGACCTTTCTAGGGAGGTTGTGGTGTCCTTGGGCTGATGCTTCCGTAGCTGGAGCAGAACCAGGACGCACATGTTCTCCTCTGGCTCCAAGGCAGAGGACCCGCTGAGGCACGCTCCCTTCTGCAGCGGGGTGAACACCTCCAGAGGGTGCCTCTCCCGGCTGCCGCGGGAGGTGGGGTTGGGTGCTGGTTTAGGGGAAGGAGCAGAGCAGAGATGGAATGTGGCACTTCACAGGAGATGTGGTTGCAGAACTCTTAACTGCAGCTGCCAGGGTTTTCGTCCCTCTTAGGGCAAGAACTCTGGCTCTCTGGGTTGGGGGGGGTCACCTCTGGATGGCTGCTGGCGTAGGGCGAGCATGTGCTGTGCACAACTGGGCCTGGCTGGCTTGGATCTGGCCTCTGGCTTGGCTCAGGCTAGGAAGGGTTTGCAAGGTCAGCTCTGTCCCACACCGTATGCTCTGCCTAGTAGCAGGTCACTGCTGGGGTCCTTTGTTCTGCTGCTGTTCTTCTGTCTCTAAAATGTGTGTGTTTGTTTTTGTTTAGCTGCTCCAAAGATCCCTCCAGACCTAAAGTCCCACAGCCCCAAATGCCCTTCTACTGTCACGGGCACCTATAGTAAGTCACTTGCCCTGTTCCCAACCCTAATTATGTGTCTTGAAGCAGGACCCTGATTTGGCTGCACATAGCCCTACTGCTTGTTTGAGAATAATTTAGCTGTAGATGCACTTGGGGTTTTGTGGCTTTGGATACTGGTTTTGAATCTAAAATGGAAGCTGAGAAGCCTTTCTGAATTCCTAAAGCAGGGTCTGAACTGTCAAAACTGAGGGCACTTGGGCCTATCCGCCCTTCACTCCAAAATCCAGTTAGGAGCCCGACTGGGCTTTCTGACTGCATCTTGTGGATCTCTAGCCAGGCATGCCCCTGCGGATCCAGTGCTGGGAGGTGATCCCTGAGCAGTCCTCGATCCTGCTCTAAATCTGGCCCCAGTTGTGGGGAGGTTGTGCACTGGCTAAGCTTCACTTGAAGCTCGCTCCCCTTGGGCTACAGAGGGACTTAACTGCCTACGGCCACCTTGGCAGCTGCATACCAGAACCACATCTTTCCCCGCTGACGCCTGTGGAGAGAAAGGGCTCTTCCCCTGCCAAGCACAGGGTGCAGCCTTGTCTGCTCTGTACTCCTCTGATGCTACTGGATCGAGCAGCCACCCAAGGCGAGCCTTGGGTTTTGCTCTTTCTCCTGCTTTTGATGAGCATCGAAGGGAAAGAGGTTTCTGTTGAAGATCCCAGAAGGTTTTCTCTTGAAGATGATCTTGTAGGGCCACCCTTTGCAGATAGACTAAAAAAGACAAACCCTCACCCAGACCACTCGGCGTGTGTGTGTGTGTGTGCTCTGAACCCTGCTTTGGAAGCCTGCGCTCTGAAGCTGTGGCGCTGGGCACTGGGACAGTCGAAACGGTGCAATGCTCCCAGGGGCCCTGAGCCAAGCTGTTCCTTAAAGGGCTGGTCTCCATGGTCGCTCTTGTGAGGTTTTTGCAGGCCCTGCAGTGTCTACGGCACAATCCCATAGAACCTGGACACTAGACCCTCCAAAATCAGGTGCTTCTCTCCACAGAGCTCTTCCCTTACAGCATTTTGCAGCTGCACCGTGGCCTGTAGCAGTGTGGTACTGAGCGAGACCATCTCTTTAAGACTGACGGCATTCATGTTATAGCTGGCAGACTCTCCCTGGCTGGCTGAGCCCTAGCTTAACGCCGAATTTTGTTTGATTAAAATCAGTTCTTTCACAATCTCAGCCTGGAGTCTGGCTTCCCTCTCTCAGCAGCTACTTCTGAGCTCCAGGAGTGGAGCAACTGCAGACTCCCGGCCTCGGCAAACTTCTGCCAGGGATGTGTGCTGCCAGTGCTGCTGCCAGGCAGGCTAAACACACCTGGAGTTCACACTCAGAAGTACTAATCCTGCATGGCCATCATCTTACTCAGCGTATTGGACTAACTGTGACTGGAGAAAAGGCTTCCAAATAATTGTGGGGAAGGGAAGTCTCCCTGAGAGAAGCTTATCTCAGCATACTTGCATGCCTGTGGCTGACAAATGTGTTACATGACGTGCCCTGTGCTCGTTTTCCCTCGCACAGTGGGAAGCCTCTAACTGCTACTGGGAAGAGCAGGTGACTCCGAAGCTAGTAACTCCCTTCCCATGGGGCAGCTAAACTTGACGGAATCCTTGTTACATTGCAGGGCAGGAACATAAATTATTTCCTGTAAGCCATCAAATCAACCTGCCCGTTTCCTTTTCCACTGCTGCATGTGTGTTTGTGTGTGTGTGCAAATGTGTATATAAATATATATGTATATATATATATATATACATGCCAACTCTCTCCCAGCCAGCTGCCTTTCCATGCAAGAAGCACGTTGTACAGCTGCTGGGTATATGGAGAAGGGGTCTGGCACCACTAGGAGGGACGGAGCGGTGGGCCGTGGCTGTGTGCCAGGGATGCTCCAGAGAGGGGCTTTTGGAGTTTGCTCTGCTTCCCTCCCAAGCTCCCCACACGTCTGCTGTGCACCAGGACAAGCCGCGAGTCTCAGCTGATCCCAGGCATTTGGTCAAAGACCCCAAGGCCACCCACAGCTTTTTGGAGTCGAGGGTCTGTGAGGCTGTCCCAGCAGGCATCTCCTGGGCATCTGCTTCTCTTGCAACTCGGCCTAGGGAAGGAGCATCCAGGGATTTGTGCGTTCCCGAGTGCTGGAGCATGTGTGTGCTGGAAGCCGGAAAGGGCCTGCTGGGGAGGGGATGTGCTGCTGCGTGGGAGCTGACCCTTTCTCTGCTCTCTCCCCGCCTGCAGTGCTGGCGTGCGGCCGTCCCCAGGCCACGGCGGTGTACAAGGTGTCTGAATACGCCCGGAGGTTCGGCGTCCCCGTGATTGCAGACGGAGGGATCCAGACGGTTGGGCACATCGCCAAGGCCCTCGCGCTTGGGGCCTCCACAGGTGAGCAGCGCAGCGGGCGGCCGGGTCGCGCACGCTGTAGGGAGTCTCCTAGGAAGGGTTTCCATACGGGATCGGGTTCTGGATAGGAGGGCGTGGACCTGCAGGCGGCTGGGGGTCCGGGGGGTCCAGCACAGCGCTGTGCCCAGGGACCCTGAGGGTTATGTGGCTGCAGCCTTCCTGCTGCTGACATGCTGTTCTTGGTGATCTCTTGTGCTAGTGATGATGGGCTCTCTCCTGGCTGCCACCACGGAAGCCCCAGGCGAGTACTTCTTCTCGGATGGAATTAGGCTGAAGAAATACCGCGGCATGGGCTCACTAGATGCCATGGACAAGAACTTGGGCAGCCAGAACCGGTATTTTAGGTAAGAGATGGTGCTTTGGGAGGCACCAGATCAAGCCTTTGGGGCTTCTCTGGTTCACAAACGTCCTTGATTTGTGCTCCCGTGCAGTGAGACAGACAAAATCAAAGTGGCCCAGGGAGTCTCGGGCGCAGTGCAGGACAAGGGCTCTATCCACAAGTTCATTCCGTACCTGATTGCTGGGATCCAGCATTCCTGCCAGGACATTGGTGCCAAGAGCCTGACCCAAGTCCGGTGAGTGCTTCCCCTTGCTTGTGCTCTGGTTGGGGGATAGTGCTGCCGTTTCGGGTCCCTGGGCAGGCTGTACCCAACCTGCAGCACGTTCTGTGTGGTCTGACCTCACTGTAGCCCTCTTCCCTCACCTCCAGTGGGCACTGTGTCATAGGTGTGCCAGCCCCAGGGATGCAGCAGCATGGTCTCTTGTGGCATGTTCAGCTGGCTGGGCTCGAAACGTTGGCGTTACCTTACTCTGCCTGGCTCTTGGGAGCTCAGAAAAGACCATTCTGGCCCCAGCTGGGAGAACCAGTGTCCCTTATCCCAGCTGCTCCGGCTGAACGTGGGCCAGAGTAGTGTCTTCCCCGGACTCTGGCTGGCTTGTGACGGGTGTCCTTCCCCCTCAGAGCCATGATGTACTCGGGCGAGCTGAAGTTTGAGAAGAGGACGACATCTGCCCAGGTGGAAGGAGGGGTGCATGGCCTCCACTCGTAAGTGCTCCTGGCAGGACCCCTGTCTCCCCGGGGTGGGCCTCGGGGGGGAGTTAAGCACACACAGCCATCCTGTGCCTCGGCTGCTGTGCCGCTGGCTTGGCACGCTGCGGGCTTCACCTGCCACAGTGCAGCTGGGCTGAGCCACGGCCTGGGCCAGCACTCCTCTCGCAGCAGGGCAGGAGCAGACGAGCTGCTGGCTGCCCGTGTGCCGGCAGCTGTTCCTAACTGCACCTCCGGGCCCTGCCCTGGGCGAGGCGGGTCAGTCAAAGCACCCTCTGGTTTGCTGCTCCCCTCGCAGGTATGAGAAGCGCCTCTTCTGAAGGAGGTCCGTCTGTGTCTGTCATCGTGCCACTTAGCCCTGCGCCACCCCGTGCGGGAGCTGCTCTTGCTGCAGACGTGCCATTGCTCTGTGGGCTGCGTGGAGCTCCCTGTGTCCCTTGGCTGCTTCATCACCACGCGGAGGGCCCACTTGCCCCCCCCCCCCGGAGTAGTGATCCTGGGCTGGTGGGTGGAGCCTTGCACGTGTTGGCCGTGTTTTACAATAAAAGAGGAAAATACGTGCAATGGGTGTCAGCCCGGAGTCCCTCTTCCTTCTGTACTGCCCTTGTTCGCCTTCCTTGGCTCTCTCCTTCACTTCCTGCACCCTGTCAGGAACAGCTCATGGCCCCAGACGCTGTGTGTGCTGGAATGGAAAGCCCTGAGACCGGGCTGAGCGGATAATGCAGTTTGGGGCGTTTAAAACAACCTTAGTGAGAGCAGAAGACAAGTGGCTGCTGGGCAAGAAAGCAAACGCATTTTACAGGGCTGCTGGCTACTGCTGGCAGCTGCCAAATCCTGCAGCAGCAGCCGGGCTGCTGCAGGACCCTGTGCCCTGTCCAGCTGCTCCAAGGATGAGCAGGTAGGTGTTTGTATGCATGTGCACACACACCCCTGGAAATGCTTGGTGCTGCCTCTGCTTACGTGCACCAGGCCCTAGGAACTGTATTTTTCCATGCTTGGTCCTCACCCATCCCTTCTTCCCTTCCCCCAAACCTCCCACACTGTCCCTGCAGCCCCCAGCCCCATGGGGGCAGGGCAGGACAGGTCACTTGCTCAGGCTTCATGTCAGGTTTGTTTGCCAGAAGGTGTGTGGACATTGAACTTGGAAGGGCACAGGCTTACAAAGGAGCTGGTGTTTGCGTTTGCACACCTGACCCGTGCAAGCCTCCATGGCTTGGCTGAGTTACCTCTGCTTGCAACACCAGGTGACAGAGGTACTTTACACCTTGATCAGTTGTGTATGTCCCCCCATCACATGCAAACATCAACTCCTGCCGAAGAGCACGTGTTTACCATCAGCATTTTGTGTCTCTAATTTTGCTGACTAGAAAAGAAAAATACCACTCCCCAGCACAGTGATGTCAAATTAGATTTACACATGCTAAAACCAGAGCCTTGAATTACAACAAAATCGTGTCAGTGTCAAACATTCATTAATACAGCTCACTCATAAAGCAAAGCTACCCCAGAGCCTGACTCCGGGCTGGGGACTGCAGCCACATCCCCCCCGCCGTCCTTGGGCCCACAGAGGTGGCAGGGTTTGGGGCACAAGCCTGCAATTAGGTACGTGTAACCCCTACCCCAGCCCCAGGGTGGCATCTGTGACCACAAGTGGGTGCAAGGTGGGGACAGGCCGCTGACCCTCTCCCTGTCCCCTGCTTTTGCTGAGCCTGCAGGGAGACGTGGCGCAGCATGAGGGACACAAAACCCTGCAGGAGAGCAGGAGCAGGCCAGTGCCAGCTGGGACACACCAGTTGCTGGTGCCAGCTGTGCCCAGGGAGCTGCTGGCAGGTGTCATCATTGGCGCGTTGCAGCCTCGCTCTGCTGCGCATTAACCACCACGCAGTTGCTTTGTGCTTCCAATCTATGTGTATTTTCCTTGTGGAGCCCCAAACGTGCCTGGAGGGGATGTACAGCTCACCCCAGCAGCCTCCGCCCTGCCTCAGGGCGACAGCTTCTTGCTGCTGAGGCACCAGGCACCACCTTGGCAGGGCTGTGGGTGCGGTGCTGCCAGCAACGCTCCTGCCTTGGGCCGTGCCCCGCAGCCCCCAGCCTGGGCCAGGCAAAGGAGGCTGAGAAGCCAGAGGGACTTCAGGGCAGAGCCGAGCCTACGTGTTTCACAACACCCTCCTGTGTGTGCAGCGCCACCATCCAGCCAGCAGCTTCGACAGTTTAGTCCAAAGCGTTTCTCCAGCAGGAGCAGTGACGCTCTGGGGGTTCAGGCAGGCAAGGGAAGAGCTGCTCGGCCCGTGGCCATGGCAGGCAGCACTTACAACGCCCTGTAGGTGCCCTGCGGAGGGATGAGCCCAGCAGCTACCATGCGCTTTTCACTCGTCAGGAAGTTGAAGGTTGCACATGCATTTGGCTGTGAAATAGAAGAGGGAGGGAGTGATGCCCCAGCCCTCAGGCAGGAGACCAGCCCTTCCTCATGGGGCACACAACCGCCTGAGCCCCGGGGAGGGGGGGCCACTCCCCATGGCCACCACCCTCCCCTTTGCTGGGGTGCTGCCTCTGCACACCCCTCCTTACCGTGTCCTGCACCTCCACAGCGATCCTGCACTCCTGCATCTGCTTCAGCAAGGTGGGGTGGAGCCGCTCCACCCTGTCTCCCGTGCCCAGCACCAGGATCTCTGCAACCAGGACACGACCACAGGCAAGGCTGGGCAGGGCCGCACTCAGCCCAGACTTGCACGGACCAACAGCTCCCCCCCAGCCGCCCCAAATGAGGGGGAAGCCTGTCCTGCTGTGCCCCTCCTGCCCCGCTGCACCCTTCCAGGGCAGAAGGATGCCAGGAAGCAACTCTTTCCCCCAAAACGCTGGGGCAGAGCTGAGTGCTGGCAGCCTGGCACAGCTCAGGAGCCAGCTGGGGCAGGCTGAGCCAGCGTAGGGCCCACGTACCTATGTGGGGCTCCAGCAGCCGGAACAGCGACAGACTCTCGTGCGAGATGTCCCTGTAGGAGCCAACCTGCGGGGACACCGAGGGCACTGAGCGGGGCCCACGGTGTGGGAATGGCCGAGCCCCTGCCCCACGGCCCGACACTCACGTTCCACTGGAGGATGGCGCGGGGCAGGATGGCGCAGGGCCCCACCACCACGTCCCCGTTGATGGTGAAGCCGCGGCTGGTGTAGCCCTGGATGAACATGGTGTTGGGGGACTCCGGCTCCAGCACGGTCACCCGTGTCCGCTGGTACAGCTCATCGTCTGCCGGTATGAGGCGGTGAGCCCGGCACGGAACCCTGCAGAGACGGGGAACGCCTTCAGCGCGCGGGACCCACAGGCAGCCCCCACAGAAAACCCCACGGACAGCCCCACGCGCTGCCCACAGCTACCGCCCACCCCCCCCCCCACGGCCACCGCGTCTGGAACCCCACACCCATCTCTCCCCGCCCGGCCCCAGGGTGACAGCCGGTGACACCGTGACCGTGACCGTGACCGTACCCTCCCGCCGCCCGCCGCGCCGCCGGGCCCAGCAGCCGCAGCGCCGCCACCGCCATGGCCGCCGGAAGTGCAGAGCGGCCGACGCCTAGTCCTCCCGCCCCGCCCCTCCCCGCTTGCGCCCCCTGGCGGCCGCCGCCGGGGCCGCAGGCCCGTGCTGGGACAGCGGCAGCGGGGGCGGGAGCGGGGCCGGGCCCCCCCCCCACCGGGGGTCCTGCCGGGGGGGCAGCGGGGAGGGACACACACACACACACACACACACACACACACTGACACACACCCACCCCCGGGGCCCGGGCCCGCCCCGTTCTGGTGTGCCCGGGGCGGGCTGCGGCCGTCGCCGGAGCGAAACCGAAAGCGGCGGCGGGGCGGGGAGCGGCACGGCGGGGCGCCGGGGGCACCGCTGCCCTGACCCTGCCTCGGCGGCGAGGAAGGTGGTGTTGGGGGGGGGGGTGGGTGGGAGGGGAGGGAAAGGGGGGGGTGAGTGCCCCGCCGGGAGGGTCGCGGACCGGCCCGGGCTGCTGCGCCGGAGGCTGCGGGGCCGGAGGTGAGAGAGGAGCGGGCGGCTCCCGGTCCCGGGGTCCCGTTACCCCGCGGGCTGCCGGGGCCGGGCGGCGGGAGGGAGCGGGACCGGGGCTCGGCTGCGCTCCCGTCCTGCAGCCTGGCCCCGCCGGTGCCCCGGGCTCGGCACGGCTCCCACTCGGCCTCCCCAGCACGGCTCTGCCCCGGTGCTGCACCCCGGTACGGCGTGCCCAGCTGTGGGGCGGCTGCTGCCGACCCCCCCCCCCCACACACACACACCCCCCGAGTTCCCTGCCCCGAGCACCGCAGGCTGCCGCGTTCCTCTCCGTGCCGGGTTCCTCTCGGTGCCACGCGTGGCGGGGCTGGTGGAAGGGGACCGGGGACTCAGAGGGGTGCCCAGGGGGCTGGGGACCCACGTCCCCGACCCCGTGCCACCCACCCAGCCCCACCACCGCGGGGAAGCTCCCGGGCATCGGTGACAGGAGCTTTCCCGCCGCTCCGTGCCGGGGTTGGGGAGGCATCCGGAACCCCCCAGCACCCCACAAGACGGGCACCCTTGATCGACGGCGGGGCCCTGGGGGGGGGGGCGAGCACAGTGTGGAGCTGGCGGGGTTCCCCGCACGGTTTCACTTCCCTCCCCGCCTTCCACGCCGGGTGCCCGCGGGCCTCCTGCCCGGGGGGGGCAGAGGCCTGGAGGCGCTGGCAGCAGCAGGAGCTGTGGCCGTGCCGCCGCCGGGCGCAGGTGCCGGGGCGGGTGCCCTCCCTCAGGGACGGCTCAGGTTTCTGGGCCCCACCGGGGGACTGCTGGGCTGGCACCAGATGCTCCAACCCCACCGGGGCTTTGTTCGGAGCCGTTTCCTTTTGGCTCAGCCGCGCCGCCCTCCCCTTGGCACCAGGCCCGCGGCGCAGGGGGAGCCCACGGCACAACCCCAGCCTCCGCCGGCACCCCCACCCACAACCAGCCTGGCTGCGGCTCCCACACAGCTCCTCCACCCCGGTCCCTGGTGGTAAGTCGCCCTCTTCCCCCCCCCCCCCCCGGCCCCCGCCTTGACCTCCTGGCTGCCCCAGGATTGGGGTGGGGGGGGGGTGGCGTGGCAGTGGCCCCCGTGCCCGTCCCTCCGCGGCGCCAGCGCGGGCAACGGAATCCCAAAAGCAGCTGTCCCCACTGCGCCCAGCTGCCCTGGGGTTTCGTTACCCGCGCTCCCGCCCCTGCCTCGCCCCATGCGCCCCCCACTCTGCTGCCCGCCGCTGCCCCATGCCAAGCCGCCGGGCAAGAGCTGATCGTCCCACTCTAATCCTCCCGTGGGGCCAGGTGTAGGGGCCACACTGGGAGAAGGGGGAGGGTGTCGGGATGGGTGCCCAGCCTCACGGCTCAGCCCCCACCCCCCCCCCCCCCCCACCGGGGCTGGGGGCTCTCTGGCAGTCTCATGCCCCCCTGACTAAAAATAGCAGCTTGCTTCCTGGAGACTAACCGCCGGGGCGAGCGTGCTGAGTGGTGGTGGCCACAGCGTGGATGTGGCCACCTACGCCAGAGCTGCACAGGTCATGAGATGCTCTGTGAGTTTCCTGCCTCTCCCAGCCCTTCTCGGGGGCTCCCTGGCCCCCCCCTGCAGCCCCCAGCAGGGGCGAGCGGTGCCCGGGCAGGATCCGTGTCCCCTGGAGAGAGACGGCTTTGCAATGACACGATCACTCCCGCTGAGCGGGCAGCCAGAGAGCCATCGGGGATGTCGTGTCTGTCCAAAGCTCTTTCGGCACCTTCGAGAGACCCCCTCCTGCCCCGCCACGAGCCACCACGCTGCCAGGCCTCACGTGGGCTGCCTGTGGGGACCCCCAGCACTCTGGGGATGGGGACGGATCCAGCCTGGACCCTGCCGTGAGCGGTGACACGAGGTCTGAGTGTGCTCCCACCCAACCCACGCGGGTGCGTGTGTCCCTCCCCAGCCAGCTGGGCAGGGGTCCCGGGCGGCTCCTGCCCTGCGGACAGTCAGTAGTTGGTCTGGTGTGAGCAGCGATTCTCAGATCACCTCTTGGCTGTGGGTGGTGCAGGGAGTACCCCACCACGACATGGCCCCGCGCTGCTGGGGGGACACACACAGACACACACACAGCCACCCCCCCCCCCACCCCACCTGAAGCTAAGTGTCCCCACTCCTGTGGGTTCACGCTTGGCTGTGTGCTACAGCCCTGGGGCTTCAGGGCTGCCCGTGGAGCCCCGAAATGGGTTGCTGCGTTCCCAGCAGAGCCCACGCAATGGGCTGTGCTGCCAGGATCTGCCCCTGCCCTGCTTCCCCCCCCCTCACTGCCTCAAACACAAGCCCTGGAGGAACCGGTTTGGGCCCTGTGGGCAGAGCTCCCCCCCCATCTTCCCCCCCCCCCCCCCCCCCCCCTCCGGCTTTTGGGGAGGGCAGGAAGGGAAGGGCAGGGAGGGAGGTCCCCAGCTCCCTGGGGACACTGCCCTGCTGCTGCAGCAGGGGCTTCTCGGATACCCGCTCCCCATCGAGCGGGTCCGGTGGCGCGGGGCTGGGGGCAGGTCCTGTCCCAAGATCAGACCTGGCTTCAGTGGCAGCCCCGGAGGGGGGGCAATAGCCCCCACTGCCTGCCTGTGGTGGTCAGGGTGTGGGCCCTCCACTCTTTCATATCTGCACTGAAGATGCTGCCGCTGTGGAGGAGCTCGGCTCTGCAGATGTAATCACGACCACAATGGCACGATCTAATCATTTCCACCTCCTTCCTCATGGGGCTGATGAGCAGGACACTTTGCTAACGTTCTGGGCGGGAGTGCAGCTCCTCGCCCCTGTCCTTCCCACCGGGGGCCAGTGGAGCAGCTGGAGCGGCCAGAACAGGGGCAGCGAGCAGGCTCGGAGGAGGGCACGGCCGGGCATGCACCCATAGCGGCTCACTGCCCTTCTCGGCGCAGAGCCCAGCCGTGGCGGCAAACCGTGCCTTGCAAATGCTGCTGGAGCTCCTCGACCCCCTTGTCACAGCCTCAGCCAAGCCCTGGGGGCCTTGAGGCTGAACTGGCAACCCAGTCACTCCGTGCCTGCCGCCAGGGTTGGCCTCACACCCATCCAAAACCACCCACTTGCCGCCAAACCCGCTCTCAGGCCGCCCGGGCCTAGCTAACCGCGGCGCTGCTGCTTCCGCTCGGTTGCCGGTGGTTTCAGTTCTGGGCCCCTCGGGTGCCTGGGGACAGGCAGGAGCAGCCCTGAGGGGGCTGGGGAGCAGTCTCCCCCAGCCCAGGGGTGTGAGGGGAGGCCCAGCAGCCTGTGCTGCAGGCCGTGCTGGGGAGGGGCTGTGTCGGGGGTTTTTACGGAGGAGGGCAGGGCCGGGGCGCACCCGCCGCGCTGGGCCCCGGCCCTCACCGCCCCCCCGGTACAGGCGCCAGGCACCGCGGTCCGCCACACCCATCATGGCGGCCGCCCGCCGCCCGCCACACCCATCATGGCGGCGCCACGCCCCCCCCCGTTACCCCCAAGATGGCCGCCCCGGAGCGCTACGCGCCGCGCCCAACATGGCGGCCGCCTGCCGCCTGCGAGCGTGGAGGGGGCGGGGCGAGCGGGCTTTAACGTCACTTCCAGCCGGAAGCGGCGGCCGGGCTCTCATGGAGACGGGCGGGGAGCGGCCAGCGGTGGCGGCGACGCTGCGGGCGCTGAACGGGGCGCTGGGGCGGCCGGCCGCGCTCTGGGTGAAGGAGAGCGGCGCCCGCAACCTGCGTCACCGGGATTTCCTGGCGCCGCGGGCCGCGCTCAGCGCCGCCTTCCCCGGGGGGCGGGTAGGCCGCGGCGGCGCGGGTGGGCCGGGGGCGGAGCCTGCGCGGAGGGGGCGGGGCGTACGCCGGGCCACGTGCGGGCGGCGGAGGGACTTCACGTCTCGCCTTCACACCCGGCAGGTGCCCGCTGACGTCGTGGCGGGCGTGACGTCATTGGGAGGCCCGGGGGTGCTGCCGGTGCGGGGCTGTCAGGAGACACCGGCGGGGCTGGCGCTGCAGCTGCGGCGCCCTGAAGCCTTCCGGTGCCTGCTGGGGATCCCCTCCGACCCGGCCCCCGCGGCGGGGGCACCGGCACCGGCACCGGGGGGGCAGGCGGTGCTGCACTGCCCGGCCCTGCGCCGCCCCGGCGCCCTGCGGCCCCGCCACCTCCGCCCCGTCCTGCTGGCTGACCACTTGGCCCGGCTGCTGCGTGCCCAGGGGTGAGTGCTGCGTCCCCCCCCCGGCCCTCCCGCCCCGGGCCCCGCCGTGCCAGCGCCTGCCTCTCCCTCTCTCGCAGGGTCGCCGTCCGCCTGGTCCCTGCCCTCACCGACGAGGGGAGATGGGAGGTCCTGCAGCAGCTCCGCGTCGAGTGGCCCTCCGCCTGCGGGGGCTCGGCACTCCCCGACGCCGTCCCAGCCTTGAAGCGAACGCTGGGCCGGTCCCCCTGCACTGCGGCCTGCGAGCGGGGGCCGGGCACAGCCTCGCTGCCCGAGGATGTCATCTGTCAAGTGCACTTGAAGAGCTTCGTGGAGCAGCAGGGCTTGGTGGGCTATGACCCCAATCTAGATGTCCTTCTCGGTGAGCCTCACGCGTACAGCGGCTCTAGCGTGACAGCAGGGTGGGGTGAGCAGCTGCGAACAGGCTTGTTCCCTTTTTTTTTTTCCAATTTACAGAAAATAAGAGGTTTTTAGCTCTAAATTGGCTTCTCTTATTCCTCTTCGGTCTGATTTGAGCCAGAAATGCAGACAGCTTTGGGTAGACCTGATGGTGCAGGATGGTGGTGGTGGTGGGGGGGGCAAACGCTTGTGTCCTGCTCTGAGTGTCCTTCCTTCTTTCAGTGACGGAGGGGAAGCTGCAGTCTGTGGCTGAGCTGCAGCAAGCCGTTCTGCAGTGCACGGTGAGTAACCCTGTGGTGCCGCCTGCCCCTCGCTTTCCAGATGTGGTTCCCTTCTGTCACGTGATGGCATCTGAACTCCCTGCTGCACTCTGCTGCAGGCTGGAGACCAGGGGAGCTGCTGCAGCATTGTGCATGTGGTAAGCTGCGAGGAGGAATTCCAACAGCAGCAGCTGGATCTGCTCTGGAGGATTTTGGATCCAGGAGCCCACACAGCTCTGCAGGTGAGGAACCTCTGACCCTCTACTCCACGGCCCCCAGCATCCCTATGCTCAGCCAGCCTCCTTCAATCCCCATGGTGAATTCTGAGGCCCAGCCTTGCCCCCTTGTGAGGCTTCCTCTTCCCGTGGTGGCCCCTCCACGCTCTTGCTCAGGCAGCGGAGCAGCCTCTCTGCCCTTGGGATTTCAGCCCTAAAGAAGGCTGCAGGGACACAGCTAGAACAAGGTTGGTTTTAGCCCCGCACTGCATTTTGGTGGAGCTTCTGAATCTTTGACCCCAGCCTCTCTTCTCTCTTCCAGAAACACCTTGTCTGTGGGCCAGTGAAGGTGACAAATCCCTCGTCGGACATCGGGGCAGACCAGTACTTCCAGTAAGTTGGTGTGTAGCAAGGTGCCCGTTGTGCTTCTTGCCTGCCAAGGCTCCCTGTGCTCTGCCTGGCCCCGTGGGCACCCAGGCAGCCACACTGCAGCGCTGAGCGAGCTGGTGGAGCACGGAGAGTTCCATGCAGTCCCTCCATTCTGCTTTTCTGTGGGCTCAGGGCTGTTTAGAAAGGACTGGAGGTGCAGAACAGAAGCCACAGGGCCCTTCTCCAGCAGTGCTGCTTCTGGCCCTCTTAGTGCTGCGAGGGGGCTGCCGGGAGGAAAGGCAGCGGCTGGAGCTGGGTGGTGCAGGGTGGCATCATCCTGCTGTCACGCATTAGTGGGTGGCCCTGGCAGAGGGTGGGCCCTTCCTCAGCTGAAAAGCAGAGAGCTTGTGCCTGGCGCAGCGGCTTCCTCGTGGCAGCGGCACAAGGGGCTGGCTGCGGTGTGGCTGCCCCTGCCCCGGCTGCTGGTGGGTCTGTAACTGCTTTTGCTTGGCTGGGTCATTGCTGCAGCTGGGATACCCCGAGCAGCCCAAAGGCTGGGGGAGCCCTGGGGCATTCTCTGGGGCCAGCTCAGCCCAGGGGTGGTGGCTGTGAGTGTCTCTGTTCCTCCCAGGCTCCGAAAGCGCCAGATGTACGAAGCCTCTGTGATGAAGTACGGGGAACTTGCACAGGGTGAGGGTTTGCTCTGCTGCTCCATGCACAGATACTGCTTCATTCCATCTCCGCTGCTTCCTCCCCCCTCACCTCTGAGTCTGCAGCCAGTGGGGCTCTCCCCTGCATGGTGCTCCCTCTCCCCCCATGATGGAGTCTGGGGGAAGGCATCTAAATTGCCACGCAGGGCACCGGCACAGAGCAGCACCTGCAGATGGGGGCCAGGCCTGGGGAAGTGTGGTGATCCCCAGCTCCCACTGAAGCCCCCCGGCTCCAGGGGGGGCTCCTGCCTGGGCACTGGGGAGGGTAACAGGACATGGGAACTGAACGAGCTGTATAGGATGCCACCTGCCTTCTCCACAGATGAGGCCTGGACTGAGGTGATTGATACCCTCACAGTGGCTGCCATCAGGTTTGAGATGCTGAGCACTGCTCACCGGAGTCAGGTAGGACAGCGGTTTGCGCAGAGCTGGCGCAGGCAAGCTGTGGGAATAGTGGCGCAGCTCTGTGCTGAGCAGCCCAGACTGTGACTTGCCCCTTCCCTCAGATCACCCTGGACCTGGAGGACAGCAGCATCTCCACGAAGGGAACTAAGAGTGGCGCCTTTGTGATGTACAACTGTGCCCGGCTGGCCACGCTTTTCGACACCTACCAGCGGGCTGTGGAGCGCGGTGAGCACCAGCCCCGCGACCTTCCTCTAACAGCCACTCCTGGGCTGTTCCTCACGCCTGGAGCCAGAGGGGCTTCTCCAGGCACAAGAAGTCTCCCACCTCCTTTCCAGGCACCTACCCACCTCTGCCACCAGTGTCGGAACTGAATTTCTCCTGCCTCCGGGAAGAGGCGAGTGCTGAGAAGGGGAACGCAGGGACCTGTGTGCTCCCAGCTCCAGTGATGGGTGCTGCTGGCCCAAGAGGATCCGGCCCTCTCCAACACACGTAATCCTTTCACAGGGTGAATGGCTCCTGTTCTTCAACTATCTCCTGCCCTTCCCTGAGATCCTGCAGCAGGCAGCGCAGCTGCCTGCACCCACCAAGGGGATCCGGATCACAGCCAACACAGAGACAGTAAGTGCCATGGGCTGTAGCACCCATGGGTGCTACTCCAACAGTCTTGGCCCAGGGCAAAGCTACGTGCCAGCAGGGTGCTGCCCACTGGTGAGCGACGCAGGGGCAGTGCTGCGGGAAGACTGCAACCCCCCTGGGGCTGCTCTGGCTCTGCTTGGGGTGGGGAAGGGCCCAATACTGGCCAGACCACGCTGTGCCAGCATAAACTCTGCGTCTTGCAGGTGTGCAAGTTCCTGATCCAGCTCAGCATGGACTTCAGCTCCTACTACAACCGTGTCCACATCCTGGGGGTGAGTCAGATGTCCCGGGCCTGTAGGCTTCTAGCCCTGGGGCAGCTGTGGGGAAGGGGCTCTGGGGTACCAGCAGAGTGATGAAGCCCCACACCAGCCCCTCAGGGATGTGTACACAGGGTGCACAGGCAGTAGGGTCTCGAGGGCCAGCCTGTTGAGGGGCAATATGGTAACCCAAGCCGCTGCCTTTCTCCCCACAGGAGCCGTTCCCTCACCTTTTTGACCAGATGTTTGCCCGCCTCCGGTTGCTGGGAGCAGTGAGGGATGTGTTCCACAGTGCACTGGCTACCCTGCACCTCCCTCCTCTCAGCCAGATCTGAGCTACCACCGAAGAGCTGTGCCACGGTGTGACAGACACGGGGACAACACGCCACGAGGGGAAGGACAGGGCACGTCCTCCCTGGCAGGGCGAAGGGCTGCCCCACCGTCAGGCAGGGAGCCAGGGCATGCCTCAGCCCCATGCAGGTGCTTCCCCTCCCACTGCCCGCACGGTTTGAGGGTTTGGCCACGTGCGCCCAGCGTGGGAGATGGATGTGGCTGCCCAATCCACACCAGCAGAAGGGAAGAGGCCTGTGGCACCTTGCAAGTTGGGCTGGAGAGTACCAGGGGAGGCAGCACCAGGGACCAGTCACCACAAAGCCAAGCCCTGACTTTGTTTCCCTCAAAACTGTTTATTTAAGGCCGCTCCATGCTGGCAGGGAGCTCCTGAGGCTCGAGGCTCCTGTTGGGCCCTGGGCCAGGCCCCAGTACTGGGGTCCAATACACTTGTTGCTGGACAAATGCTGTGTGTGTCTGATGCCAACAGAGCACCTTGCCCCCCAGGCAGCTGTTTCTCCTTCCCTGTGCCCCACCTGGGCTGGGTCCTGCTGCTGCACAGGAAAAACTGACTCGGCTCGAGGCAGCGCTGAAGGGCTGCTCTGAGACAGGGGGGCCAGGCCCAGGGCTGCCACAGCACAGGTGCTACTGATGAGAAGTGTCCCCAGCACTGCAGGGTCAGGGCTGTCACACAGGGCCCTGTCCCAGGGACCAGGAGGCTGGAGCCTGCTACCTGCTCCCAGGGCCTAGCACGGTGGCTCAGCACCCTCCCGAGCAGATTCCTATGGGACCAAGGCTGGAAAGCCCAAACACAGGTCCCTCACACCTCAGGAAGGAGGGACATCTCCTGGGCAGGGTGGGCTGACAAACCCACTTCTTTACTGCCTGGGGAGCCACAGGCTTGTCCAGGAGGGGTCATACCTGCCTTCTCCCCAAGACCACCAGCCTTGAGCATCCCAGAGGTGGCTGTGCTGTCCCCGAAGGAGCCGAGCACGCCCATCCCCTCACATCAGCACACAGGCTGGGACAGGAGCTGCAAGCGCTGGGCAGAGCACAAGCGCAGGGTGCTGTCTGCAGGCAGGTGGGGGGTGGTGCGTGCCGCACGCCTGCCCCGTTACTGGGGAGCCTCCGGCGGAGGGGGCTCGGGGGGGGCCGTGCCTTGCAGCATCTCCAGGCCCTGCCCGCAGAGCACGCAGTAGTACCGCAGCTCCCCGCCAGCCTCCGCCACCTCCCAGCAGTCCAGCTCGGCCAGGTCGGGCACGTGGAAGAAGGTGGTGCTGAGCACCCCCAGCCCGTCCAGCCCCCGGCGCCACAGCGTCAGGCGCTGATCCACCGAGGCGGAGAGCAGCAGGTCCGGGCGCAGCACCCGGATCCCCGTTACGTGGGCGGCATGGGCGCAGGGCCTGGCCGCTCGCTCCAGGACGTGCAGGCGGGTCCCTGCTGCGGCCTCGCCACCACCCAGGGCCACCTCCAGCAGGCAGACGTGGATGGAGCCGTCGTCGCTGCCGCTGGCCACCAGGTACTGTCCCTCCGGGGTCTGGCGGACGTGGAGGCTGTTCACGCCGCAGCTGTGGGCCGTGACGGTGAGCAGCGGGGCGCCCAGGTCTGGGAAAACAGGCTGTCAGGAGAGCGATGCTCACCTTGGTCGGAGGGAGCAGAGGGATCACCAGCACGGTCTCCCTCGGGAGGCAGAGCGGAGCTGCTGGTGGCTGCACCCACCCAGGGGCTGCATCTCCCCCTCCGCTCGGTGCAGGGCATCCACCGCGTCCGCGATGGGGCTGGTGATGTCCCAGAAGGCGAGGCTGCCGTCGGTGGCTGCGCTGCACAGGAGGTGCCTCCTAAAAGGGAGGTGTTGGGGAACCCTCCGGCTGCAGCGGGCAGTCCCGAGGGTCCCCATCGAGACCCAGGGAAGTGGCAGAACAGCTCCCACAGACCGATTTCTCCCTTCCCTCTGCCTGCCGAGCTGCCAGCTGCCATCCCTGCGAGGATGAACGCTTCTCCCCAGAGCCCCATCGGTTGCAGCACAGCGTTCAGGACTCACCTCACCCCGCCTGCCCGCGTGTGCAGGAACGCCTCCACCTTCAGCACACAGCGCTGGTGGTGGAATGACTCCGCCACCAGCACCAGCTTCCGGGTGGCCTCCAGCAGCCCAAAGACCCTGTGATGGAGCAGAAGGCAGTCGGCCGTGGGAGAAGGGGGCTCCTGGCACCTCTGTCCCCATATCCCACCATGCACCGTCCTGTTCTGGGCTCAGAGCCAGCCACATCCACAGCAGCAGCCTCCCCTGCAGAGCCTGCTCGACTCCCGTTGCCAGCCCCAGCTCCGTTCTTCCGGCCAGGCCCCGCGACGGCTCCTCACCGGACTGATCCATCGCTGCAGGCGGCAGCCAGGAACTTCCAGGGCATCGGTAGCTGCTCACTACTGGTCTCGGGCACGACTGAGAGGGACATGTACCTGCAGCAAACACATGATGCTCACCAACACCTCGGTGACCTGTGGCCCTGGAAAGGCAGGTGGCCCAGCAGAGCTGCCAGAGCCCAGCGTGGGACACAGCTCCGAGCACTCAGAAGAGGCGAGAGGAAAGTCTGAGCTTTTCTCTAACCCCAAAAGCCCCTTGAGGCCCAGCCACTGGGCACCAGGGACATGCCTAAAGTGACATTGGTTCCTTCCGGCTTGGCTGAGCCCACAGCCACACAAAGCGGGTATCCCAGCACAGTTCCCAGCGCCCTCCCAGATAGCAGTCACCTCTAACTGTGCGTCAGGCGGTCCTCGAGCATTACCTCGTCTCCGGGTCCATCTTGACAAGCTTGTGCCTGTTCTTCTTCCGCTCCCACTGCTCATCCAGCCGGTGGGAAGCCACGTGGATGACCTGGCAGGCCACCCTGCTCTCAGAGGCTGGGTCCCCAGCACACAGCAGCCGGTAGCACTCGATCTGCGCGCGGCCGCCCGCAGAGAAGAGCAGGGCTGACAAACCCTCATCACCAAAGTCCTTATCACCAGGTCCCGTGGGGCCGGACAGCGCCAGCGCCCTCACGCTGGAAATGTGGTCACTGAGGTGGGCGAGGGGCACGGCTGCCCGGGAGTGCTCGCTGAGCGCCAGGACGCAGGCCGTGGTGTCCTCACTGCCGGTGATGAAGATGTTAAGGGCGGCACGGCCAGGCACCTCCACGGCCCCCAGGCGCCGCACGCAGACAATCTCCCGCCCATGCAGAGACGCCAGGAGCACCTTCTGCTCGCAGGGCTCGGCCTCGCAGCAGTACAGCATCACGTCCCCACACTTGATGAAGGCGAAGGCCTCGGCCGAGGGGCTGCTGCAGTAGCTCCAGGAGCGGTGCCCCCCGCCGCAGGGGACGCAGTGGAGGTTCTCGCCGTTCCTGCTGCTCCACACCACGAAGTTGTCGGCATGAAAGCCCAGCACGAGCAGGTCCCCATCTGGGGTGAAGCGCAGCTCCTCGATCCACTGCAGCCCTTTGCAGGGCCGGTGCTTCCGCAGGACCTCCAGCTGCCGGCCCTGCAGGCGGAGCTGGCGGTAGACACCGTCCCGGCCGGTGCTGTAAATGTAGCCCTTGTGGCAAGTCACTGAGGTAACCCCCATCTTCCCGTGGAGCCCAAAGAGCACAGAGAGCGGGGCCTCGACGGGAAGAGCCCCTTTGTGCAGCAAGCAAGAGGGCTCTGACTCGCCACCGGAGTCCTCGCCACCTGCGTGGGTGCCGCCATCGGCAACGCCGGTGCTTTCCGCAGCCCACCGCGAGGAGCTGCTGCAAGAGAAGAGGAGGAGGGAGCCCCGGCGGTCCCCGCAGACCAGGAGCCCGCCCTGGGGCAGGAAGGCTGCGCAGGTGTGCCAGCGCTGCTTGCAGGGCCGCAGCAGGTACCGTCCCATGAGCCGCGCCCGGGGCGCCCGCCCGGGGCGGTGGGTGACGTCCAGCCAGAGCATCTCCCCGTCGGGCCCAGAGGCCAGGAAGGCGGCGGAGTCGGGGGGCTGCTCGGGGTGGGGGGCCCAGCCCAGCCCCCGCACGGCCCCCTCGAACAGCCCCAGTTCGGTGCCGGCCCCGGGGCGACTCAGGGCGAAGAGGAGGAGGCGCCCGTCGCCCCCGGCCAGGGCGCAGAGGGTCTCCTCGTCGCCGCCGGGCAGCGGGGCGGCCGCCAGCACCCCGCGGGCCCCGCCGGCGGCGGGGGGCGGCAGCACCGGCCCCCAGCGCCCCGCCGCCACCCCGTAGGCCGCCAGCCCCCCCTCCTCGCTCAGCGCCAGCACCCGCCGCGGCCCCGCCAGCAGCACGGCCCGCGGCCGCCCCGGGGCTCCCAGCGCCGCCGCCACCGGCACCGGCCGCCGGGGCCGCCACAGCCGGACGCCGCCGTCGTCGCCGCCCGTGGCGAGGCAGCCGCCGGCGGGACGCAGGGCCAGGGCGCGCAGGGCCCCGCGGTGCCCCCGCCGCGCCCGCCGCACGCCGCCGCCGCCATCCCACTCCAGGCAGGCGCCGTCCTCCCCGGCGCTGACCGGGTGCGGCCCCCGCAACGCCACGGCGGCCACCCGCGCCCCGTGCCCGTAGCACACCAGCAGGCAGGAGCCCTCGCCGTCCCCGTCCCCGCCGCCCAGCTCGCCCACGGCCCAGAGCCGCACGCTGCGGTCCTCGGAGGCGGAGGCGAGCAACCCCCGCGACGCCGCGTAGCAAAGCGCCAGCACCGCGCCCCGGTGTCCCCGCAGCCGCCGCCGCGGGGCCGCCGCCTCCGCCGCCCGCCACACCACCACGGTCCCCGCCGCCGTCCCGGCCGCCAGCGCCAGCCGCCCCCAGCCCGTCCCCGCCAGCGCGGCGCAGCGCAGCGCCCCGGCCCCGCCGCAGCTCGCCCGCCGCAGCCACCGCCCGCCGCCCCGCCACTCGTAGAGGCCCACGGCCCCGCCGCCCAGCGCCAGCGCCAGCCGCCCCCCCGCCGCCCACCGCGCCTCCCACACCCGCGCCCCCAGCTCCCGCGCCGCCCCGCACGCCGTTAACCGCGCCCCGCCGTCCCGCACCGCCAGCACCGCCAGCCAGCGGCCGCCGAACGCCGCCACCCGCACCGCCGCCCCGCCGCCGCCGCCGCCGCCGCCGCGGGGCTCGGCCCGCAGCCCCTGCACGCTGGCCTCACGCAGGACGCTCCGCCGCCCCGCCGGGCCGCCGCCGCCGCTCAGCCGGAACGCCGCCACCTCCGGGCCCGTGCCTGCGGGACACCGCGTCAGCCGCCGCCCGGCCCCGGCCCCGGCCCCGGCCCCGGCCCCGTCCCGCCGCTCACCCGCCAGCAGCACGTCCCCCGCGAACTCCAGCGCCGTTACCGGCGCCACCAGCGCCACCGACTCCATCTTGCCGCCCCCCCCCCCCCTCAGCCCTCACACGCGGAGGCTCCGCCCCTCTTTCCACGCTTTATTGATGCGCCACGCGGCCCCGCCCCCCCCGCACAGCGCGGGAAAAGGCCACGTGCGCGCGGCCAGACACCCGCCACCCCGCCAATCCCCCCCCCCCCAAAGCCCTACAGCTCTAGGTGCACCCCACTGTAGGCTTTATCCACAGTCCACTCGCCCGGGGCCCCGGCCCCCGCGTAACGCTCCATCTCCTGCTGGAACTGCAGCTGCCGCCGGCGGTTGGGATCCACGTTGATCCAGTTGTTGGCGATCCACTTGGTGCCTTGGGTGACCAGGCAGCCCCCGTGCAGGGCGAAGTCGTCCAGCTCCCCCACCCAGCCTGCGGAGCGAAGCGCTGTTAGGGGGTGGCGAGGAGCGCCGGCTGAGCCGGCTCAGGTTTTAGCTCAGATAACGTCGCACAGGAGCTGGCGCCTCCACCTTAGTGCTACCCCCCACCCTAGAACCTGCGAGGAGCTCACCAGGGCAGGCTCCCCCAGGGCTCAATGCTCGTTGCCTCCATGTCTCCACTCAGCACAAGGGGCTCTCGCATTTCTGCACCACAGCTGCTGTTTTTCTCAATTCTTCCCCAAAGGGGAGGCTGGCATGGAAGAACTGGGTGCTGCTGCTAGAAGGCCCATGGAAGTCAGAGGTTTGTGGCCATATTAGAGACTGCATTTCACCAGTTCTAAATGATCCTCTTTTACAGAGGTCCCACAGTTCTTCTGTGGCAGACCTGCATCAGCAGCCGCCTTCCATTTAGGAACAATTTGCTCATAAAAGCACAACAGGGCTCTTCTTACAGGAGGGTGATGATCTTGATATTATCCTCCAACAGCCCAAATGCTGGTCTTGTGACCTTCTCTGTGGATTTTCTAGAGATGGAAACATGGGCTGCTCCTAAGGGACCTGGGATGCTATATGCCTTCCTCCCACCACTGATCAAAATCTGCCATCAAAACACTCTGGAGTCATACTCACCAGCAGCCTGGAAGATTGATGTCAATCCCCCAGCCTGACTGTCAGGGAAAGCCATGCTGTGCTTCATGAGAAAAACAGCCCCAAGGACACATATCATCAGGCTGCGGCTGAGCTTTAAAGCGGGAGTCGGCCCCGAGCACAGCAGAGCCTTGCGCGGGGCAGCCCATGACTCCCTGTGCTGCAGAGCTGATGGCCATGCTTTTGTCTACCTCCCCTTCCCACCCCTTTGGGCAACACCACATCAGTGAAACATTTTGAATTGCAGACCAAGTTCCAGCAGGAGTTTCAGCTCTCACAGCAGGATGGAAGGCAGCTGGCGATGGCTAGTGCAGCCAAGGTCTTTGTTTGCTAGCTAGTCCCGTCCCCCAAAGACATCAGGAGCCACTGACCTACTGCCTGTAAACAAAGGCCTTTCAGAGTCAGGAAGCTCCTACCCAGCTGGTGACAAGTAGACTCTACAGTTCCCACTAGCAGGCAGCTACCACCCTTTGGCTCTCTTCTGAGCTCCCAGCCGCCGCAAGAAGACGGCTGTCACCTCCTGCAGTCCTAGCCCTCCCAAGAGCCGAGTCTTGAAATGAGCCCCTACCTTCTCCATCTGACAGGTAGTTGTACCAGAAGACAGCAGTGCCTTGCTGAGGTTTCACTCGTAAATTGCCCTTGTCGCAGTTTTTCCGAGTATCTCGCAGGTCAACATCGTTCTGGATCAAAGACTGGAAAGAAACCACAGAGAAGGTGTCGCAAACGGGGCTGGAATGAAGCGCACACACTGGGCCGCCTCTGCTGCCGGCCGTCATCCTGCCCTTTGCCTGAACACCCCACAAGGACAGCTCAAGGCTGACGCTGGGCAGGACAGGGCTTTCACAACCCACCCAGAGCAGCCAGTTTCGGTCCCCTGGAGCTCCATAACCTGTTTCTGAGCAGCCGCCTATTCCTCGACACATTGCCTGGCAGGACCACAACATACTTGCCATGACTCAGTCTGAGGAAAACTGCCCAGACAGAAGCGAGCGGGACCCATGTTATGGCAGCAAGGCCAAACAGACTGCCCCTCGCACCTCCGAGCAGGGAGAGCTGCAGCTGGCAAAGCCCTGCGCCTCGTCCCTTGGCCTCAGAGGAAAAAGACTGTAAGCAGAGCACAACTTCCCCGTGCTCTTGCTACGAAGGCTAACATCCACCAACCTCACGCACCGAATCCCTTCTGCAGCCACAGCAAATAACAACGTTCAAAGAGGAACTCAAAACCCCCAGGGGCAACCAGGTAGGCAAGATTCATTTACCATCTCTTCGTATGTCCTGTTGTCAGCTATAGGAAAGACTGTTTCGCCTCCCCCAGTCACATTGTTCAGGTAGAACAGCACTGTCACATACCTGCAAGACAGAGCGGCTGTCAGGGGACACAACTGGAACAGGAGAAGATGCACAGGGGCTGTCTGTAGCCTGCCCCTCCACCATACATACAGCAGTTCCTCCAAGACATCACAAGATACATGATTTACATCATCAGCTTTTCGACAAGGACAACAAAGAAAATCCCCACCCTCAACAGAGAGGGTGTTTCTAGCCTCTGGTAGGGTTGGCTCAGCAGTTCTGCAGAACCACTCTGCCCTCCTCGTGTGGATCCACAGGATTTGCCCACCTCCCCCGTCGAACCCTTTCATGCCAGCCATCTCCAGAGCTGGTTTGCGAGCCCACAACCTGAGCCCCGACTCCCACGCAAGGTGAGGCGAAACAGCTCTCTGCACCTCACCCCTAACGCGTTCCAGATTGTGCCAAGGCAGACCTTACCGGCAGGAGGTCTCGAAGGGAGCGCTTTCATTGGCGACCAGCTTCGTGTGGCTGCAGGCAGTCTCGGGGAAGACGGGGCCACTGTCCATGTGGGCATGGTAGTGCCCTCCTTGGTCGTACCGCACAACCTGGAGGGGCTCGCTGTGCTCCACAATCTCGGGGGGCAAGCGAGTCAGGCGCATTACCCTGGGGAAGAGGAGAGCAGAGCAGGTGAGGGAAAAGCACCACCACCCTGGTCAGCCACCACTCCCAAGCCACCAATAAATCCAGAGAAAGAAAACCCCCTTCCCCAACAGACCGGAGAGACGGATGGGCTGCAGCAAGCATGCCAAGAGATAACTAGGTCCTTACAGATCTGTTGGACCATCAGCATCAGCTCAGAAAGTCCTCGTCAAGGTTAATAAAAAAACCCAAAACCGAAGGGTGCATCTCCAGCAGGACTGCTCTCAGGAAGACTTTGCTTGCTCAGCAAGATCCCTTCTGTGTGTGTCCCTGGAGCCTTCATGTGCCATCTCCTCGCTTCTCTGGACTCCTGCACACCACCTACAGACCTCGGGGACAGTTAGCAAAGCACAGGGCTGCTGCTGAGAGTGAACGAGAGACTAGCTCTAGGAATATTCTTGTCACCTAACTCACCTTTCCCTGTTGCCTTTTCAGCAGCCTCCCCCCAGGGCAGAGGGGCAGTGGAAGTGATCAAGGAGCCCGGAGCCCTCCTGCTCTGGGATTTTTCCGCTGCTACATCTGAGATCGTCCCCAAGGTCTCCAGACCTGCCAAAGAACACTCAGAGCTCTGAGTATCCGGACCAGTGGAGCCCTCGGGGCAGGTGCAAGGGGAATGTGGCACCCAGGCAGGATGGCAAAGCCCCTCCAGGCACTGCATGGTCGAAGGGAGGACTAACAGCCTCCTTCAGTGTTATGTCTTCACGTCCTCGTAACAGTGGCCAGCTGAAGAGTGTAAAAGTAGAATGCCAATGCCTGTGTGCGCCGGCTAGCTGGCATGGAGAAGGTGGCAGCCACAGTCTGCTCTAATCAAGGCAATATGTGACCCCATTCTCCCGCTGGAATGCACTGAAGAAAAGGAGTGGCCAATAGCTGTTTTTGAGCCTCAGGACAGATCTTACCCACCCATGTTCTGGGTGAGGACTAGCACCGCAAGAACCAGAGAGTCTCCAGCCAGTTATCTGAAACTCACCACGGCTAAACGATTTGGCCTGTGTGCTGGGTTTCAACACTTCCCAGCACCAAATCTGAGATGAAGGGAAGGGCAAGACGTCCTCCCATCTGCCGGGAGCTGCCCTGCAATACGTATGCTTGGAGGATTAAACTAAGTCGGCTTACTTGAGGTGAAGTCGTGCTTGTTAAAAAGTCAGCTCTGAACAGCTAAGACAGATTTCAGTGAAATGCATGAGTAACTAAAGCAAATGACAGTAACTACTGGCACCTAGACAGCATTGGAAACAGGCAGTTTCTCCCAGTAAGCTCATTTACTAATTAGAATGAATTATTTAATATAATGCCAAGTCTTCTTGGTTTTATAGGGCTGTTCCCAAAAGTGAATGGAAATGCTGAAAGGTTTGATTTTTCTTTTTTCCTTTTTCACGGGACAATACAAATTCTTGTTCTAATGAAAACCTCCTCTCCCCATTTCATGTCTGCGTTCATTGCTCTTCATACTCCAAAGACTTTCACGCAATTAGGAAGTGTGAATATTAGCAAGTCTGCCACTGCCTCTCCCAGCACAGGTGGCCCTGGTGCCTACACAAACCCAACCGCCCCTCGGCTGCCCGGCCCTTACCTTTGCCGTATGGCTCTCATGACCTGGTGTGCCCCCTCGCCCTGGTACAGCCAGGTGTGCTGGCTGTTCCGCACCAAGTCACTCATCTTCACTTTCTGGCTTCCCATATATTTGTGGAAATCACGGATATTCAATTGTTTGAACTCCTCCAAACTGAGCACGCCTACGGGAAGAGAAGAAAAGCCGGCTGACTCTGGTGCAGGTAATAGTTCTTGGTGTCCTGTGCTTGGAGAAACCACCAGCTGAGGGCACTGCAGAAATTGCCTTCCTCAAACAAACCCCATTCAGGGTCCACCACTGTGCCCAGCATGGGCTGCACCCTGTACGCGCGGGCCCCAGCAATGCTCTCGCCTTCAGCAAAGGGCATAGAGCAACCTGCAAAAGTGAACTGTTAGCTGCTGTGCAGGGTCAGAACTGGGACAGGCAAAATACCATCCTGAACTTTAACAAGCTCCTAAAACACACACAGGCCAAACCATTAAGAGAGAGAAATAGCCACTACAGTTCTAACATGTGCAATGCTTCAGCTAAAAAGCCTGTGCCACCTGATGCCTTGGGGCTTGTTACTTTGATATTTAAACAGACACATTTAAGAGCAGAGTGGGACACTGTATTTTCTACAAGAACTTGCAAGGTAATTTAAAAAAGCCAAACCCAAAACAAGCAGTACATTCTTCTGCATTTGTGTAACTGCAAAACATGAGTGAGAAGTACAACAGACTATAATCTTGCGTAAGTAGAAATAACAGAAAAGTGAGGGGTAAAAAGTTGTTTCTACTAAAACAGGTATTTCTTGTTTGCACACAGCTGGACTCGGCAGGGAATGGACTTCTGCCTTTGTCAGCTTCAGAAAAATCCTTTCTGGAGAAGAAGGGAAGCCCTGCACTGAGGATCAGGTCCCTGGGACCAGAGCGTGCGGAGCGGTGCAGAGTGCTGCCCAGCAGCCAGCACGCATGGCGGGCTGCCTGTGGAGCTGGCTCGGGCAGAAACCCGGCGCAGCTGCGGTGCCAGCTCTGCTCCCCGGGCACCCTGCACCCTCCGGCAGCAGGAAGGACCAGTCACCAGGTGCCAGTGGTCGTGACCAAATTATCCACACCATTATTATTTCTAGTGTCTCCCTCTTCCCACATCCCTTTACTCCACGTGGTCTTGATGACTCAGTGCCACATCCAGGTTGTGACCTGGTCTCTTGGTGTCACGTACCAATCTAACAACAGAGGGAAGCAGCTCTCTGGAAGCAAGGTCCTGCCAAGAGCACCTTAACAGGACCTTTCATTTGTTAATGTCCGGAACAGTGGAAAAGCCACCGAGGACTCAGTCATACGCTGCTGTCCCTGCCAAGAATGTCACCAGTCTGGAGGAGTGGGGCATGGGGTGCCCTCTGGATACTTAGGCATTCACACATGTACTGCTTCAACTCTAAACCAGCTCCTCATGGGCAGCTCTCAATGCCAGGTCACTGGAAGAGAGCATGCAGAGCCTGTGTGTTCACTTAATTTGATTAGGAAATGGAGAGTTGCTTAATTGAGGCCGCTCTAATTAGAGCAGCAGAGGTTATAGAGTGCACGTCCGGACCAGCAGGAGCCCTTGGGAGACTGGAGCCAGGAGGGGCAGAAGTGGCCTCACAAAATACAGATTGCAGCCGCAGAGAGGGGAGTCAGCAACAAAGGTGACCTACAAGACCACCCTCACCTCCACTTATTCTGTGCTCCCCTGCCAGCGATGTGGGGCTCCCAGCCTGCTGCAGAAGTCTCCCTGAAAACAGAGGGGATGGAAGGTGTACCTTAACACCTGCAGCCCAGGTTAACAAGAGCTCTGTAGTCAGAGCCCCAGCAGCCTCTCAGACTACGGGAGCAGAAGCGCTCCCTGAATGTCCCGTTACAGCAGGGCACGAACCAGGGCAGGTCTAGCAGAGGAGAGCACATGCAGAGGTATGTTCTGGTCCTGCTTCTGCAAGATCCAAGCCCAGGCGGTGGAACTAGTCTGCTGCTAGACTGGTGATGAAGGAGCAGGAGTGCCGTGATGAGAATTTTACACCGATTTTGCTTTTCTGCAAAGGTCTCTAAAGCAGTGTTATTTTCCTTTGAAGAACACAGCTAGAGAAAGGTCTGGGCAGGGGACACGGCTCTTGCTCTGCCCCACATGGCCCTGCGAGGCAGCCAGCATGCTGGGGGCGAAGAGATTCCCATGGAGCTGCTCTTACCATTCCCGTCAGGATCAGCCTTGACTGCAGCGTACATCTCCCGGATGTTTTCGGGGGTCATCCACCTGCCGTTCCCAAGCCGGGTGTGGGTCAACACCTGAAATTTATAAATGAATCAGCACCGGGCAGTGGTTTCTTGTACTACTGAAACCTTGCAGATTCCCTGCTTGAGGCCTGGCGGGCTCTCCTCCGCAGCACATCGGCCAGCCAGGCGTCAGCACATCTCTGCAGAAAGAAGATTGCAGTGAGAATCATCTGGCAGCCACACACAGTGTGTGGCTGATGAGTGCTGTTATTTCCAGTTTAGGTCACGGCAAACGACTGCTGGGACTTGGTTAACCAGTCCTGAAGTAGAGGGGGCACAGCTCTTTCTCTTGAACGGAAAGTAAAGCAATTGATGATAAAAGTGAATGCTTTTACTTGTCCAAGATAAGGGATTGGAACAAAACGCTTCCTTTCCATGTGGACAGAGAGATGCAGTATTCTGGAGAGCTCTCAGCAGGCTCTGACTTTCAGAGAAAGGAGCCTTGTCCTGGGTTGTCACTGGCACAGTTCCCCATACTCCAAGACCCCTGCTGCCCACAGGACAGTACCCGCCCCAGCCCCACCTGAAACGGGAGCCTGGGGAGGGACATCCTTCAACTGCCAGCGCCTGCCCTGATGCACCCCTGCCATACAGTGCAAGGGTGCTGAAGAGCTGTGGACACGGTGCTCATTATCCTCCTCCAGGCTCATTAACAGGGATGGCTTTGTTGGTGTCCTGTCAATTAGCACAGTCAGCTCCCCACAGGCTGCACAAAGCAGTGCCCACGCTACAAACTCACTTCCCCGGGACACCCAGCAAAAGGAAGCCCACAGCACAGGGAACATTTTACCCAGCATATTTAAAACACGCATCCCCTGCCAAGGACTGCTGCTGCTTCCCAACAGCATGACAACTGCTCCATGCTTCCCCAGGAATTTCCATGCTGAAGGCCAGCACAGGACTTGAGACATAAAATTAAGCAAATACTGATTGGTATATGCTGAGGTCTGGCCTTACCAAAGCTCATGAGTAATCAGGAGACCATCTGAGGAGGGGACCTGCCAGAGGGTCCCCCAGCAAACTTCCCCCGGTCTGTCCCGCACTCTACCTCTTTGAGCTGCAGCTGCCCATCCTGATTGTGGTCCAGCAGATTGAAAATGTCCATCTGGCTGATTTCTATCATTTCCATGGCTTCCTCATAGTCATCCGTTGGTAGGATCTGGCTCTTCTGCAGCCCCTTCAGCTGTGCCAGATGGACAATGAGCTTGCACTCCTCCTCTGTCAGGAAGTCAGGAATTTCTGCAGCAAAAGTGTGAGCAGCAACAGACACTGAGGAACTGTTCCAGTGGGATCCCATACTAATGGCAGGCCACTCAGAAGAAAAAAAAAAAAAAAAATAGAGGTGGGGTGGAAATTTAGGAACTGCCTGAATTTGGGACATTGAAACACATCCCCCCATCTACCAGAAAGGCTCTCAAAGAGCATACACCACACACCTGAGCTGCTGGAGGCAGGTATTTTTACAGCATCAGTTCCCAAATGTTTGGATCCAGGGGTCAAGCCCTTAAACTCGCTCACAGATACCACAATGGACAAAGGAGTGAACAAACATGTGCATATCACTGCGTATTATCACTTCAAAGGTGACATGTGGATCACAGTCTGGGAACTGCTGCTCTAAAGGAAGGGAGGCCAAAAATCTTTATGGTGAGCAGTGGCGATGGCCATGGTTTCAGGCTTCCTTGCTCTCAGAGGGAGGGGACGACACTTTGCACAGAACCAAATGCCTTTCAGGAGCACCCGGCACAGTGCTCTACTATGAAACTCAAACAGCAAGGAGACAACTTCCAAACTTATTCCCACTCATTCCCTTGATCCCTCACTAAAAATGGTCTTCAAATGCAATATTAAAAGGGAAGATACTGCACATGGTGGATGCCACACTCCATACCCAGGTAGCATCCCAGTATCACCAGCTTTCCCTTGCAGCACGACACCAGCAGCAATCAGGTGATACCAGGATCCCAAACAAATTTTAATGCAGAGAAATCCACCGATGACTACAAGGCCAAGAGATTCCTATCTGCATGGTGCATGTGCTTGCAAAGTACTGGTGAGGTCCCGTTCCACAGCACAGTTACGCTGTGGCCCAGCAGGTTCAGAAGATCCTTCTAGCTGATGTCTGTCACTGCTACGGGGATCTTGTTACTAGCTGCTGAGACTTGAAGAGGGACAGAAAAACCACTGAAGCAGGACAGGTTTAAGTGCTCCTAGGCCCAAGGTCCTCCTCTCCAAATTGTAGCTCCCTAGAGCTCCTGCAGGTATGTGCCAAGGACACATTATATCTCAACTACAGCTGCAGCTCTCAAAGGGGGAAAAAAAAAAAAGTTAATTACTTCATGACCTTAAATCAACCCTATCAGCTCAAACTGTCAGTAAGCAGTTGGCTTCTTGCTGAGTACAGACCAGAACTAGCCCTGTAAAAAATGAGATGTTCCTGGGAAGCCCCAGAAACACAATGCAGCCAGCTGCATCCGTAACACCCTCTGAGGAAACAATTTCCGCCACAGGCAGCGCAGGGTCCCTGTGCCAGAGGATACTTCAGCACCCGAGCTTCCACTGACCGGTTTGAACCTCACGGCATGGCACTGAATGAACCATGTGCGCTGGCAAGCAACACCCCCAGTATTTCCAGTTCCCCAAACTGGGCTACAATAACGATGGATTCTGGAATCTTAATTACGTGCTGGAGGAAGGACAATCCTGCTCTTCAGTGGTAGTAATGGGATTTCGTAATGAAGTAAAAATTCTGTTAACTGTAAGGCATGCTCTGTCACACAGGTTGCAAGGTGAGGGGGTTTCCAGCTAAGCGCTGCCAATCCCGTCTGCAAACAACCTGGCTCCACAGCTGCAAATTAGTTCCTCTCTACTCTCAGCTCTCTGAAAGGTTAACTTCTGGCTGTGAGACCATCCTATCTCCCGCCCTGCTCAACAATAGATCCAGCTAAACAAATGCCTCCTAATTGACTTTGAGCAACACTTGATTGCTTTTACAAAAAACAAAAGGGAGGAAAACATTGGGGTTTATGAAATAATGACTAATCCTGGAGCAAGAGAAAGGGGATGGGTTGGAGCACTGGTGTCAAAGAGAGATTCAATCTTGGCTGAAAGAGCCCCAAGACACATGGGCCAAGTCATTCATCCCTCCCCAACTGCCCTCATTTCCACACCTGCTGATCTAAGCCAAACCCCTGCTAAAATCCAAACAATCGGGGCCGCTGGCAAACGAAAATTGGAGCATTGTCTTCCCCATGAGGGCTCTGAAAGGGCCGCACTTAATGAGGATGGATCGACAGAGAGGTGGCTGGTAGGCTATAAAAGGCGGCCCACAGTCGGGAGCAGCTCAGTCCGGGGTGTTCCCAGCCCTCTCCGAGCATGGTCACGGCCGGCCCCACGCACCCCTCCAGGTCGGGTGGCCCATGGCTGCTGGGTCTCCTGGCACGCCTGCTGCTCTGGGGCTCGCCAGGAGCCCGGGCAAGCTACCTGAGGAGATCCTCCAGCTGCACGCCCATTCCGCACCACATGGCCTTGTGCTACGATATTGGCTACTCCGAGATGAGGATTCCCAACCTGCTGGAGCACGAGACCATGCCAGAAGTGATCCAGCAGTCTTCCAGCTGGCTGCCCTTGCTGGCCAGGGAGTGCCACCCAGATGCTAGGATTTTCCTCTGCTCCCTCTTTGCACCAATCTGCTTGGACAGGTAAGATATTTTTACAAGTTATTTCAGCTGTAGCAAGTAACACTCCTCAAGAGTGAACTGCATTTGCCTCCCGAGAGAAAACACATACAATGTGATCAGTGCAGTGCCCAAGAAGCCATGCTGCCCCTCTCAGCGAGGGACAATTGGATTACCCAGCAGGGACCTTCTCTCCGAAAGCGAAACACAAGCATTCCATCTTGCAGGAGCAGAAACATTATGTTCCCTCCTCTGGATTTTTCCTGCTTTCCCACCCTAGGCACCGCTGCTGTCTCCCCCGGCCGCCCCCCTCACACACTACAGTGGTGTCACCTCCCGCCTTCCCTGCAGCCCCTCAACTCCCAGCTCCTGCCCCACATGTAAGGGGTTTCTCAGCCTGGCAGTGCCCAGCAGCAGAGAGAAATCCTCAGTTTTGAGGTGCAGCCATCAAAGTACAGAGCTGCTAAGGAAATTGGGTATCTAGTTAGGCACCTGTAAAGGTAAGCAGCCTTTGCACAACTAGAGGGGACCCCGGGGGTGGGGATGGGCTTCTGGCAGCAGCCTGTATCGAACACCTCAGCCCTCCTGTCCTCAGCAATTTGTTGCTTGCTTCCTGGGCATGTATGTTCAAAAGACATCAAAGATCCTAAAATAGTTCTGCTAGCACTAGAGTGTGCAACACAGCCCTGCACAGCGGCGGCGGGGTGCCAGGGCTCGCCCCTCAGCCTGCTGCCGGGAGGAACCCCGGGGTGCTGCAATCCCCATCCCCTCCCCAGGCTCATCTACCCCTGCCGCAGCCTGTGCGAAGCTGTCAAGAGAAGCTGCGCGCCCGTCATGGCTTGCTACGGCTACCCCTGGCCCGAAATCCTCAACTGCAACAAGTTTCCTGCAGATCATGAACTGTGCATCGCAGCAGTCTCCACGGATGAAAATTCCTCGAGCAGGAGAAGTAAGGTTCTTTTTTTCTCATTTGTTTTCCCACATGTAACACTGAAAACTCAAAAGGGTGGGCCTATGCCTTGTTTCTATTAGTAGTATTTATGGTTTTAAGCTATACTTTGAAAAAATAATTTATAAATTCTAGTTTTGTTCTCTCTGGGAACACCACCATGTCTAGAAAATTAGCGTAACGTTGACTGCAGCTTGTTCCCCCCTCTGTTGTATTCATTAGCTCCCTGGGTGCCATCAGACATGCAGGGTTTGGGGCAGGGGAAAGGAATCGTTGTAAAAGCCTAATGCCCAGGCACAGCATGAGAGCTTGTGGTGTGCAGGCTCCAGGCAGTGAGATGTGCTTCCAGTGGAGTTGGAGCCCTGATCTTTCAGCTGTGTCCAGGGTTTAAAAACATGCAAAAAGAAATGTTTTGCAAGCCTTCTCTTTAAACATTAGGAAACACCACAAAGGGGCATGAGCCTCTGCAGACATGAGTTACATGAGAAAAAAAATCTTCAGGATGGAAAGACTAAATTAAACAGCCAGATACTGATGAACACTGAGGGAGATTCAAGAGCAGCTAAGAGAACAGATGCTTCATTTCAGCATCGCTGGATGGAGTCTGGCCATACCAATGGCTTTACTGCTTCATCCAAACTAGGAGATCTTCATTAAGCATTTTCACTGCTGCTTTATCATGCAGCAACACACACAAGTCTAAACAAAGCACGACAAGCAGCGTCTGCCCCAGCCACAGAAAGGAGAGCCTAACATTTCTCACCCTGGCAGTCTGAGCTGTCTCTCCAGGGACTGCGTAGCTCGGGAGGAAGCACCACTCAGAAGCAGCAAGCCACCACTTGCAGATCTCAACATTTCATTACGCCTTTTCCAGTGAAGCTTGACAAGGGTGCTATAACCAAATTTCTGTTGCAGCAGTGCCTCGAGCCAGCTGCAAGGACTGCGAGCTTGAGGAGGCCAGCACTGCCAGGGACATCCTGGAAAACCTCTGCGCCAATGATTTTGGTGAGTACCTTCCCTCTCCCTTCTGTTGCTGCCATTCCCTTCAGCAGCCAAGCAGCGGCCTGGGCAGAAAATGGCTTTGCCATAACAAGCTCACTTGGAGGAACTGCAGCTTTTACAGCAGACCCCAGGGATTTTCTGGTCCCAACTTACCTGTTTGGTAGCAGGAGGGACCAGCTTTGGGTAGCACCAAAGGTGAAGAGCTGCTCTATTTCTGTGGGCTCTGATTTGGTTTTGTTCTGTGGCTGCTACATACAAGCACTACTCTGGTTTTCCCTTGGAGACCAATATTTCAGTCAACGCCCATAAAAACCTTTAGCTAACTCGGTGTTAGCTATTGCAAATACCGCTGTTCCAGTAATGTGTCTCTCCCTCTCCTAGCTCAAGCAGGAGGCAGCACTGGCTCTGCTCAATCAGCTAGCAGGAAATTTTCAAGATACTGTCCTGATTTCAGGCACACAACCTTCATGAACAAAAAAAAGTTAAAAATCCTGGGCAGCTGGCAGTCATGTCGCCTCCTGAAATCCCAGCTCAGAGAAAAGTGAAGTAATTTGCACAAGTCCAGGATTTTGATGCATCCACTGGCTTGTGTCCCTGCTTCCTACCGGGCTTCTGCCCATGCAGCGGTGCTGATACGCCTTCACCACTCCCATGAGGAAACTGGAGTGAGAAGAATAGCGTTCAGTACTGGAAACTAACCTCAGATGAGAACTTTTACAAGTTCACTGCAATTACAAGAGTCTGGATGGATGCGTCACCATATCTTGAACAGAAACAGCAAGAAGCCTCGTGTTGGCTGTGTGTTTATGTGGGTAAGAGCTATGAAAAGTAAACAGAACTAACAGCTCTTTTTCCAACCCATGCAGCAGTGAAAATCCGAATCCTGAGGAAGAATATGACCACTACCATCTCAGACTTTGACCTGGACCCCTCCAGAGTAGAAGTCCTGAAGCATGGCCCTCTCCTCAGAACCGAAATCCCCAGCAGGCTCCAGCAGTGGCTCGACATAGATGCTACCTGCGTCCACAACATCATGAGAGGCACTCACACAGGGGTCTTCGTTGTAAGTGGTGAAGTACAGAGTGACAAAGTGGTGGTGAACAAGGCCTACGCCTGGCAGAAGAAGAACAGGAACCTGCACCAGGCGGTGCGGAGGTGGAAACATCACCGCTGCCCTGAACAGGCTGGCCGGAAGGTCTGAAAAATCTCAATTCCAACAATAAGAAACTGCTCCCTTTTCTATGTCTAGAAAACTCCTTTCCCTGGCAGTTGGTGTTTTGGAGATGTACAGTCAGTATTTTTAGGTGATTCACAGCAGTCATAGTCCACATAGGGCCTCACTACAGATCCCTGTTTTACCAAGACAGATCTTAAGGATGCAGATTTAACATATTCCTCTCACAAGGCTCTGTAGATCCAGGACTTGTGATGGAAGGCTTTGCGTAGGATCCAACGCCATAACAAAACGGAACTGAACTCTGCAGGTGAGCACAAACTAGAAGAGACCTTTAGTAAGTTTCTTCTAGTTCTCATCATCAACGTTGATAGTCATTTCAGCTTCATTATTTCACCCGGAGACATTGATGCTGTCCAAGTGCCTGCTTGCTTCTGTCCACAGAGGTTACACGAACGTCTCCCTGACTGCTAAGTGATGCTTTCTGTGTAATGGAGCAAATACTCTACTCTTGTATAGTCTGAGGTATATTAAGGGGGAAAGGAACTTACCCTGGTAATGCCCAGCCCTGTAAAAAATGAATGCTAAACCCTGCTCTTAAGCGGTCACTTAGGCTGTCCCTTCAGCTTGCTGTGCTGAGTTGATGAGCATCAGCACAGGTAAAAGCACACAGAGGAAAGATAGCTGAGAATTTCCGCGTAACAGGGAAAACCATTTTTGTAGCATCAGGAAATTCAGTTTGGATCAGAAGATTCTGGTAACTGGGGAACTGCTGGATATATCAAGATATCACAAGAGCCTTGCGAAAGAGCAGAGTGGGAGTGAGACATCAGCCATTTAAACCTCTGCTTTGGTGTGCAACAGCAGCTTTTCTTGGGACTCGGAGGTGAGCCCCAACCACAGCACAAGAGGAGCTACTTGCAGTTCTGATATGGGAGGGGGGGCCACAAACATTACCCAGCTGTCTGGCCTTCCACTTGCACGCAAGGAAGACAGAAAAGGTGACAAAACTCAGTCTCACCAAGTTCTCTGCAACTCATTCTCTCACCCAAGTAAGTAGGGACTGTAATTCCCTGCAGGGGTAAACACCGCTATAGTTCTATGCTCCAGACCACAGAGAAGAAAACAGCAAATCCCCAAACGAGAAAACAAGTCAGATTTTTACTGCCTAACAAAGCACTGTCCGTGGAAAGTTTTTGACACTGGATTAAACTTGGGACTGAAATAAGGGGAAAAACGGCTTTGGGAGAAACACATTCTGCCTTGTTCATGATGCCTGCAGTCTCAGTTGTGGAGAGAGCCACCCGGTTTGACGGAGACACATTGCCTCCCTGTGCTCGTAAAGCACACCAACAACCCGTGATGCGATCTCCTCTTCAGATTTAGTGTGGGCTGAGATGAGCGCTCAGACACTCACACTGAAATTCATCTGCGCCCTGACATTTGTGCAGTGATTACTTCTATTCCCTGAGGCTCAGAAGAAAAACAGCGAGATTTCCTATTTTTGTTCATTCCTGCTGCCTTGTCTTGCAAACTGCTGCCCAATCCACAGAATCCACTGCCAGGTGGTCCCTGAAACGGCAGTATCTTCTGAACAGACTTCGTTTGGAAAACACAACCCAACACATAAAAGCTCTGAAGGTTGAAAAGGCTTTGTCTGATATTTGTTTTCCACTAATAGGATTATTTGATTACTAGTGTTTCCTAACTAAAAAGTGCACAGATGGTCTGACTTACAAGCTTTAGAAATGACGTCTCGTAGCCAGAGGGGGGAAAAAATAGGGCAGGGACTTTTTCATGGCTCCATGAAATATGCTTGGGTTCAATGCAGATGACTTACCCACATCTAAAAAAGAAACCACAAGTTCCCCTACGGTGCCCACTGCCATGCTCCAAAGCACAGAACTCACATTAAATCACTAACGAGCCATCCACTGCTGTAGTCCCACTATTGCCTGCTCTGCTGAAAGCAAAGATCTCACAGCCACTTATTTCCTTAAATTGGCTCTTGCATGCTGCAACACTTTGTGTTAAGTAAAATTCCCAGAAGTTCAGGAGTCCTTCTTTGCTAGCGGCTTCTGGGTTTGTCTAACACAACCAAGTTAAATACACACTTCCACTAATTTAAACAGAGATGCAATAAATTAGTTTTTTTTAAACCAATTGGTTTAGATTGGTACTGTTTGCATAGATAGAGAAGTCTCTGGAAATCTTTTAAAGTCAGTGCTTGTTCCTGGCAGGTTCATCCAGGAGATAAGAGCTGTCTTGCGACCTGCAGTTTCTAAATAAGGGACTCCTTATCGGAGGACAAGGGAGAACAGACTCATGTGGCATCTTAAATGTTGAATGTCCGTCACTGTCTGTGATACCATCCTTGGGGAGCAAAGCTTCCCTTGGAACTGATGGAGGTGCTGGAGTGACAAGTGCAAAGCGGTGGGATTACCGTTGCTGGGACCAACCTGCCTTTTATCAGCTTCAGCACCTTCCTTGCAGGTCAGGACCAGCTCTTTTACTAAGCAGTAGCGGTAACGCAGAGAAGGTGGAAGGAGTTTTACTGAGTGAAAAGCAGAGCAATTAACGACATCTGTTTTGTGATTGCTGTGGGGTATCAGTTCCAGGTTGGTGTCCGTTTACTGAACGTCAGACAGAAATCCACTCAGAAATTTGCAAACCATGAGTATCACAGATGTAGAAATGACAAAAGAACTTTGTATATTTCTTCCAGACACTTATTGCATTAAAGGAATTTAATATGAACCCTATTTGATTTATGGCCAGGCTTTCAGCATATATAATCTATCTAGAATCAGGAAACCCCCTCGATTTATATTATTGAGAAAACATCTAAAAGACTCTCAATGCTATCTTTTCAGAGACAACAGGTTTTCTCTGACTTTGCAGTAGTAGGAATTTTGTAATCACCTGTCCCAAAAAATTAATTTGTATATTCTCAGTGGATTTTCAGAACGCAGAGTTCAATTAATGAGACTTTATCAGTCACAGCAAAAATCACAGAAAGGTAAAGATGGTTTTAAAATATCTGAAAGACAGAGATTGTGTGGTTGTGCATCAGAGCAGCCAGAAATAAAGACAAATCTGGAACAGAATTAAAAATGGTGGGAGACATTAAAACTATCAGTTCGCCTGTTAACCATTTCATCAGCACTGAAGCACCAACACTAAATTGCTTTATCATGATTTATTACCAAAAGTTTGGGCATCTCTCATCCCTTCCTAACACTGAGCAGCTTCTTCGAGGTCCTCTTCAGCGATCTGCTGTCTACTCATGGTATTCTAAAGGGAATCTGAAAAAACTGGAAAGGTTAATATTCTGAATTATTTTAAGTGGGCCATCCAGAACAAGTAACCTCTGTGAATCCTGTGTCAAAATACGTTACACAAAATCATGCTCTTTTTAATGCAGCCGCAAGGAAAAGCAGCGCGGGGAGGAGCAGCGAACAGGCGAGATGTCATTTTCCCCCGAGTGGGTGTCAGAGCACAGCGAGTGTGAGACAGACCCCCCCCTCCCACACACACACCCCGGGGCGCCTGCCGCGGCCTGCCGGCACCCACGGGCACCGCTCCCCCGGTCCCGCACCCCACGGGCCAGCCCCGGGGGGGGGGGCGCAGCGGGGCCGGTACTCACCGAAGAGGAGCGGCTTGAGGCTGAGGGTGCGCACGGCGTGGGCCCTGCCGGGCACCAGCTCCACCCGCTGCGTGTGGCCCACCTGCGGGGAGAGCGGCGGTGAGCGGCGGCGCGGCCCCGGCCCCGGCCCCGGCCCCCCCGGCGCGGCCTTGCCTTGATGCCTTCGAGGCGCGGGAGGGCGGGGGCGGGCGGCGGCGGCGGCGGCGGCGGGGCGGCGGCGGAGGGCTGCCCCCCGGCCTCGCCGGCGCTAAGGTGCACGAAGAGCAGCAGCCCCAGGACATTGAGGACGTAGAGGTGGGCGAAGACCATGAGGACGAGGAAGTAGGGCCGCGAGCAGACGGGCCGCGGGCGGCCCCCCGGCGGGCCGGGCAGGGGGGGACCCTCCGCCCGCGTCGCCGCCGCCGCCGCCGCCATCGCGCCCCCGGCCCGCCAGGCCTCGCGCGTCACCACGGCAACCGCCCGGCGCGCTGCGTCACTGCGCCGCGGGGGCGGGGCCAGGGGAGGGGGCGTGGCGGAGCAGGTGTGGGGGGACCGCCCTCCTCCCCCGCCCCCCCAAGAAGAGCCAGGACACCTCCGAAGTTAGAAAGTCACAATTTATTTCAAATAAACTCAGGGCACACCTCTGGCAACCGTCTCCCGGGCGGTTTCCGCCGCCCCTGCCCCTCTCCCGTGCCTGCGAAGAAAAGCGAGGGGTGGCAGCAGCTTCGTGGACTCCCCCCAGCCTGTGTCGGGGGTACACCGCAGCCCCCCACTAACACTGTCCCAGAACCTGAACCAGACTGGGGTGAGGAAAGGAATTCCCAGAACAAGTGCCTCGTTTAAAAATAAAGTTCTATTTTTTTTTTTCACCTGCTTAAAAAGTCTAAAATTTAGAGTGCAAGACTATAGTACAGAAACCTCCTGCTGCCCCTGTCCCCAGGGGGGCACAGCCGATGTGCCAGCGCGCAGAGCAGCAGTCATGCAGTTTACGTGATCAGTAGAAAATTTTTTGTTACCGTCTGGGAAGCCTGAGGACTATTAGAGATGAGGCAGCCAATGCACTAACACAAGCAAAGCAGAAATAAAAGAGTAGTGGATGCAAGGATGGAGAGGTGTCAGGCTGGAGCAGGAACTAGAAATGAGTGCAAAAAGAAAAAAAAACATTCCACAGCTGCAGCAGTAATGCACCAAAGGGAAACTTGTACCTCAGAATTTACGGCTCCTGAGCCACTTTCTATTCACCTACATTCATGTAACCTTGCTGACTCGAATAGGGCCATGTACCTATTAAAGGGGAAAAAAACTGGTCTTGTCTGTTGGCGTCGAGAACTCTCATTCCCTTCCTGTCACCTGCCTCTCAACCAGTGTCAGCCACTTTCCACAGAGTCAACAGTCCCTGTGCTCTGCAGGTTTCGTATCTGTACGACACAAATACAGAACTCACCCTGCCTGGGCTGCAAAAGCAAGTAAGTCCTGTTGTTTTCCCAGCAAGTGTAGAAACAGGATCTGTGCATACAAACCAGGACTTTCACCACCCTCAGAAAGGGTGTTTTGTTTTCTTTTAAAATAAACAGAACTGCTGACAATGCTCTAGTTTCAGAAAATTTGAAAAGAATTAGGGGGCGCACTGCAGTATTTATTACTGTTCCTCAGCCACGCATCTCAGCAGGCTGTTCAGTAAATTTGGCCACAGCTATATGGTCTAGCTTCTCTACAAACAAGGATTCATAGCAAAGCATTTTGTGGGGGCATGGGAAAGGGAGGGAGGGAAGGAGGCAGAGAGGGAGAGACACAAAACCCCATTCTCATCTAGCTCAAAGCTGGACAATGATGTAACAGAAGTGAGGGTTCGCTGGGATTAGGAAACTCCGCATACCTGTTCTGCAAAGAGATTAGGTGTTACGATAGTTACATTTAAAAAACAAGAACACCAGCTTTTATCCTAATTAGTACTTTGCACATTACATTTTAAAAGAACAGTTTAAACATTGGTTCTATGCACTGCAAACTGCTGGGTCTCAGCAAGCCTTCCCCCACACTACCCCTTCCCCCTGGGTCCAGTGTGCCCAGACTTTGACAATCATTTGGGAAGGGGAGAAGAAGGAAGAGACTGATCTCTACCATAAGGAGGGCACAAAGAGGCTGTTGCTGGGAGCAGAGGAGGGACTGAAGTCAGGAGACAGCGGCTGGAACAAGGACATATCTACCTCTACGGCTCCAGCCTGGAGGGGAGCCAGGACAGGATACAGCAAGAACACAAGGAGCCATGGTTACGGAGATCTCTTGCGCAGCAAGCAGCACTGCTCCCAGAAACCACACACTCCCTCCCTGCCCCACTGCCTGGCTCCAGCCACCTCTCTGCAACCCTGCTCCACCCTCAGCCGCTTCTGTTGTAACCCCCCCCTCCACTGCCAGCAGCTCTTTGGCAGCATGTTCTCCCGTTCCCTGAGGATACATCCCACACCAGGGAAGGGAGGGAGGAAGGAAAAGGCCTCTCAGTTTGAAATTTTCTGCTGTGTACAACAAGCACAGCCACAGGATTAGCTCCTATGACAGCTACTCCTCTTTTAAACTGATACATCTCTCTCGTTAAAATCCATCTGCCAGTTATACATGCTGCAAATACCTGGGTCACATGTCTCAGGTACATGAAAAAGGCTCCAACAGCAGAGTTTGCTTATTCTGACATGCAGGCATTTAGCATTTTCCCCCCTTCCAGTTTATAATATTTATCAAGTGACATTGTATAAGAGCAATACAGTGGTGCATCAAAGGCAACACTTCCACATACAGCATGGAAGAGAATCCCATGAGTTCCCTGCAGAGGTGAAGATTTCCTCAGATCAGACTCCAGCTCCACCTTACTGGCTGCAAACAACATGTTCCCGGTGCAGGTGACATACAAGCCTGTGAAATCTTAACATGTGGCCTGCTTCCTGTAGCAAACAGGCAAGCATCAGCATTTAAGTAACCTTTTTCATGTTAACCCCTACTAAAATGAACTAGGTTTTCATATTTTTATTTTAGTGTATACTTTACATTAGAAAAAAGAACGTTAATAAAAAAAGCTCCACATGCTCCTAACAATCAATTTTCTCATAAGTCCCCACCAGTATCAATACTAATATACAAATAAATTAATTTTGCTAATTAATTTTCTGCCTGGCTTGGTGCAGGCTCTGCACAAGCAGTGCACCTGTAATTCAAATGCCTGTCCACATTGCCAACATGTGCCAGGGAGTGTGTTGTACATAATCTTTCCTCCTCATAATGTAGCGATGTTTAGTCTCACCTTGATGAATAGGATCAAATTTTGTCAGCCATGTTACCCAGCAGGCACAAATAATCTTTACCAGGCTGCATGGCACTGTTATAACATGGATTGTTTCACTCTGCAAAAGCCCCAAGCCTTGATTAACAACTGTATGCTACTATTCCCTCATCACTCACTTTGGCAATACAACAACCTCCCCACAAAAACAAGTGAAGCAAAAATCTACATGGAAGACCTAAAATTCATCAAATGCAGAATCTGACCTGACTGAAGGCATATCCCCCAGTGTTAACCTGATCTCTCCCCTACAATTCCTCTGTTTGCTTTTGTTTGTGTAGCAGGATTTTGCACAGCTGATTTACAAGAAAAGAGATGTCACATGTAATCATACTAAATCACAGCCACTGCTGGTACTGTCGGGTCAGACACAGCAGCAGCCACTCTTTAACACCAGCCACTCTCCTCGTGCAATGCCAATGCTACAATGCCCCTGTTAAAGGAGCACTGCGAAATCTATCTGAGATATTTTGTAACCTCCTTCAGTGCCTAGGAGGATTTTTGGGTCAGAGGAATGGAGAGGGGGAAAAGCCCATTAGATTTACAAGCAGATTAAGGAAAAACACTCCACTGCCAATTTATTTTTAAAAAGGGTTGTGTGTTATTCTAAGGTTTGTCTGTATAATTGTACAACCGTTGAAAATTACATAAATTGTCATGATCTAACACTATTAACAGCCATTCAGAGAAAAACTCCCTCCCCTTCTGAAACCATCAAGGGCAGGAGGGAAATGTCCCAGGAAATATGCCAATCTGAACTCTGGCCGCTAGCCTGGCAGAAACAGAAACAGAAAGATAAGAGAACAAACTGGACTAAGATGTGGTGTTTGCATGTGTCTGACTTGCAAGGGGAGGGGTGGCTTTGTCCTTGGCCGTGTTCTCCCAGAGGCAGTGCCTGCTTATCCCGGTGAAGCTGCCATCACTTCACTCGCTGCTCTCACCCCTGCACTTTGTCACTTCCTCCTGTCTTATGTGTCATGGAAGTCTTTCAGCAGGGTCCTCCGTCTCTGCTCTGCTATGTGCATCTGATTCTCTAAGTCCTGGTGAAACAGAAGGTAGGAACTGTTAGCGTGAACCCCCCAGAGAAGAGCTTACTTTCATTAGGGAGAGACTAAGCTGCAGCCTGAGAAGCACCAGCCTTCACACTTTACACACACTCTGGATCATAAGATCTCAGATCCTTTTACTTTTGACATGGGCTCCCTCTGCAGTTACCGGGCTCCTGCTCCGTCTAAAAAGCTAAGGAATCACTTGAGAAATCTGCTCTTCCCCAGAGGGCTACATACAGCTTCCTCCAGAGCTTTATTGGTCCCGTTTCAGTTTGCAGGACTCCCTGCAGCCCTCCCTCCTCTCCCATAAGGCGGTGATCACTCCAACATCAGCTGGCTAAAGGTGAGTTTCTGGATATAGTTTCTCAGAAACCCTCAATTGACTGCCTTAGCGCTCCTGCAGAAGTGTTAGGCCAAAACAAAAAAAATCTGGCCAGCAGGCTCAAGCAAGCAGAACACTCACCCCTCTGTCATAACTGTCTGCTCGCTCCACCTTCCATGAAAGATTTTCAATTTCAGCTTCCAGCTGGGCCTGCTGGTACTCAAACTGCAAAGAGCAGAATTAGAGACAGCAACAAGAAAATAGTTTAGTGGAGCAGTTTCATACTATACACTACACTTGAGGGGCAGACAAATGTGTTCTGCTGACAGTTCGTGCCTCCTCCTTTATCCACCTTCAGCTAGACAGCATCACCCCTTCTAGGAGTTTCTTGTGTAAGCACTCCCCAACCTGCACCACTCAAAATTAACCCAGTCAGCCTAAAAACACTGCAAGTGACAAATATCTCCCAATTCAGCTCATTTTGTCATAAATGGGTCACAAAATGCTCTTGTGAGCAGCTCTGCAGGCAGAGCACAGGGGATGTTAACCACTGCAGTAACTTGTTCCACTGGTTCAGTCAGATCCAGAAGAGAATACCTGTCCACAGCCTCAGAGAATACATACGATGCTATGGTGAGAGATAGGATAACAGGTTTTACTGGACAACTGAGTCAAAGAAACAAACTCTTTAGTGAATTCAGGGCCATTTTTCGATATGTGCAGCCCATGAAATGCACCAAGCCAGCAAGGAACTCACAGCAGGAATAAAAAGCAAAGCTACACCCTGATTCAAGGATGGAAAAGCTATCCTCTGGTAGCTCTTCACATGAAATATGGCCCAGAGCACTGTGATAAGTCTTACCAAGGAACAAACGCACACTTCCAGCCTCAAAATATTCTGGATAAACTGCTTGTTAGGGAAAGTGCAGTGAAGTGCCCTGGGAAAATAATGTAATGTATCAGACGACAGAGCTGCTGGTCAACTCAAAGTGAAGAGGAAAGGTGCAAACCCATCTACTATTTGTCCTGTCTTTACCTCAAACTAAGGACTAATACATTTCAGACACTGCCAAGCTCTAGAATTTAGCCCAGCATGCTCTCAGCTACACCCCAAAAAGCTATCAGCAAAAAAAGAGCAAAACATCTTACCAGTTTCTTTCTGGGACCAGACTCCATGTAGTAGGCATATGGATATGTGTACTGCAGGGTGTAACGACACTGTTGGGGAGTGGGAGAAAAAGAGAGAAAAGAAGGACAAGAGTCTCAGACTTAGAAGTCAGCACAACTGCATTTGTGCGACCACTACAGGCTAAGAAGCTCCCTTCTGACAAGGATGACTGGACACTTCATGGTGGAATTTCCTACACCTTTGTTGGAAGAACCTGTGCAGTTCTTTGAAGCCAAGCTTGTTATAACTTCAGAGAGGTCACTTCCAGATAATTTTTGGCTAGTTCATGTTCTAGACCAGAGGTACTGACCCACACACCCAGAACCCTTAAATTCCCTTCCTCACTTGGTGTTGTAAATTTAGCATTCTGGTGTGTACTGTCTTCTCTGTGTCAAACAGGACACAGCTACCCACCTTTGCAAGCAGTTTTGCAGCATTTTGTAGGTATTGCCAGTCTATCCATGTTCCCAAGTTGTTCATTACTCTTTCTTGAATTTTCTCCTGGATTCGTTGGTATGTCTGTGCCTCCAGTTGTAGGCTCTTATTGTGATTCTCCCACTGCAAGGGGTGGGGGAGATAGGGAAAGAAAAAGCGGCATGAGACCGGAGTACTTCTGCTGTAAAAGCACAAGCTCTAGCAAGCAGAAATTGAAGTGGGACAGGAGTCCAGCAAGGGAAGACATGCTGTGGGAAAGAACAACAAGGCAGCACCTCCGGTAGCAAGTGGCGGAGGCTGTATACAACAGACTGACAGCAGCAAAAAGCAGGGAGCAAACCCAGCTCCTCAGAGTGGGAATGCCCTCTGGTCACACAACGACCTTGTGTCTAACAAGATGAAAGGTAACGGTGACTCCCCTAATTAAAGGATTTCTATAGAAAAGTCAAGCGTTTAAATTTACATTTAACATGGGCTCAGTGAACTCCAACATCCATGTGCACATTGTAAACATGGCCATTTCCCAAAGTTGGTCTGAAGAGCCAGGAATGAACACATTTATTTTACCACAGGACTTGGCTCATGGTGTGAAGAATAAGATCACTTTATTGGGTAAACTGAAGTGTAGCAGCATTTAACCTCTACCACGTTCTCTTCTAGAGATGCTGCTCTAGAATTGCACTGTATGGCCAGGTGCATTGAGCCTGCTGTGGGGGCAGAGATGCTCTGACTGCAACTTTTAAAAATGTGATTACATTAAATTTTAGGAAAACTTTGCTACAGCAAATGGAGCTTTGACCATGGCAGAGTTTATTTAGTCTTTTTCTCTATAAAGACATACTTCAAGGAACTGAAGTTCCCTGGTCCTGGAAGGAAATGATTGGAGCAATTCTACCTAGTGCAGCAGCACTCAGCCTGCAGGAAAATGGTACAGTGGCACACAGGTAATACCGATTTTCTCTAGCACAAGGAAATATAGGAGCAAATATGATTTGCTTTGGGTATGACATTACTGGTTTGGATGGGACTTGCAGGGCAGGATTTTGAGTGAAAAACAAAAGGGACTGAAAATTCTGCACAGATTCTCTTTGGGCAGTTTTTTGCATGGAGATTGCTGGCAATGACCTTTGCACCAGGCAGGGAGCATTAAAAGGCTACAGCAGCTCTGGCCAAGGAGATGTCTCCTACCCTCTCAAAATAGAACAAGTACTTCTTAAGGGCCTCCCTGGCCTGTGCTTGCTGACTCTGGTTTACAATATCAGGATTCTCTTTGTACCGACTGCATTCGTAGTACTCGCTGCCGTGAGTCTTCCAGTCTCCCAGACACATCCAGCAGAAGTCTGCAGAAAACAGTGAAAAACCCACTGTGATGCACAGGAAAAAAACCTCTGTGAAAGAAAAGCTTCAGGAGACACAGCCCATCTGTTTTCAGATATTTCTGCTAAGCCAAGAAACATACACATTTTGTATCATCTTGTAAAACAGAACACAATAGTGAGCCAAAAATACCAGCCTGTATTGAAGATTCACATTGTACAGTCTCCTGTGCAACTATGGAAAGTAAATCTTGAAGCCCTGCATCCTGTACACCAAGACCAACGGGCAGAACTGCACTTGTGCTCTGCACAGGCTGTCACTCTAGATTCAAGAAGAGGGAGGCTACAGTCTTATTTGTGAGTTGCACCTTCCCCACCACTGGCATACTGCCCCATGCGGACCTCAGGCTGAATGAACAATCAAATCCAAAAGTGAACTAACTCATGCAAAAGAAAGTCTGCCCTCAGAACTCTTGAGGATGGAACTAACCAGATAATTTCAGGTATCAGTGGTTTATGACACTTCAAGATAGGAGCCACTGAACTGGGAAGAAAGTGGAGGAAAGAGAGCAATAGTAAAACCTGCAGAGCTGTTTCCTGATTTCAGAGCAAGCCTGTGAGTGTTCTACTAGGAAGGAAAAGATGGAGATTAAGTTGCTACAATAGGAATCACTTCTGTGTTACGCATAATAAGAGACTGAAATTTGTATTTCCAGAGTTCACCAGCCTTCAAGTGCTAGTCACCATGGTACCTTGGCATTTGCCTGCTCACCCTTGTCACAGAACTCCATCAAAGCACATCCAGTGCTGCTGAGGACCCCAAAGCAAAGGAAATTAGAGTACTGCAATCTTTCATCATCTTCCAAATAAGGTTCTGATATTATAGTATTTCCTAGTGGCACACTTCACTTAGGGGGCTGAATACAAACTATCTTGCTCCAAGGCAACAGAAATTAATTCTGCCATGAAAAGATAAGTGCAAGAACAGGCTGTCATTTTGTAGGGCCACACAATGGGCCAAAGACACTCAGGCTGCTAATTGCACAGGGGTGGACCAAGAAGTCCAACAGATAATGTTACGCAGAACAATTCACAGCTCCTGCAGTTTCATCTGGGTTGAAGCTCATTATTTCCATCACTAAGCAGAAGGACTTCAGCTGATCTGAGTAAATGGCTCAGTTCTCCCAGTATTTTCAGTTGATTACAAATACAGTTACATGGAAAGCATTTAATACTCTCCTCTGAGATGGATTCCACTGTTAATATTATGGTAGAGATGGAGACTTCTCTCTACAATGAGCATGTCAGAGAGAGGGGGCCAAACCAGCACTGAATCAGAACCCAGTTGACATCACAACCAGTGGGGGAAAAAAAAAAAAAGCTATCACACACTAGTCTGTAACTAATATCCTGTTCACCTTTATCAGGGGAAAAAATATTTCCGTCAATGGTCACAATTTGTCTTCATATCACAAAAAGAGAACATCACCACCACCAAACACTGCAGAGAAAGCTGCTTCCAGATTCTACTTACCATGCTTGCATTTGGAGCATTGCTGAAAAAGAGACAGGAAGCACTGGTTAGTAGAAAGTGGGGGGAAAAAAAATTCTGCTTAGAACTAGGAAGGCCTGACATGTTCAGGGAATTGCTCACCATGTGATTGCAGCCTCCATTCTTTTCAATACAGATATTGCACTTGGGACACTGGGGAAACAGAAGCATTTGTTAGATCCAACTCTGTCTCTAGCAGCCTTCTGGAGAAATGACAACACTTGCATGATTATTCCCCTCCTGCCTTTTTTTTTTTTTCCCCCTTTTTTTTTAAATATGCATACACGTATATGAGAATATTAACATATATGCACTTTGCCTTGCACTGATTCCTGACACCTCCATTTAAAAAGGAGGCAGAAAGGCAAAGCCAGAGAAGTTACACTGCAGCACTGGACTGCTTGCTCAAGAAAACAAATTTGCTGTTGTTACTCCTTGTAAAACTGAAGGTCTGAGTTACCATTTAGCAGTTGCTCAGGCATAGGGACATAATTAGTTCACATATTACAGTAGCTTCCACAGCTACTTAGACTACAAGAAAATCAGCACTATATCCTGTCTTCAGCAGCCATTACCAGGTAACAAGCTTAGCCAGCTGCAGAGAATCTGGCTGACCACTGAGAGCTGCACACTTCTTTGCTCCACTGATGCCCTGGAGTGTCAAGTTCAGTTACATTTTTGGGTTGCACAGGTACAAAGAAGGAAGTGAGTTTTTCTTCTTTTTATAAATTTTAATGGCAGGCAAAATGTATGCCAAGACAATGCTCAATATAACAGAACCTTATTTCTACTAAAGAGCATGGCACATAGCAGAAAAAAATGCCATCACATCTTGACACCTTCTCCAGAGGAAGAAGGGAATTTAAGATTCCTAGTCTATTTAAGTACCCACTTTCCTAACACAACTGAAGCTTGGGGCTAATTAGCACTGTCACAATTGTCATTGGCTATGGTAGAACAAATGCCAGCTAAGAACTGTTTTGAAGTCAGGCCACAAAATCCCCAAAAGACATTAAAAGTTCCAGTTGGCAGAATGTTAATCTACAGGATAAAGGTCTATATATCTATAACTTTTAAAGACAATTCTTTAAGTAGACTAAAGTACACTATATGTAATACTACTTCTTTTTCTTGGGTCTAAATCTACTAGAAGTACTTCAATGTTTAATTTACAGACCTCATTTACTCCATTTTGCTGTCCTTGCCAAATCAAAACTTTATCTCCCCCCACCTTCAGGTTCACAGTACTCCACACAGTCGTTCAGGTTTAAAAAACAGTAGTGCCTTATTTGGTACTGACTCTGCACTTGTTACACTCCCTTCATTTTAAACACATCTCCACTGATCATTTCAAAGTAGTCACAGTTCTTTTGCCCATGGCAAAAAGATATTCACACCAGGTCTGGAATAAGGACCAGCAGGTCCTTACTGCAGGAGGGCAGTTGGACTTCCCACACAAAGGATTCTCAAGGCATTCAGTTGTGTTATACCACAGTCCCTAGGGAGCTGTGAGAATTTGCAGTCTGTGAAAAAGCAGCGCACAATGCTATGCAGGTATAGAATTGTATCTTGATTCCCAGGCAGGACTAGAAAAGATACAAAGGTGCTTATTCTTACATCTTTAGTGTGAGCACTGATGTAGTTGGCTGTTTCGGAGTCATCTGCACACTTGGTGAGCCATTTCCGAATGGTAGCACAGTCTGTGGGTGCGTGGTACATCTGCCGACACTTAAAGCTTAATAGGGGAGAAAAAAACCAAACCAAAAAAAAAAAAAAAACCAAACAAAAAACAAAACAAACAAACAAACAAAAACAACAAAAAAAAAAACAAAAAAAAAGACATATACATTTCCACAGAAGTGATTCAAGAATTGAAGCTTTCCTGATGACCAAAATCTGTGAAGCCAAGCGAGTGTCAGGGATGCAAGTGCACTTGTGTATTACAAGAGTGCAAAGACCAAGGCTGATCTCCAATAAACCCCCACTCTCTTGTGTAGAAACCAGAGTCAGGATGAGAGTGAACTGAGGCCTTCTCTGACAAATCACATGTCTGAGGGCTGATACATCATTCCCTAGAGTCTACCTATGTCTACTCTAACATGACTGCAGAGGCCTGGGGCATATCAGTAGCTTTACAAGTAGCCTGGCTCCAGTGGTAGATACCAGGCACCTGCATTAGCATGACCTGATCAACCCTGGTTGAGCAAGGGCCATTTGCATGGAGATACCAGTAACTGGGTGTCTAAACCAGTTGTATTGTGCTCCACAGACATTCTCAACAGCAGTGATTCCGGAGACCCAGGAGCAGAAGACACTTCAGCAGTCCTACAAGTTACCTTTTTTCTTCTGGTCTCATATACACTTGAAGTCAGACAAGTAACATTAGCATTCCTATTCAGCAGAAATGTATTCTCGCACGAGCCTCAAAACATACCAGGCACTCTGGGAGTCAAATATGTGTAATAAACTTTAAAACTCAGTACTAGATGATAGCAGTGAGGCCTCCACATCCATTACCATAATCTCTACCAGCCACTATGTCTGCACCAAAATTTGTAACCTAGTCAAAATATGAGAACAGTAGACTTCTAACCCCTTCATTACTCAAGCCCTGCACTCCCTGGTTGTCAGAACACCCAACTCCCAGGGAGTTTAGGGAGCCAAGGGGACAGCTGACCACCTGAAGAAGTCAGACCCCAAGTGTCCAATTACTCAAGATAACTCAAGTTACAAACAACTCTAGGAAACATTTGAGATGCTTCTACACATTGAACCTGCTGGCAAGCAAATGGAGTAGCTGAGGACAGCATACACTTTCCCCGTGATCTTTAACCTTCTCTGTTTCTTACCAGAAGACCTCATTGCAACGATTGCACTGCACTCGTCGGGCTTTTGGCTCTTGTACCTGTATGACCATAGGGCAATCTGCACCAGGACACAGCTGCAGCTGATAATGACTCTGTGAACATACCAAGGTGGTAAGATCAGCAGTGGGTGCAGAGAATTATCTATTCCAGTTTAAACACTCCTATTCTCAAAAACATACAAGTCAGTTATTCCTTGTTGAAAAAGAGGGAAAACTGTCACCAAATCTTGGCAAACAGAGCAGATACACTTCTTCCACATTAAGAAAGGGAGCATTAGTTACAGTTTCTCTAAAACAAAGAATTCAAATGGAGGGTTACAAAGCAAGTAAGCACCGCAACACAACCATAAGACCCCACCATGACAAACAATTTTACTCCATTTGACTTCTTTTCCCATCCTCTCCTTATACCCCAGAATGTATTCAGCTGCCCTCCTGTGGTGGCTATGCCCTCCCAAAGGGTCTCCTATTGAAGAGAGGTGACACCACTCCTTCATACTACTTCACTGCTCCTTAAGTGTTCCCAGTCTGTTCCCAGTTACCAGAATACTCCTGCACATTCAACCTTAACAATTGTTTCTTTAATTTAAAAAAAAACTCACATAAAATATTATTGAGCAAGCCAATTCAGTTGTGCTACACTAAGACAAGGAACTTAGTTTTCAAAACCTAAAATGTCTATGCAAGAGCAAGAAGGACTTTAAAACTCAGAATGAAGTTTGAAGTCCTCAACTGCAACATTCTGATTATTCTGAAGCACCAGCCAAGGAGTTACTGGGTGACCTTACAGCAAAATTTACTTTGGCAACCTGACTGAGCATTTTGTCAGAGAGGCTGTCCTACAGGAGCAGCCACATCATGTTTATCAGGGACAATTTTGCTGCAGTTACTGCAGTTCTAATCAAAGATGCAAGACACTTCAAACAAAAATTTTGCAAGTCATTGGTGAAATGACCCAGGGTATTTTAAAACTGAAAAAAAACAATACCTCCACATAGTCCCTGAAGAGGTAGCGCCTGTATTTGTCTTTCAGCTCTTCACTAGGCAGCAATGGAAACACAAAGTCTTCTGGTGTCCGAAGTAGACAGTCCTGAGCCATGCAGGAGACCCCTGAGAACAGAAAGCAACATTTTAGCACAGTGCAACTTATACTAAGGAATGAATGCACAGAGAGCATTCAACAGTTTCCTAGGTGCTATCTGTTGTTGTGACAAGAGGGACACAGCTGTGAAACAAGTCTATCAAGGCTGCTGAAAAGCTGAAGCCCAACTGTCTTCACCGAAAGATGACAGGACATGTGCATCCACAACTAGTAACTGTTTCAACCAGTATTCACAAGGTCAGATCCTTAAAGCAGAAAATTGCACGTTATTGCCATGCCAGCATGAAAGACGGTCTAGGAAAAGCCCCAAACAACTCTGGCAACTCCTGGCTTCTACCCAACACAAAGGGAACAGATGCTTGCTTTCGTGAGCACTCCAGGGGCAGTGCAACAATCCATCATGAGAGATGCAAAGTCAAAATGCAGCAGATTTGTAGCTTCTAACCTGTTACAGTTATGCTCTCATCACAAGGGGAGAAAAACAGCAAATGGATCTACAGACTTGCACATTTTCTTAGGCGAGTAGCGCTCTCCAGGTGGTATGCCAACACTAACCAGGGATTCAGGTAAGACCACTAGTTCAAGTTAAGTTTGTCACAAACACTCATCCCATGCTCCATTTCCTCATTACTGAGATATCTTACACCAATTCAGCCAGTCATCAGAACAGTCAACATGGCAAATACAGACCCAGTACTGTATCTGCCTTGAACTCACCAACTCCGACACCATCCTTGACGAGCACTGTACAATGCTGCTCCCAACAGCTGCGACAGAACTGGTGCTGGCAAGCCAGAGAGAGCAAGTTCTCCTTCCGGACAAACTGCATGCACACTGCGCAATGATGGGAGGAATGTACCATTGCCTGGGAGAAAGACAAATCAGCATTACAGTGAAAGCATCCCAGCTCTCCCAGAGTATTCTCATCTTATCCACAGGCACCTGCATCACCTTCATTGTGACAATGGTCTCAGGTGAGCTCCAGGCCAGAAGCAGCTTGTGTGTTGGGGTGCTGCACTGCCTCGACAGTCAGTCCTTCTCAAGAACCTCTTTAATGTCACAGAGCAAAACATACTGACAGTCACTCAACAGCTCCTGCCTCTAATCTGGGGCTACCCAGAACTCACTTTTATTTTTCTGGTCCTTCTCTTGCCTTGTTTGAAAAATAAGGAAATACATCATTGTGGAAGTCCTTCCCTGAATTTACTGACATTCTTTCTTGGCTGGATCAGACTCTATCACTGTTCCACAGGCCCTGGAGAGCAGTTATAGCTGGAAGCAGGCTTAGCAGTGCCCTTTTACTGGACAGTGATTTTGGGCAAGAGGAGAGGCAAATGAAGGTGCAGTGTGTAGAGTGTTTATACAGAGTGGAAAGGGAGTTCACAGACCACCATCTCACCTCTCATCTTTTGCCTATGCTACATTTGGCAAAGCAGGCATCATCCCTTCAACTGAAGAGGATTAGAGGGTTTGTTTCAAGTCACGCATAATTCTGCTATTGCTTCACCAAACCACTGGGAAGCAGTCTGGATCTCGCCTTGAGTAGCGCAGAGCTAATCCCTAGATAACAGATTTAACCTTTAACACATCTTGGCTCACCCCTGGGACCTGAAGAACTAGATTTAGCACAGCATCATCAAAAGCAAGGCTCTACAAAGCTGTTAGCAGAAGTTTATGTTCCTATTTCTCCTTTCACAGAGAAGTCATATAATCACTTTCCATCTACTTAAACCTTCGCTACTCTTTAAGAAGCTTGTGTGAGACAGCCATCAGTTTCCATGCCCAGCTCTGCATACCAAAGATGCAGAGAAGCAGCAGCATGATACACAGCCACATGACCAACGGAGCTTGTTTTACAGCATGACCACATGAAAAAGGAAATAATGCAACTTTGTTCTGGTGGCCTTACTTATGGACCAGAATAAGATTCACTGAGTCTGCAACTGCCTTGATTGCCTAGATCAGCTGCTCAAGTTGAACAGCACGTGCACTACCTCAAACCTTCAAAAGCTGTCTCTGAGCTTACCACTATAGCTTCTCCCTAAAAGGGTCAGTTGCTCTACAGACAGTATGAGCATCTGCCCCCAGAAGAGCATCATTCTGCATTAGGAGGCAAAGCACAGAGCAACTTGTCCTAGCACATACAAGAAGACTGTAAAGAATTGCCTACCAAACCAAGTTTGTCAAGACTTAACTAACCTTTTAAGTGTAGTATCTTTCTTCCCAAAATGAAATCACCATTGCAGTGGGGAATACTTAAGTGACAGCTGATACAAGATTCACACAAATCTCAAAATACATGGACTAATTTGCAGTTATGTCAAATAACAAATATTTTTTTCTGGACTTTAGGTAGATAATTTATTTTGAGTCCGCGAAGCTTACTCCTGTCATGTGTTTTAGCATTTTCACCCTTTGCTAGTTACAAGTTAGCTCAGATGCCAAATCAGGCTTTTTAAATCTCCCCTCTCCCCACCTCAATGAGGGTTTCCTCAGATGTAGTATTTTATCACTCAAAATCTGACACATAGCAATGTGTTCCTGGGTTAACTGTAGATTGTACCAAGACACCCACTGTGAATGAAACCTGTAAACATGCAACAGGGAGTTTCTATTTAAGGGGGAAAAAAAAAAAAAAAAAAAAGTAGCATCTAAAGACCTGTGCAACCCTGGCTGCAAATCACAAGCTGCTGGTTCAAATATCACTACTGACTGGCTCAGCAGCAACATCACTGTGAGATTTGGCATAAGCATCCCTGAGCGGAACAGTGCAGCAAACAGTCATCTAAGGGGAAAAAAAAAAATTAAAAAAAATCTCTATTCTAGCCACAGACAAGCTCTGTTCACTCTGTGCAGCCAGAGCTTCCCTTAAGTGTCTTTTACAGAGAGAACAGAATTGGAAGAGGTAGCTAAGTCCTTGCACTCTTCTCCTTCCATTGTGTACCACCACTCATGCTAAAAATATGAGCTTATTTTTCTTGAGGCAAGTAATTCTTGAACGCTACCTCCAAGACAATAGCAAAGCTGCTATTTAAATCATAGAATGGTTTGGATTGGAAGGGACCTTAAAGATCACCTAGTCCCACCCCCCCTGCCACGGGCAGGGACACCTTCCCCCAGCCCAGGTTGCTCACAGCCCCGTCCAACCTGGCCTTGAACCCTTCCAGGGCAGAGGCAGCCACAGCTCCTCTGGGCACCATGTGCCAGTGACTTACCACCCTCACTGGGAAGAATTTCTTCCTTATATCTAATCTAAATCTGCCCTCTTTTAGTTTAAAACCCTTACCCCTCATCCTATCCTCACACCCCCTGATAAAGAGTCCCTCCCCATCTTTCCTGTAGCCCCATTTAAGTACTAGAAGGTTGCTATAAGGTCTACCCAGTGACTTCTCCAGGTTGAACCACCCCAACTCTCTCAGCCTGTCCTCACAGGTGAGGTGCTCCAGCCCCTGAGTCATCCTCAGGATCCTCCTCTGGACTCACTCGAGCAGGTCCATGTCCTTACATTGGGGGTCCCAGAGCTGAGCACAGTACTCCAGGTGGGGTCTCTACAAGAGTGGAGTAGAGGGGGGAGAATCCTCTCCCTCGACTTGCTGGCCACACTTCTCTTGATGCAGCCCAGGACACAGTTGTCTTTCTGGGCTGTGAGTGCATGTTGCTGGCTAATAGGCAGTTTTGCATCCACTAATACCCCTGAGTCCTTCTCTGCAAGGCTGCTCTCAATCCACCCCTCACCCAGCCTGTATTTGTGCTTGGGATTGTCCCTTGTGCTTGGCCTTGTTGAACCTCATGAAGTTTGCCCAGGCCCACCTCTCCAGCCCGTCCAGGTCCCTCTGGATGCCATCCCTTCCCTCCAGTGTGTCACCACACCACACAGCTTGATGTCATCGGGGAACTTGCTGAGGGTGCATCAATCCCACTGTCTGTGTCACCAGCAAAGACGTTAAACAGCGCCGGTCCCAACGCTGACCCCTGAGGAACGTCGCTCCTCACTGCTCTCCACCGAGACACTGAGCTGTTGACTGCAACTCTGTGAGTGCAACATCCAGCCAGTTCCTTATCCACCAAGTAGTCCATCCATCAAATCCACGTCTCTCCAGTTTAGAGACAAGGATGCTGTGTGGGACAGTGTCAAATGCTTTTCTTTCCGTGAAGATGACATCAATTGCTCTTCCCTTATCCAAAAAGGCTGTAACCCCATTGTAGAAAGCCACCAAATGTTAGACACCTTTTGAATGCACTCTCATTCAAAAAGTAAACCCAGCACTGAGTTAGGGAGTTGGACTAGAGTTTGAAAAGGGTTAATATGGGACAGACTATGCCATTAGTAATGCAATCCTCCGATGAGGGGGGTCATGAGGTGTCTGCCAAGGGAACAGACCAAAATAGTTAGCATACTTACATGTTTGGATGAGGTGGGCTGAACTCGTGCTTCTACTAGTAATTGGGCAGCATTAGACTTGTGCCTAAAAAGGAAATGGAAGAATGATTAAATCAATTTCTGAATATTTTTTGCTTTGTTAAATTGATCTTTCTTGCCTGAATAAATAATAAACTCTGTGCAAGTGGTAGGGTAGGTTATATTTCAACAAGGAAAGTGGAAATGTGTCTTGTATGAGACTCCTTCACATAGCGAGCTGAACTTTCATCAACAAAACTTGGAGAGTTTCTTCAGAATCAGAAACAGGAATAACACTTCTCCCAGTAATGGATTAATATTTCCCTCATACTTTTTGATGAATATTTTTCTACAACTCTCTCCCTGAAAAATTATTTCTGAAGCAAAGATTTTCTATCCACACTTGTAGAGCTGTCCAAAGCCACTGCCCATAATAGCACACTCCAGTGAGGCTCCTGTCTTTCTCCTATCCCTTTATAAAGTCAAGCTATCCTAGTTAGGTCTCACTTTGATTCTGGTCTATTATCGTGTTAAGTATGCAGTCTGTGGCAGACTGTCACCCCTTAGGCATATGAAGCTGCCTATCAGCAGCCTTAGAATTAAACATGTTTTCCTCTTTGTGATTTCCATTGCAGAAGAATGTTTATATTTCAGTGAATTCAGAAATAGCAGCATCACTGTTGTGACCATGCTGTAAATCCTCCTTCACCACGAGCATTTTATAGTTGTACTAGAGAGCTTTCATTTGATAGTGTAATTTCATACCAAGATAGAAGTTTGACGACTAGATCAACCAAGAACAATTTGAAAAGTCATAGCTTTGGAAGCAAACCCTTCCCCAAGCTTCCTCTCCTGTTTAAATCTTGTTAGTTAACCTGCAGAATTAGCAACCCTGAGTTGCTATGCAGGAATCTCACCCTCCACGTTCCCCAGAAAAAAGCTTCACAGGATGGTTGGTAACCAATGAGCCAGTTACCAAAGATGCTGCAACAATATCCATACATGAGATACATTTCCCATATGTTCTCTGGATGTAGTTGCTGGCTACAGGGCCAAAAATGGCATGGCAGAATGAGTCAGAATGATGTACTCTCTATTTTCAGACAATGTTCAGTTCCGAGCCAGTATTTTCTGGAGGGCCTGCCAGACAGCAGTGCCTCCTGACACACTTCCCATATATGTTTGGGCAGAGTCTGAACCCTCCTTTTGAAATCAGTTGGAGGACTTTGTTACAGTGACACTGACCAAGCAAAAAAGGGGCTGCACTTCTCAGTTCTCTCAAATCATTTTCTCCTGCTCTCCAAATGCTAGTTAGCTTGGAAAAAAACCATCAATTATGTTCAGAAGGAACAAAACCTTCAGTATGAATACATCAGCATAGGTTCAGTGCTCCTTTATGATTTATGGTTCATATGTTCAAAATAGAACACACATTATCTTTATATTTGTTAAAATAAATAAATATAGATGCAGCACTCTCAATCTGTTCTCTTAAAGTTTAGGCTAGATGCATCTACAGGTTCCCAGCATGACAATAATTCCTCAGACTGACAGACATTTGCCACCACTACCCTCCCCCTGTTTACAAGTTTCTTACAGGCAACGTGGCCTCAACAAAACAGTGTTTTTTCTCTGCTTTCTGGAATGGGCTGTGTGGCCTGGTTTCAGGTTCAAAGATGCTTGTCAAAAAGACACCTGTGCACCACCCTCAGCATTCCTGCAAAGTAAGGGGGAAAAGCACTGAACATAGAAGAGGTAAGACTATTTACACTTACCTTTCCAAAATCTCTGAGATTTGCCAGTGGAAACTAACTAATACTAGCTTTGCAACAGCATGTGATACCTAGGTGGAAAATAAAAGAAAAAAAGAAGTCAAGTTAAGCATATTTTGAGGCCGCCTCTGCTTAGGACTATGATAATTTTATAAGACTAGTGAGTAGTACAAACTCAATACAACATTTCAGTGATACTCAATTCCCATTAGACTACTAGACATAATGTTCACCACAGTGAGTGCATCTGTAATATACAGATTGGAATGAAGCATGGATGTACCCAAACTAACTCGTACACTGAGTCACAACAGCAGAGAGGAAGGAATCAAGAATTCACTAGGTTAGCTTAACTACTCATGGAAACCTCACATCTAGTCCTGACTGTGGTTGCCACTTGAAAGGCTCAGACCAGACTGGGATCAGGGTCCTTGCTAAGTATGCAGAATAGGCACCACAGGGCAGACAGGTACCACTCACTGAGCTGGAGAAGCAGCAACAAGCTGCAAATGCAGGCATACTGTGATAGCAAAGGGTCGGGGGAAAAAACAGAACATTTTCCCAAGACTTCACTGTAGAGAAGAAAGTTATATGCTGGATTGGAATAGGAAGATGGAAAGCTACTGTGACAGAGACTAATTCCATGCAGAGTTGCTTGCATTACGTGGACTCCTGGCAAGCACTAGCACAGTCCATGCTAGCCTGAGCACCCTCTAGAATACTTGAACACGACATTTAAAGTCATGTTACAAGGGCACAAGAAAACAAGCTCTCCTTTGCTTCTATGTATTAGTTTATTTCAGAAGAAAACAGACTGGTCTGATAGCACAAAAAGGCTTGTACCCACCAAGACCAGAGGCATCTGCTGGACCTTTAACCTGCCTCTCAACTCCTTCATGCCTTTATCAGGCCCATGGAGTTCAAACAAAGCAGGTCACCTGCAAACAAGACACCTCCTTCTAGGGGAATGCAGAGGGCTCATGACCCTTGCCTCCTCACTCCTCTCTGTGCTAGGAAACACCCGGGCAAGCCCAGTGGTCTGCACATTCTGCATTCAAGCACCTTCTCACCTTAAAGGGCTCTACCTCCCACACTCCAAAACAAGCCATCACCATAGCACCTCTCTCTACTATACATACAGAAAACACAACTCCTTCCATCCTAGCTGCAGGAAGTGCTCCTTTTTTCCCTAGAGAAGCTGTCAGTCCCAATCATCAGCTGAAAAGCCATAAGCCTTCTTGAATCCAGCTACAGGTCAATCACAGGATCCAATGTACTGGTAATACAGACACACAGCAACCCCAAAACAACACTGGAAGATAAAACAAGCGGTGGTCACTCCTTCTACAAGACAGGCTCTGTACACCTAGGGGCAGCATATTCATTACTCTTCTAAATCTACCCCACTGAAGAGGTATGGCTGCACAGCACAACACAGCTGACCTATTCCTGCCACATGATACTGCCCTGGTCCTGCACTGGCATTTGTCAGCGCTGGATGGCTGGTTCAGCGAGCTACACCAGTGTAGCACCAATACACAATGTAGCCAGGGTTTTTAACTGGCTCTTACCCACCTCTATTTTCTGATTTGCTCACTTTGCTGGACACTAAGAAATTCCAGTAACAAAAGACTAATTTTCAATGTTCAAATAATCCTTTTTCTAGAAGAACTGAAGCCTTAGCTCTCGCTGTATAAGACCTGCTGTGTCACCTTCCTCAGTTTTACCAGTGATGTGACTCTCAGCAAATAAAGGCTGCCCAGGCGGCGCTGCCCTCCCTCCCAGCACAGAAGCCTGTGATTAGATGGAGTGTGGCACACAGGGCTGCTGCTGACAACGCATACAGTCTGCTCCAGTTTGTTCGGATCAAGTGCCACTGCCAGCCTCGGATGGGTTGTTATCTTAAGCCCCCAGCCTGGCAGACCCAGACAGACACCTCTGACTTGATTGTACAAGGAAGACATCTGCATTTCATGTTTGCAAAACAAGTAAGAATCAGAAATGTGGTCTCTACAAGACTGGCTTCCTGCAAACACAAACCACATGCTAATGAATCATTCTTTAACAGCAATGAAATGATTTCTCAGTAGCAGTAAGGAAGAACTACCATCCTGACAAAAAAAAAAAAAAAAAAAAACAAACCACCAGACTTAAATGTGAAGTAACACATGAAAATGAGCATTTTTCAGTTGGATTTTCAGAGCCTGAGGTGTAGCAACCACTGCAGTATCATTACCCCACAAACTCCATAAAGTTACTTGTTCTCAGAAGAGGAACCAAGTACATTCAAGAATTAAGATGTATAGAAAGAGAAATACAAATACCAGCATACACATTTCTGAAATCTAACAAATTATTCTAACAGAATCAAATGCTTTTGAGTCAAATTATTTGTCAGGCAAAACATGGAATTAATTCTCCAGAAAGTCAGACTAACAGATCTAAAAGAATAATAAAGCTTCTGTGACCATTCATATTTTGCTCCAACTGTAAACACTGACTGGGTCAGCTGTAGTGCTAATTTTATTACTTTCATCATAAAAGCATCCAAGAATGAAACATTTTCAATTCATAAAGCTGGGTTCATGACGAGTCCACTTTCATAAAAGCCCTGAAGCAGAAAAGTTTTTGATACTACCTGACTGGAGTGCATGCAGTCTTGCAAAAAAGAAGTCCCAGAGTCAGCCAGTTGCAGCAACGTACCCACAGTCTGCTTGGCATGGAAGTACTAGTTCTTACATGTTAAAGATAGGTAACATTCAAACTGTAAGAAAGAGGGATGGGAGAGGAGCAGGTAACTGATGAGGCTGGGGCCATGCCTGCTAAGTGGAGTCTCACCACATTGCAATCTATGTTCTGCTCACCAATAGCAAGGCTGATAATTCAGAAGGCAAACAAACACGAATACCATCAGGGTACAACACTATTGGAGAGATTCAAGAAAACAAGCATGAGAAGAAAAACAAGTGTTTAACAAAAGCCTGCTTCTATTGATAAGCAGCGCTCCCCAGCCTCTTCAATGACTGCACATTCACAATGAGTGAATGATTGTACCACGTCAGCCAGTTTTTCCACAATAACACCCCAGAATAATTGAAATATTTCTTTGTAAGCAGGAGCCAAAACATGCTGAGCATAGAAAAATACCACTGCAATCAGAAGTTTGGTCCATATGTACATAATTCATTACCTTACAGTACTGGAGAAGCAACGTACAGAAGCTGATCCTGCTGGCTGAACTATTCAGTTAGAAGACATTGATGTCCCCTCCGTACACACTCACTGCAGCCTCGCAGCTTAGGAAATAAGCCTCGGTTGCTGTTGAGGCACATTGTCCAATACAGCATTTCCTGGACAGTCAGAAGTTTCACACAATGAAAGATCTCAAACTTATAAAACATTTCAGAAAGAGCTACGATGCAGTTCCCTATCAGGCACTGGGTGCCGTAAGAATCTCAGGTTATCTAGGAACAATAGTGCTTTGTCTCAGACACAAAACAAATTAAAAAAGATGCCTTTGATAAATCAGCAGCTTTGCTTAAATTTTCCTATTCTTGTTTCAGAATACTAAAACGCAAAAAAGCTAGTGAGATAGACCACTTAATGTCTTGCTGGCAGGAGGTCATTTCAGTAAAATACTTCTACAGACCACAGTGCAGAAGGGAATGCATATTCTAGATGTTGCACTTCTATTTTAGTTTTTGTCTGCAACTGATGAATTGTGCCAATGCTTCTACATAGCTTGACTTCTCCAGAACTCTTCTGGCTGTGATGAAATTTATTAAAGACGAAAGCTGAGAACAATAGTCATGCTAAAAAGTTTCTCTTTCCCTCATCCTCATTTCCCCATTTTCTCACCATCAGCTTAAAACTTTAAGATCAAAGATCAGCTCAGTTCAGATCTGAAACTGGAAAATTTCCGACTGAAGATCAGGCTTCTTTCTTCACGATGGGGTGGCAAAGCTGGAGAGAGGATCTCATCCAATTGGCAATTTCCAGATTCACCTTAAAATAGGAATTTGGTCACCTCAGAAGCCTCTTCCAAACCTCCATCATCTTAGCTCTGACTTACCAGTGATAGAAGGCTGCTGATTGCCAGAAATGGGCACCAAACACTAATGTTTATCCCTGCAATGGAAAAGGGGCACATTGTCTACGTACACAGTAAGAGTGCCAAGAGGAAGCTGCTCTGCATAAGGGAAAGACTCTACCGGAGTTGTAAAAAAAATCTGAAAAATTTACATAGTGCTGGACAAAATTAGATTCTGAAAGCAGAAAAAAGTACTAATGCCATTGCATTAAACATACATCTATTCATTTTTTGGAAGAAAGCACAGTATTTTTTTTCCTTATTATTTCTATCTCCATGTATCTCCTAGGTTCTTTACTCTCCAAGATAAGCAAAATTCTCACACTTCAGAAGTGCAAGAGTCTGGCAGCCTTTAGGACAAAACAATATCAAAAGAATTTGCAAAAAAGCTCTGCAGGTACCTTGCTGGGTTTATAGATCTCTAAGACACCTATATCTCAACTTGCTTCCCTAGATAAGCTAAGTTGTTTGAACAGCTGAAGTTTCATCTCTCTACAGCAGAAAATATTTTCAACCATGCCACTCTGACAGTTGCTAATTCAGACAGAAATGTTTCCTAAAAGCTAAAAAAACACCTTCTTTTGTACAGCTTATATTCTACAGAAATTGCTCATGCATATTTATGTCACATGCATATCTCATGAGTTCATTTCACTTTTCTCCAAGGGATGGCCTATTTTTTGGAGGTGTGTTTCAATCCTCAGTTCTGCAGAGATATGGTATCAGGAATATAAAATATGAATCATCACGTGACTCTTAAAGAGATTCAATTCAGAATGAGTTGCAGATATTAAGATCTGGTTGGAGCTGACATCCTGTGGCTTTGTACCAAGCTGACAATTCCTGTTAAATCAGGGTTGCACTGAAATGTCTGGCTGAGATGAACACACACCTGGCATGAAGAAATGCAGCTTCCATTTCTTGTTTTTCCCTTCATCAAAGTTTTTTATACAAAAGTATGTAGGCAAATAGAATTAATCT